CTGGGGTACAGAACTCCAGCACAATTTAAATTGTTCTCATTTCAAATATTAGTTGATGTTTCCGTAGATAACAAAAGAAGCCTTAAAGTTCATCCTTCTTGGGGAATTCAGAGTGTTGGGTTTGAACTTGAATGCAAAACTGAATCAAGATGTATGGCAGTAGTTTGTCCTGATGGTTATATGAAAAATGGGGAAAGGTGTATAATGACAGGGAAATTAGTGCACATCATTTTAAGTGCAACATCATTGGATCAAAAGGATGCAGACAAACAGACTGAAACTATGGAGAATCTTCTACAAGATACATTCATTCCTACAGGTTACATAGATAATAGTCATACTAGTGATCCTCCTGAAGATTATCAATCATCAACTGTCACAATAATAATGAGATTCAATGTATCATTCCCTGGTAATGCAACAAATCTTGAGATCCATAGAAATATGAGAACTAAATATGAGACGTTTGTAATGCAAGCAGAGGGAGACTTGTCTGAGATGAATATGACTTATGAGATACTGCCCTCAGAAGTAAACAATGCAGAAACAATTCTAGATGAGATAAACAGTACAACCTCAGCCTCATGTGAATCCATCTGGCAACTGTTTATTGCAATCATAATTATGACATTTGTCTTGTAAGACATCTTGGATAGTGGTAATGAAGCATGATTTTTTCATTGAATAGATGACTTACAACGACACATACTAGTTTTCTACATGATAAAAATCCAAATTCTGCATGAAAAAGTCAAATTCTGTGTGAAATCCCAAATTCCGTAATAAATTTTGCAAACAAGCAATCATCTGAAATTATCACAAAATTACAGAGAATTCAAATTACGTAACATGTTAGACGTTATCTTTAAGTGCAAAAGGCTCAAAAAAGATTTGAGGATTTTAACCATATTTCACATGGAATCCTCACACCAGTTTCTGATGACAAATGACTGTCTTAGGTGTCAAAGTGAGAGACAAATATGAGATGAGGTGGTTAACTTGAAAAATCAAGTTTTCCGTGAAATTATGTGCAAAAAAATCAAATTCTGCAAAAATTCTGAAATTTAATATTCTGCGTTTTTTCTGCGGCAACACGGAATCAAAGAATTCTAAAATGTGTGTACCACATGTATGTAAATGGATAATGTCCTTCTCTGTGTCAAAACCATGACATATATGTCATGAAAAGTTAAAATAAAATATTCTGAAATTCAGTGAATTGAAAATTGAGTTAAATAATCTGGTTGAATGATTATGAGAGGCATAGTAATCCCTCACCCTTGCTAACTTACATCTGTTATAGCATGTGTTGCAATAATACATTGTCCCCATAACACACTACCCTACCACGTGACCACGTTTAAAAGGGAAACAGGGTACAGCTAAGTTGCAAATGGAGGATGTGGGTTTAATTCCATATTTCTGAACGTAAAATACATTTTACATTTATTTCTAGTGTTCTACCAGACATAGAATTGATTCATCAAGCAGTTTGTAGAATATTGTTAGCAAAAACCACTATAGGCAAAGATAGATTATAGTGGGCGCAGTGAAGCAAAACTTGAATGCAATACACGACACATTTCAGTAAATCTATCAACGTACAGGGAGCATGTAAGTTTCCCTTCGAAAATGTTCCATAAATATGTAAAAAAAAACTGTGTGTCATCGTGTTAGATGTGGATACGTTTTTTAGTATGTTATTCAACTGTATTTTTGTGAATTAATTGTTTTTCTAAAAATCTTATGATGCATAAAAAGTCGTCCCAGAAATGTATCTTTACTTTGCCGTAAGGCATAACATATTGTGAAACATTTTTCTTCTTGTCACAAAGAGGATAATGTTTGTTTCGAGATGTCTTGTCATGAGCGTTCCATGAATGAATGCAAAATCACTGGAGCAGATACCATCCAAAAACATCTGACATTCAACATGTCAGATAAGACTATATCGATCTGGTATTAGTTTTTTTACAATAATAGAGAAATACGACGTCATATCAGCGCTACAACAAGTCGTGAAGAAATGCTCTCAAGTTGTGGCATGACTGTATTTTGAACAAAATATTTTAAATGATCGGTTTTTGAGGACGGTAGTGAATTAGACCATTCAAGGGGTTATATAGAAAGATTCTTCACATGTAGTTCAGGCAATTTTAATTATTCTGAATAGCGGATAGTCATTAACACTGATAGCGGATAGTCATTTATTATTAACGTGTTCATATTTAATTTCGTTATTTTATTTCAATTTGATACCCTAGTAACACGTATAATCTAGCGTTCTTGTTAATTTAATAACTAAAATGCATATACGACCTGAAAGCTTGTGTCTAAATCTACAAAATAATGTTTACTTTATGCCGATTAAATGACAATATTGATGACACCTCAAAGAATCAACAGGCGGCCTTTTAGCATTACTTTCACTGTTTGCAACGTAAATGTACATGAGATGGGACATAGTATGTCTGTATAATCAACTTACTTTCTCGCTCCCTGTACTATTGAACAATTTACATTCCTTGTACCCTGTATTGATCAACTTTTGCAACTGTGTACCGTGTACTATGACATATCAAATATTTTAAAATTCAAAACGATATTACAGTAAAACCTGTCCGATGGAATACCTCTCTGTAGGGAAAACCTATGAACAAGGAATGCTTTTCAAAAGAACCAAATATTTTTCCATTGACTTACATGTTAACGGACCCTCTCTGTAGGGAAAACCTGTGAACAGGGAACAAGGAACACTATTTTGGGGCAAATTATGAAAATTCACCTGTGAACAAGGAATATGGAATATTGGTGACACTGTATATTCCATTATTTTTCAGAGGTGTGAAAGTCTTAAGCCAATATCTGAATATAGAAAGCTTGGATTAATATGATTGAGATTAAGATAAGCCAATTGTTTATAAGATGTAGCATCCCACCCACTGTTAATTACCCTGATTTATTTTAAAACTAATACTAATCTGTTTGTTACTTATTATCATGACACCAATTCTCCTTTCAAAAACTTATTACATCAAATCAGTTGTGATAATCTAGGGACTGACACAATCGTTTTATGGAGATAACAGATAGTAAGTACATGGTCATGTTGAGCATAATCTCTTTAAATCTTTTACTGATCCAACTTCTAGATTATCAATAATATAAAATAGGGTTGATGAAACTTGAAATTCAGTTCTTAGCAATATATCTCTACACATCATATCAATGATTACATCAACTAGACATCATCAGATGCTAGAAGCAGCTAAAATCAACAAGGGGAGAATGTAACCAAGTATGGAGTTGGCATTTGTACAATCAATCAATATATATATATATATATATGCTTATTCGGCAATTTTGAGTTTGCTGAAAGTGCAGCCCCTCTCTGTAGGGAAAACCTATGAACAAGGAAACTTTCCTCCAGTCCCAATAGCATTCCCTGTTCGCAGGTTTTACTGTATTTACATTCTTTCTTCAACTATCATATAACTTGGAACATGGACTTTACTATTGCACAACTAAAGTTCAGCAAATCTTGGGATATTGTGCAATATTTTCAAAAGTGAAAATATTAAATGGCCGGCTGTGTAACAGTTAGCATGTATACAAAACAGTAAATCTACCAAACACATTTGCAACAAACAGCAGGGTGAATTACAAAAAAAAATTAATTAATTATATTAATTAAGTCCCATGTGTAATTCAAGAATATTCAATTTAACTTGTCAGTGCCTCAAAAGTATAATTTTCTCTAGTAAATGGTATTGTGAACATCTATTGACTCAAAAAAATATATCATCATCAGCAGAAATGAGTTTTAAAATGGAATAAATTTTAAACTCATGGAGTAAATCAGATAAATATTATGCGCAAATGCCTACAGGAAAGTACCAAAATGGTTACAGAACACATAACATAACATAACCACCCTTCCCCCACCATTCAAGTACCAATATCACATTCCGAGACCATAACACCAAAGGACATTTCATTGTTACTGAAATCATAACAGTAGATCTTGAAGAAAGAATTTAAAATTGACTGCCAATACTCATGATTACATTTTTACAAGAAAATGAGCAGCCATCTGCAATATTCCTTCTTGACTAGAGTCCTATGTTTCTAAAGCATCAGCATGTAAAATCTGAACAAAATTCATCAACCAATATTTAACTTATCAAATATTGCATTAATGATGAAAAATGGTGGCCATTTCAAAATGAGCAGCCATATTGAAAATGCCTCCTTGAGCAGAGCCTACAATATTTGGACCAAATCCTATAATTTGGTACACAAACGGTATTGAAGTCTTCAAAAAACATATTGATGAAACATGTTGGCCTTTTTGAAATTCAATGGTCACCTTGAATATTGTGGCCTATTGTGGTTCCTTGAGCAGAGCTCCTTTGCCTATAAGATATAAGCCTACAAAATTTGGATCAAATTCCATAATTTGCTCCATAAATGGTATTCAAGTCATCATAAAAATAACATATTTTCTGATGGGCAATTTGGAATTCAGTGGTAATCTTGAATATTTTTTCTTGAAAAGAGCTCCTATGTTCCCAGGTATCAGCATATGAAATTTGAACTAAATCCGTCGACTGGTATTTGAGCAGCAATTTTGAACTAATGGTCAATCAGCCATTTTGAATTGAGTAGCCATCTTATATTGAAAATTCCCTCTTGAATAGAGCTGCATGTCCCTACAGCATCAACTGATATTTATGCTATCAAAAATACCTCAAGCAGAGGTCCTAACCTGATAAGGCATAAGCCTATACAATTTGAACTAAATCATTCAACCGATATTGAGTAATCACCCAGACAAATGAAAGGAGAGATGGATGGACGAACAGACAGACGCACCTAGGCCAACAATATGGCCCCACACTATGTGGTGGGGACATTAAAATGACATCTTTAATCTTAATCATGGTGTACCAAATTATAAATATTAATGTAATTGTTGAAGGTGTTATTTTATGCCTCACCTATTTTCAAGCATCCTCTGTCCGTCAGTAGAAGATTTGAAACTTTTAAATCCCTGAAAAGTACAGATGTTTGTAATATTTAGAGGTTATGTCACTATGACGTGAAATATGCCTGAGTTCTCCCAATATAGGCCGACCTTGGGAGGCTCTATATTTGGGCAAGAACGAAGGCATATTTCACGTCATAGTGACATAACTGATGTATTACATGCCTTTGTTCCCATGGTTACTTTGTATCAATGACGTGACGTCATGATATTATCATGGTTATTAAAGAAATCTAATATCAAAACGAGGTAAGCGGGCTATATCGGGGTAATCGGGCAATATCGGTGGATATAGCTCGCTAACTTTCCCATTGACTTCCATACAAATGCTTCGCTAGGTATGTAATACACTATAATATAATACCCTACAATTCACTATAATATAATATACATTGCATAATTTTCGTTATATACAGGTTGGGCCAAAACTGGGACACTTATGAATTTTATTTACAAGAGAATTATACAAGTATTATGGCGATATACTGTATACATGATATAGTATAACATTTCAAAGTTGAAGTAATTATATGGCTTTTGATGGGTGTATAATTTTACCTGTGTATAATGAAGTTGTCATGGAGATATGTGAGACCCCTACACAGCTGCATGAAGATACATTTCACCTAGAAAAATATTAAACATCTACCTGTAGGTGAAAAATTGAAAAGTCAATACTTATGATGAACCACTGGTTAATCTAAGGGCATCATGAATTACAAATGATCAATAAAAGAAAATCAAAGAATATTAAGATGACTAACAAAGAGGAGGTCTGAGCAAAATGACATAAAAATCTTAGAAAAAGGCTCATGATATGAGATAATGTAGCTATTAGGTATTTCTCTATCTGGTTTAACTTTGGATGTACAATGAAGTACCTGAGCCTCTGAGAATGGAGCTTGCATATTGTCCAGTAGACTTGCCAGATCTTGTTCACAGTACTCCATCACCAGGAACATACTGCAAGAAATGTAACATGTATATAACGAGAAATATAGCACTTTTGAGATCAGAGACACTTTATAATTCAGCATAGGCTGATACATTATTGAAAAACATTTATGACATCAGAGATACTTTTATTACAGTCTGTAACATGTAACTCATTTATGACATCAGAGATACTTTTATTACAGTCTGTAACATGTAACTCATTTATGACATCAGAGATACTTTTATTACAGTCTGTAACATTATTGTAACTCATTTATGACATCAGAGATACTTTTATTACAGTCTGTAACATGTAACTCATTTATGACATCAGAGATACTTTTATTACAGTCTGTAACATTATTGTAACTCATTTATGACATCAGAGATACTTTTATTACAGTCTGTAACATGTAACTCATTTATGACATCAAAGATACTTTTATTACAGTCTGTAACATTATTGTAACTCATTTATGACATCAGAGATACTTTTATTGCAGCTTAACATTATTGTGACTCATGAACGTCATCAAAGATTTACAGTGTTGTTACATTATTGTGTGTTATATCATTAATATAAACTGTTATCAGTTACAATATTCTTAACATATTCTTCAGGTTGGTTATTAAATCACAAAAAACACAGTTTTCTTCTTTACACAACCTTTATTATTTGAAATCCTTGAACGTTTTTGTAGTGTTTCAATTCAGTTTTATGTGTACAGTTGATAAAGGATCCAGATGGGATATGAAACGATCTGGAATTTCAAATAATAAAGGTTGTGTTTAGAAGAAAACTGTCTTTGTGATACAGTATTGTGACTCACCTATCTAGACTTTTGCCTACTACAATCTCACGTAGTTCTACAATGTTATCGTGCCTCAGGTTGAGAAGGATTGTCATCTCTCTAAGACCACTAATCGGAATACCTGAAGAGAACATACTTCATGTATATTATTCACAAATATGTTCAGAAGCAAGTTGGAAGTTTTATCACAAAATCATTCAAAAACTTGCCTGGAGATTAGCATTTTGGGTGCATCACACACAAAGTATATTGTAACATTGCATGTAAATAATGTTTCTTTGTATAAATTGTCTGTATTAAAATAGCTTAGACTTTGTGTAGTGTAGTGTAGTGTAGAACAATGTTTTTATTTTGTAATAACTAATATGTCAGAGTATGACATCTTAGGAGTCAATAAAAGATATATATATTATATGAACATATTAAAGAGATATTTGCAAGAGTTTGGTTTTGTAATATATCATATGAATATATCACTGCCCAAATGTATTCCTCTTAATTAAGACAATATGCAGGGGTTTCATTAGCAGCAGGCAACAGGTGATTTTCACAGGTTGTTTTCACAAAATGGCCTGTTGTTTTTCAGGGATTTTTCAACATTTCCGTGTTAAATTTATGATTTCTATTAATTTTGCATGTTGTTTTCATTTAAAGCCTGTTTTGGGAAATTCAGTTGAAACTCCTATTTTGAATTCTATGCAGCCAGTCCAGAATATTATATCAATTTTTAACAAATGTGACTCTTTTATGTATTTGGATATGGTTCATTGAAGATGAGATACTGTTTTGATATATTCTAATATACTTAAATTACGATTCGTATGTATAAAATTACAACTAAAATTAATGATTTTGTGTAAATATCATTTAACATTATTAAATTTGAGAAATTGCTTTTAAATGTAGCTTTGAGCTTAAATGTACATTTCATTCATTTTCCGCCTTTAATCCTTTTCAATACATTTTTTAATACCTGGTGTAATTTATATGCTTGCCATTCAACCATATCACATATTCAAATTGAATATGAGGAAAATATTGCACTTAAAACTGACATTAGGAAATTCAGTTTGTTGCAAATACGTAAGAAAACAGACATTTCAGTTTTGATGACATAATACGGTTAGTATTATTAAAAAAACTCACTAAACCATTGCTTATATTGTTTATGTTCATCAAGATTTTTATCAAATCATTTTAATTGACTTTGTAGCTTGTGTTATGAAACGCAATTAAATCTTTAAATTATTTAAATAAAATGTTAATATTTCATGTGAAAAATTTTCATTGATGATTTTCATGTGAAGTATTTTTTAAATAAAAATATGACAACTATATGTCATTGTGTTGAGTTAAGTTCATTGAACCTAACCTCACCTAACCTAACCAAGTGTTGAATTAGGTTCATTGTCATTGAACTGAGTAAGGTTCTACTGAATATTCAAAGATTTCAAGCTTTACATTTCTAGAACATTACATTAATGATGATATTCTGGAGTATTGTGACCATGCTACCTCTTTTGGTATCCTCACAGACCACACCAGCTTACGGTAGGGCATAGACTTATATCCAAATAAATAAATATCCATTAAAAAAGTATAATAACAAATAAAGATAAGGACTCTTTTATACCATCAATGAATCTGAATTTATTCCATTTCAGAATTTACAGGAGAAAATGGTAAGTACCATGTCATCATGTGCATGTATTGATTTATATCAAATAACTTCATGTCTTATTTCAAAAATAATATTCAAATTGACAATGATAAAAACAAGCTAAATCTATGTTTTAGATTAAGTGCTTTTTAAAGTAATTTAAGGCTGGACTAGCATTGGAACTCTCTGTTATAGCAGATCCTACCAATTAAAACATTACTAATCAATAAAATCCCTTGTCATTTTGAAAATGTTATGACAGAAACATCGGTAACTAAGTACCATTCCATCTTGAGCAGAGTCCTATATAAATTAAATGGCTACATTGAAATTATTTTTTGAGCATGGCTCAGTGGCAGAGAGAGTCAAGGTTACCAATATCGCTCTTGGCCCGGGTTCGATGCCCGGTTCAGACAAGTTTGTTTGTGCGTTATGTAATTCTGGGTGTTTGACTGAGTGGTTCACGACTCGTGTACCTGTATGTCTGTGTACCTGTGCACATAAAAGAAAACAGGGCTCCTCCAAGGAGGGGTTTCTGGCTCTATCTTCGAGTGTAAAATACGTAAAATACGGAATATACCAATGAGGTATTGCTCGCCAAATATGGCTGTAACCAAGATATAATAATAATAATAATGATTGAACTGCTTCTCCATATTCCTATAAACTGTGAAATAATGATAATGTCCCTAAACTTTTTTATCTATAGGTGTGGACTCATGGGGAAAAAAGAATCCTCTGTGTGACACGGGAACCCAACAATCTCCCATTGACATCATCCATGAAAATGCTGTCATCAATCCTTTCCTATACACTCTTCAATTTTATAACTTTGACACCAAATTACGAAACAATGTAGTGAATGTTGGCAATAAAGGTAAGACTAATTTACACAATTTCTTTAAGTATAATTCATTTTAATTAAAGGGGCAACAAGGACTGTGGAGAGAAAATTCGAATATTTTTATTCTTTCTGAGCTATCAGGTCAATATTTGGCTTAACACCTTCTTTGACATACCTATTTTCATAAAATATACATATAAACTATCAATTTTAGCATTAAGAAGTGTGAATTCAGATCAAGGCTTCTATAAAGGGAGTCCCACTTATAGATTTTTAAGATCCACCACGTTTCAAGAGGAATATCAGCTGAAATAATGTTCATCCAGGGGGTTTAAGAATTGTAGATAAAGAAAATATATGTAAGTCTTGATGAAATATCCAAACTTAAATATATTTTGACTCTGGTCTATGATCGTGCCCCCCCCCCTGCACTGATTGTTGCACCTTTAATCTCAAAATCACACAATGCACACATAGAAAATGTACATGAGTGGGTGACACTTCCAGAAAGTGTATTTTCCCAATAAAAATTATAAAAAGTTTGGTACTTCTAAAAAGTGTTCCACTTGGAGGTGCTCCACTTATAAAGGTGTTCCACTTTACAGGTTTCACTTTAACAATTATGTGGTACGGTACGGTATTCATAAAATACACTGGTACAAGGATCTCATGCATTCTTCAAAAACTTATAATAAATGTACATCATATACAACTTATACAAATTCACTATTTCCAGTGAGGATTGTTATTGGAGAAAATCAACATCTTTATCTATATAACGGTGGTCTCCCAGGAAGATATAGAGTGGGCGAATTGTTTATCTTTTGGCCAGCCATGCACCTTCTGGACAGAAAACGTGCAGACTTGGAGGTCAATAAAGAAATCTGATTTATATGTACAGTAAAACCTGTCTAATTGTTTGATGTTGGCAATTTCAAATGACTGATTGATTAAAGAAAGATTCGAAGAAGGATAACATATTTTCAAAAATGTTTTGCCTAAGGTTCCTTTATTTCTAATCATTCCATTTTCTAAAAAACGTAATATAAAACCTAATTGAAATCTGCAAAAAGGGAATCAAAAAAACCATAGGATTAGTTATGAATACATCTGGGAAAACTTTCCACACATCATTAGATTCAAATTGTCAATTCATCTTTGAATTTTTAATCTACCATTATTGAACTGATATACAGGATACCTCATTCTTAGTTTTCTCAACTTCTTTTATAGCTGATGATCTTAGCATATAATGCTGACTTGTACAAGACTTTGGGTGAAGCAATAGTGAAGAAAGATGGAGTAACTACATTTAGTGTTCTCTACAAGGTTAGGATATTTCTTTTTGAGCGATTTATGTCTACATTTCTACTAACAAGGATCACTGTGACTTTTCATTATTTTTGGAGTTTATTCTCGAAATACAATTTTAGTTAATTCACATCTCATTTTTTGAAACAGGTATCTTCGGCAGAGAACCCAGTCTTGGAACCACTAATATCTACAGTCAGCAAAATCAGAGAGTTTGGTATATGGCAATTATAATATATATTAGGTTATGTAAAATGAAAATCCATTTTCCTTTTTTAATACAGGGTGAGCCAAAATATAAGTAATTTTTGGAACAATTAAGCCTTATTCAATGTTTATTCATTCAACCAAGTTTCATAAGTCTATTTCTTATAGTTACAATTTTATGGCCACTTTACAAAATAACATGCTCCAAATGCTGGTCTTGTCTTATTGGAGACATACTAGAACGCATCGGGTGAAGTTTGTTGACTACACGCTCACAGATATATTGTAAAATTTTCCTAGTCATCTCTTTTTTCAGCTCTCTGATGCTTCTAGTATTGTAAGTTTACATATTATCTTTTAAATAGCCCAAAATTTAATTAAATAATTAATGTTTTGTAAAATGGCTATAAAATTGTAACATTGAAAACAGACCAATGAAACTTAGAAGAATGAAAGAACATCGGACAAGGTTCAAATATGACTTAAAACCCATACTAAATGACTGAGTAACTAAGATTTGTTTGGGTTACCTTTTTTGACTTACCCCGAGTATCACCACTTTCTTCATGATTTAATTGTATTCATTAAAACACAGACTTTTTCCTAATCCTCATAATTGTTAAAGACTTGAACTGTTTTGAATTTTTGAAAGATGACCCTCTGTCTCTCATAAATGATATTAGTTGTCAGAAAGTTAAAAACTTTAGTTTATGATTGTATGCCTGCATTATATATCGATTTATCTTAAGGTAGTGAAGTCAAAATAGAGAGTGGCTTAAGGGTTGAGGATCTCATACCAGCAAGTGCAAGTTCCAACTATTACCACTATGACGGCAGTATCCCACATACACCATGTCTAGAGACAATAAAATGGTACATCTTTGCTGACTACATGTACCTCTCAGAAGAACAGGTCAGTAGATTGCACATCAAAGATGCAAGGCATACTCTGGAACCTAAAACCTCTATACCATAAAGTAAACCAGGCATAAACACATTTGCGAGTCCTCGTGGAGAAAGAAGTCCTTAATGTGAATTCTACATCACTTTTAGCTAGGTGAGTTCAAGATGCTTTGGGATCACCATGGTAACCTTATGAATAATCTCTACCGACCTGAGCAAAGTTTAAAAGGGAGGTCAGTGTATAGACCAATGTTCCGATCACCAAGGCTCGACTTCCTAGAGACTGGAGATAAACCTCCTACTCAAAAGGAATGTGAGTTGCATAAAGATCTAAAGACATGCAATTGGCCCATAAATTAAGATATACCAAAATGCTAAAATGAAATGAAAAGCAGATGTATTTAACACACTGTTCATTTTTATCATTAACAGCTTGTATGTTTATCAACAAGCTTGGACATTTATCACTTCATAACCTTTGGAAGAACTCAGCAACACTTTTCATATAAGAGGTAATTCCTAAAGGTCAACTAGCCTATATACAATGAGAATATTGTCAGTAAATTGTTCTAGCTATTTTGATGTCATGTATCATATTAGAATTCATAATATGAACCACATTTTCAGCATGTGTTGATGTTTTCTTCATCATTGATGAAAGCTGTTCAGTATATGAAGATATGCCAAAGATTAAGCAGCTACTCCTTGATGTAGTAGATAAGACAGTCATTGGAAGGAAATCTGCATTGATGTCATTGGTGAGGTAAATTAAGGATTGTCTCTAGCATCTACTGTATCACGGCTCATGAAAAAAACAAAGGGCAAAATTATCCAGAAGACAGAGGTTCAATAGCCCATTCTACATTGCTACTAGAAAAGCTTGGTTTGATGTATCTATTTTAGGAATGGAGACAGAGGTTCAATAGCCCATTCTACATTGCTACAAGAAAAGCTTGGTTTGATGTATCTATTTTAGGAATGGAGACAGAGGTTCAATAGCCCATTCTACATTGCTACAATAAAAACTTGGTTTGATGTATCTATTTTAAGAATGGAGACAGAGGTTCAATAGCCCATTCTACATTGCTACAATAAAAACTTGGTTTGATGTATCTATTTTAGGAATGGAGACAGAGGTTCAATAGCCCATTCTACATTGCTACAATAAAAACTTGGTTTGATGTATCTATTTTAAGAATGGAGACAGAGGTTCAATAGCCCATTCTACATTGCTACAATAAAAACTTGGTTTGATGTATCTATTTTAGGAATGGAGACAGAGGTTCAATAGCCCATTCTACATTGCTACAATAAAAACTTGGTTTGATGTATCTATTTTAAGAATGGAGACAGAGGTTCAATAGCCCATTCTACATTGCTACAAGAAAAGCTTGGTTTGATGTATCTATTTTAGGAATGGAGACAGAGGTTCAATAGCCCATTCTACATTGCTACAATAAAAACTTGGTTTGATGTATCTATTTTAAGAATGGAGACAGAGGTTCAGTAGCCCATTCTACATTGCTACAATAAAAACTTGGTTTGATGTATCTATTTTAGGAATGGAGATGGAGGTTCAGTAGCCCATTCTACATTGCTACAATAAAAACTTGGTTTGATGTATCTATTTTAGGAATGGAGACAGAGGTTCAATAGCCCATTCTACATTGCTACAATAAAAACTTGGTTTGATGTATCTATTTTAAGAATGGAGACAGAGGTTCAGTAGCCCATTCTACATTGCTACAATAAAAACTTGGTTTGATGTATCTATTTTAGGAATGGAGACAGAGGTTCAATAGCCCATTCTACATTGCTACAAGAAAAGCTTGGTTTGATGTATCTATTTTAGGAATGGAGACAGAGGTTCAATAGCCCATTCTACATTGCTACAAAAAAAGCTTGGTTTGATGTATCGATTTTAGGAATGGAGACAGAGATTCAATAGTCCATTCTACATTGCTACAAGAAAAGCTTGGTTTCATGGATCTATTTTAGGAGTGGAGACAGAGGTTCAATAGCCCATTCTACATTGCTACAAGAAAAGCTTGGTTTGATGTATCTATTTTAGGAATGGAGATGGAGGTTCAGTAGCCCATTCTACATTGCTACAAGAAAAGCTTGGTTTGATGTATCTATTTTAGGAATGGAGACAGAGGTTCAATAGCCCATTCTACATTGCTACAAGAAAAGCTTGGTTTGATGTATCTACAGTATTTTAGGAATGGAGACAGAAGTGCAATAGTCCATTCTACATTGCTACAAGAAAAAACTTGGTTTGATGTATCTATTTTAGGTATCACAATGATGTCAACTTGAATTTTTACCACTTGAATACAACAAGTAATGAAGTGACCAGGAAATTTATTGAAACACAACCTCTGGGACAAACTTCTTCATGCAAGACTCAAACATATCATGCCTTGAAATTCCACTCAGAATTGTAAGTATCATGATACTATACAATGATCTGAAAATCTGAACTTTTAAAATCTAGAAGTTCTATATTGACAGAAGCAATACTGTAACTGATTATACAGCCTCTTCACTGGTAAGTAATTCACAGCAGAAAAGTAACAAATTGGGTGAATTTGTGGAAAACAGCCTGCAGAGTGCAACATTTAGTAACAAGTGTATCATGCATGACTATTTCCAACTGTCATATGTTACATTTCAGTTTCTTTGGTATGGGGAAAAATGCAACACGTGAATATGTGGGGACCAGGCCTGATTCAATGGCCAATGATGTGATGTTTGTAATAACTGATGGCATATCAATTCCACGTGGTAGGCGAGGGAGTAAGTGTCCATTAGATTAATTAGAAGAATCTTAACTGGACCCTAGCATAGCTGCTACGATTTCCATGAGAGTACTGAACTAACTAATCAAATGATATACAAAGAAATTGTGTACTCATTTATCTGTAACGACAAACTTTAGATTGACTTTCAATATTGCCTTTTTGTTCCCTTTATTTTCTGTCCTTTTGAGGCAAATCTAAAGTATCTTAAATGACATTCCAGGAGCACTGAAAGAGGCTCAAAAAATCAGGAGAGCAGGAGTAAAGATATTTACGATTGGGTTACACAACTGGAGAAATCTGGATGGCTCCCCTGAACTACTTGGCTTTGTTAATGACAATGAGAATCATGCATTCAACATTGATGATGAAGGACTCGCTGATATAGTTGCAGGCATTATCAACTCTGCAGACCCCTGCTTTAAATCCCCTCCAACTACCACAACCACAACACAGTTGCCATCAATGACTACTACAATGAGGTCAGTTGGTAATATACATTATCTTTGACCAGCTGAATCAGAAAACTTATTTGATCTCACAGTCATCTTCCCAGCATTAAAGAAAGTGGGTGCAGCATCCCCCTGAGATTTTAATTATACACCAATCTGAAAATCTATTTGCACCCACTTGAAAAATGAAAACAGCATGAAAATGGGCATATTTTAATCAATTTCATGAGAACTTTGCACCCACTTGAAAAAATGATAATAATAATGATATAGGAAAACATTCAACAGATATAAGCACATGATAAGTTCATCTTATGAAACTTTATTGTGTTTGAAATTGTTTTGCAATTGTATTCTATATATGTACTTGTATATTACTTCATTTGTTTCTGTTCAGGCTCTCACCATGAAGGCTAGATGTAAAATCAGATCTACTGTTATAATTTTGGAGATATGCACCTAGATATACTGTATACTTGATGCACGATGGCTACTGAAGCAGTGCAGGATCATTATGAAATGATTACTCTGGACAAAAATAAATTGAAAAATGAATAACAAATATCTTTATGTTTATATGTTTTTGTGTATGTTTGATTTCATGCCACATCTATGAAAACTATCTATCCCATCTAATTGGGGATGAGAATTTGAAAGTGAAATTTGAATCAGATTTTTACTCACCATCCTTTTCTCTTTCCATCCTCATTTTCTTGAGAGCAACAATTTCATCTGTCCTCGTGTCTCGGGCACGATCTGTAAATACATGTTAAGCTATATTTTAGCTTGAACTATTATGGCTTGCTCTTGTAAGCTACAATCTCATAATCCTCGAGTTTCAATTAGAATCTAAAATTAGACTACTAGAATAGTACCTAATAAGTGAATCATAGGTCATTGTGAACAACTCACATTTGCACTTTATTTTTGGTGGGTTTCTAATATATTATCAATTATTTAAAGATGTCATATAAGGTATTTTTTACTTTTTTCAAAATACAAATAAACTGGTGATTAAAAGTAATTTCATTTACATATTTGCAATTACATGTTAAGCTATATTTTAACTTGAACTATTATGGCTTGCTCTTGTAAGCTGCAATCTCATGATCCTCGCGTTTCAAGTAGAATCTAAAATTAGACTACCTAATATTATTAATTATCAAAAGATGTCATATAAGGTATTTTCTAATTTTTTCTAAATACAAATAAACAGGTGATGAAAATGAATTCATTTACATATTTTATATTGATTACTAGCATACAGTATATACACTAGAGCAACAAAGCGTACTTACATACAATACCATATGTCCCTTCTCCAACCCTGTTTAATTTTTCAAACTCTGTGACACTTCTGCATTGTCCATACTGTAATATAATACCAACAAATTAGAAGGCAATTTTGCATAACTCTTAATTATGTTGATATTATCAGACAGGGGGCAAAATTCTGATTTTCACAATTCATACCAAAATTGGTCAAAATATGCCAATTTTTCATGATTTTTCTTATTTTCAAGTGAGTGCAAATGGATTTTCAGGTGGGTACAGACCTATTTTCAAAATCTTAGTTGGGTGCTACGACAACTTGCTTTAATGCTGGGGAGATCACTGGTCTGTTAGTTACATTGTAAGATCCAATTATTGCAAACAAAATTCAGATTAAAAAGGTCAAGACAGACTGAAGAGAAACACTTTTATTAGTTAATTTTGGTGAGGTCATGTGAATGATGCCATGGTTAAAGATTTAAAATTACCACTTACTCAGCTTTTGTAAATTGCCATCTCAAGAGATATGTACTGACACAGACAATATGTTACTATTCTACAGTATACTTGAACTGAATGTTAAACCATTTATTTACAAATGTCTATGTTTACCCTTTATAAGTCAGGATATGTTGTAAAATAATTAAATACCGGGGGGTAGTCAGTCCTCTCTCTATTACACCTTATAAAAATAGGGTAAAATAGAGAGGGAGAGGTGACGGACTCCCTGTGTTCAATACCACCTACTTTATCTTTATCTGGTACTTCTGAGAAAGAGCTGGTTTTCATTGAATACAGTAGGTTCCCATTAGACCTTCTTTGGCTCTCACTCCTGGTGTCTTGCATGTTTGTTAAATGCTGTAGTTTTTATCTTATCGTTGCTTGGAGGTATGATGTACATATGCAAAATGTTCTTGTACCACTTGTTGCACCTGTCTGAATTGGCAAATGCTGGAAATACAAGAATGCATTAAAGGTGCAATAAAGACCATAGAGGAAATTTGGGAATCATTTTACCTTTCCGGAGCTATAAGTGCAACCCTGGCCTAATATCTTCTTCGCCATACCTATTTTCTTAAAATATATGCACTTGTCAACGAATACCACCAATCAGACTTGGAAATAAACTTCTAAATAAGCAATTGAAAGGATGGACACGTCCCGCAATTTATTTTTTGAAACATTTTTGAATCTACGATTTAAGATTCTTACTGCAGCTGAGGTAAGATAAAACCATTTGGTACACGATATGACTGCCGTCGCGCTCTATTACTGGCAATCTATTGCAGTTATTCTGACGAAGAAAAACAAAAAAACTCGATGACTAAAACACCTCAAATCTACCCATATTCAAGGTCTTCTTGACACGTTTATGGTCTATAGCAAACAGAATATTGTACAGAACATTAGATGCAAACGGGCCGGAATCCAATCTCAATTTCACCGGGAAATCATTTAAAGGTTAGTCAGCATTTTTCTGTCAATGTTTTACGGTTTCGGGAGAAGATTCCCGGAATTTAGGTTGATTTGATTGTGAATATCGGCAGAAATAAGGTATGTTCAGGGGTTTTCTTTGTGTCTAATGAAAATAGATGTTAGCCTTGATGTAATTTGATGAAAGTATCCAAACTTCGATATATTTTGACACAAGGTCCATGATCGTTGGATACGTCTCTGCACTTTTACTCATACTTTCTTCTCTCCAAGTTCAACAACATAATTTGAAGTGTCTGGAAAATTGTAAGGCTACTGAATGTTTTGATGATTCAACTTTCAGTAGGTGCAATTTTTGGAGACCCTATCTGTTGCAAGACTAACGCCTGGCGTAACCGTCACCATGTTATTCAGTGTTTTTTAAGTAGCGCAAGGATCCTGCCATGACCGTGGTAATGTTATCGTGAAAGCCTGGTATAACCGCGACAATGCTGTATTATATTGCAACGCCTGCCATGACCGTGACAATGTAATATAGTTCTGCAAGGCTTGGTATGACCGTAACAATGTAATATAGTACTGCAAAGCCTGGCATGACCGTGACAATGTAATATAGTATTGCAAGTTCAGGTATGAGAGTGGTAATGTAGAAATTTACGATTAGGACTGCTATAACCATGACAATGTGTATTGCAAAGCCTGGCATGACCATGGCAATGTAATATAGTATTGCAAGGCTTGGTATGACCGCCATGGCAATGTGATATAGTATTCCAAGTTCGGGTATGAGAGTGGTGATGTAGAAATTTAGGCTTAGTTCTACTATGACTGTTATAATGTATTGCAATGACTAGTAAATATGTATGACATTAATGCCAGGAATATCCTTAACAATTTTAAGTGATCCTCATTACAATTAAACAGTTTAATACTATGATCATGGTGTTTAACTACCTTAATCAGGTCAAAATCAAAATTACTACTATACATTAATATTCACATTCGCTTATAAACCACAATAAAGGCTACAGTCGCGCCAGGCTTCCACCATAACACTTCCAGGGTCATGACAGGCCTTGCAATAGAATACAACATTGTCACGGTTATACCAGCCTGTCACGGTTATACCAGGCTTACACGATAACACTACCACGGTCATGGCAGGATCCTTGCGCTACTTAAAAAACACCGATTAACATGGTGACGGTTGTGGCAGGCGTAAGTCTTGCAATAGATAGCATGTGAATTTTTGTTCAAGTTCCTGTGTCATCGTAGTTCAACGTCGTTAAACTCAATTATGGCTATTAGGAATTTTCCGGGGCCATAAGACATGTCAGATAAGAAACGAGGCCCCAGGCTAGGTCTAATGTTGTTGGACTAGTGTCATTGAGGCCCTGATATATTTTTACAATATTCATTATACTTGAACAGGTCTTGAATCATTTTCATCAGTTTAATATGTCAAAATTGACAAAATTACTAATGATAAATTTTCACGTTATTGAACTTGGAGAGAAGAAGGTATAGTTCATGAGTTTGACTTTCTTCAAATAATAGATAACTATACTGAATTCACATCACATTGTCTTATGTTTCATCACACTAAAATGAAGTGATAATTTACCAAGTTCATACACTCGCGATTGGAGAGAATATGAATTGAATCATTGTTTAAATGATAAATACATACATCTAAGCCATGTTCAAGCACGTTACCTTGATAATAAAGTAGGTATACGCACTTTTCTAACTCAACTTTATAACAAGTGCTTCCTCGGTCTCCATGTTGTATCACGTGATGTCGTCACCCAATCAAATTGCTTTATATTCTACAGTGATTTTCTCATGATGCAGGTCGTTATTTCGCCTATAATTTTCCTGGGCGTACCTACGCAATATATGTGATAAGTATAACAAATGAGAAACAGTTTATTAGCTCTAGAATTTGTTTAAAACGATGTTGAATTAGCAATGACCTTGACCTACTTTTCATGATCCAAGATGGCGTCGTGTCTTCGAAGATTTTTGAGGCCGACTGTCGCAGGAATTCTTCGCACACAGGGTTAGTTTATGAAAACGTGTATTCTTATTAAGGTTTAAACACTAATCACATATCATTCTACTATAATATGTAAAGAAAATCCTTGATTATCTTTGGCATTCCTATTTATAGACTAGACTATTAGAAATCAGATAGATCTAGACAAATGTAACATGCAAGGTCTCTACACAACTAGACCCAGATGCTAAATCAGGAAACTGACACTTAGTTTATATTCAATACTATATACACGTTTATTAACCTATAATATGTACACTTAAATCACTCAATTAAGATGATTATCTATTCAAAATGTCTCTAATATATGTAGAAGATATGTCACTGCTATGATATCTCCACTAATAATTCATCAATCAGTATTTATTCCACATCCAATATCCCATAACAACCAGGTTTCACACACACAAAGGTCACTCAGTGCATATTCCAAGAACTAATCAATATAATGGTAGCGGCACAAGTTCTTGCTTCTTTAAGTGTTTCTTGCCAATATATGTATACTAACTGAATCATCAATGTGCCGTTTATTCCCAATCAATCACATACCAATAGTCAGTCACTGTATGAAAGACTCTAAATTTGTTCGGTAATTGACCACAATTGCCCAGAAACGTCTAGACCAAATCAGCTGTCAGTTATTCCATTCAGTCGCGTACTAAACGTCACATTTCACACTGAATTATTATACCTCAAGAATCATTCATAAGCAATTAGAAACACTGTCCACACACTGGGATATACAATTCTAGATCATGAATTACAAATCCAACAATCATCAAAAGTCGCGGACTTTTCTAACAAAAGTCGCGGACCAGTCGCGGACTTCTACACACAATTATTCAAAGAACACTACCAAAATGTCATCAAAACCAATTTCTAACACAAGTCCAAACATTCACACACACTTGGGACGGGAAATTATATTACAAATAACATTAATAGGGCTGTCACGGACTGTCGCGGACTCTCACCATTCAGAGTACGTGTTGCCACTCCGAGTTACCAATGCCAAAGACAATTCAAATTCCCCGCCTCACTCTTTTATAGAGGAACCAATCACGAACGCATTATTAATGACGTCACGCACCATTGTCAATCTAGAATCACCATTTTTACCACGTTATCGGTATCATACATCGCCGTCATATATATAATTACGATCATAGAGTTCATCTTTAAGTTATTATGTAGAAGATTCCGTATTTAGTGCGTTGAATCACATTTTAACATCGAAACGTATTGGTCGTCAAGTGAGACTATTTTCGAATGCAATCCAATATGGCGGACGACACTTGGAAATTTCTACGAATTCTCATGTTTCATGTCATAACTTCTTCAAACTACAATCAAACGGCTAGTTCTTCTGCCACAACATAGGGACAATTCAGTTGATTTAAAAGATTCAGCATTCTAAGGTAAAACTTCATGTCTTCAACATCATTTCACCAGGGGACTGATATTTTTACAAAATATTTCAGGTTTTGTCTCCTCAGATCATCACACAACTCCCCCCTTAATGAGATGCGTCCCGCATCTAATTCAATTACAAAATATTTCAGGTTTTCAGGTTATGCCAGTATATCACTCCTTTGTTTCTCTGTTAATCTAAATGCATCTAGTTCCATCGCTAAGTTAATAGCCTCCGTCACTGTTTTTGGTTTCTTTGTTTGTACATACATTCTGGCATCTCTGTCTGGTAACTTATTAATCACATGTTCAACAGCTATAGTTTCATGTCCCATTGCTGAAAATTCTGGGTAACCTCGCCTCACTAATCTTTTTATAGCTTGTCCAAATTCTTGATAGGATTCTTCTTTCTTCTTCATCCTGTTTTTCAATTGTACTCTAAATGTTTCAATGTTACATATATCATCAAAACGTCTACTCAACTCATCAACCATCATTGAGTAATTATTTCTTGTGGCCGTACTCATGTCACCCAATAATTGCTGTGCATCTCCCCGTAAATTGACAGCCAAATGAGCCACCTTTTGGGCATCGTTCCAATTATTAATCACTGCCACAGTTTCAAAATGTATTTGGTAATCTCTCCATGCTACTTCACTTGTGCCTTTAAATTTGTCAGGAACAACATCTGCTTGTTTCACATTATAACATGTACCATTTCCTGCAGGTACATTAAATACATTCAACTTCTGCTTTTCCACTGTCTCTCTGGTACCTAATGCTTCTTGAGAGCTGGAAGTGTCCATACTTCCCCTCAAGACTTGGGAGCTGGAAGCACCAGTGCTTCCCCCCGGATCATGGGAGCTGGGAGTTTCATTACTCCCCCCCATATCATCGTTGAACCTGGGATTTTTCATTAATCCCCCCAACGATTCACAGCTAGTGCGTACAGAACCATTGCTCTTCCCATCTCTGGAATTATTGTACATACCCTTTCCAATTCCACCCATGGCCAGGCTATGGTTTATTCCCTGTACAGAGCTCTTGCACGTTCCACTGCAATTTCCCTCTCCAGAACTACTGCGCATTAATTCAAAGGGCAGCATTTTGGTACCAGTCTCACTTGACAGACAGCCAGTTTCACCTAACTGACCAATGTTTTTCTTCTGTTCCTCTAGTAATTCAAACAAAGATCCAATTTCTTCATTCAATTGTTCCATAGTCACCATTCCATGATTTTGGTGTTCATTATTCATACTTGTTGAATTTAATCTATTGAAATCCAACCTTTTTCTGGATATCAAATCCTTCTGAGTTCCCGTCTCATTTACCATTGATAATGGGGTAACATCAACCAAGCTAGCATTGGGTGCTGAAACCACAGTTTCAATAGGTTTGTATTTATCTGATTTCATACATCTTGCCATCGTTTCCATACCAGAATCTGAATTGGCCGAAACAGAAACAGGTCTGGAGCCAAGAGCAACATGTGGTCTTTGGTCATCATCCCCATTCATCACCAACTCTGGATTTTTAAACGTAATTTCAGGCACATCCATTCCGCCTTCAGCCATTTTCACATATATGTGTACAATAAGGATAAATATATGCAATAATATAGAACAAAACAAGTGTCTTTTCCCTTTTAAATCACTTCCGAGTATCACGTAAAGTATCGTCAAACACTACTGCCACCAATTTTTGTAGCATGCAAGGTCTCTACACAACTAGACCCAGATGCTAAATCAGGAAACTGACACTTAGTTTATATTCAATACTATATACACGTTTATTAACCTATAATATGTACACTTAAATCACTCAATTAAGATGATTATCTATTCAAAATGTCTCTAATATATGTAGAAGATATGTCACTGCTATGATATCTCCACTAATAATTCATCAATCAGTATTTATTCCACATCCAATATCCCATAACAACCAGGTTTCACACACACAAAGGTCACTCAGTGCATATTCCAAGAACTAATCAATATAATGGTAGCGCCACAAGTTCTTGCTTCTTTAAGTGTTTCTTGCCAATATATGTATACTAACTGAATCATCAATGTGCCGTTTATTCCCAATCAATCACATACCAATAGTCAGTCACTGTATGAAAGACTCTAAATTTGTTCGGTAATTGACCACAATTGCCCAGAAACGTCTAGACCAAATCAGCTGTCAGTTATTCCATTCAGTCGCGTACTAAACGTCACATTTCACACTGAATTATTATACCTCAAGAATCATTCATAAGCAATTAGAAACACTGTCCACACACTGGGATATACAATTCTAGATCATGAATTACAAATCCAACAATCATCAAAAGTCGCGGACTTTTCTAACAAAAGTCGCGGACCAGTCGCGGACTTCTACACACAATTATTCAAAGAACACTACCAAAATGTCATCAAAACCAATTTCTAACACAAGTCCAAACATTCACACACACTTGGGACGGGAAATTATATTACAAATAACATTAATAGGGCTGTCACGGACTGTCGCGGACTCTCACCATTCAGAGTACGTGTTGCCACTCCGAGTTACCAAGCCAAAGACAATTCAAATTCCCCGCCTCACTCTTTTATAGAGGAACCAATCACGAACGCATTATTAATGACGTCACGCACCATCGTCAATCTAGAATCACCATTTTTACCACGTTATCGGTATCATACATCGCCGTCATATATATAATTACGATCATAGAGTTCATCTTTAAGTTATTATGTAGAAGATTCCGTATTTAGTGCGTTGAATCACATTTTAACATCGAAACGTATTGGTCGTCAAGTGAGACTATTTTCGAATGCAATCCAATATGGCGGACGACACTTGGAAATTTCTACGAATTCTCATGTTTCATGTCATAACTTCTTCAAACTACAATCAAACGGCTAGTTCTTCTGCCACAACATAGGGACAATTCAGTTGATTTAAAAGATTCAGCATTCTAAGGTAAAACTTCATGTCTTCAACATCATTTCACCAGGGGACTGATATTTTTACAAAATATTTCAGGTTTTGTCTCCTCAGATCATCACACAAAAATGGAAATTATTTTTCAATCAAATGATTTTCAATTCTTCTATTTCTATTACAGGCATATTTGCCCACAAATGCAAATTTCAATACATACATTTATATAAATTATTATATACCCAATATGTAACACTAATCTTGATTGGTCAATACCTAGTCACGTGTTCCGAAATAGATTTACTATTTCCCTCGGAAAGTTATATTCCCTCAAATGTGACGTCAGCGGGAATATACATTTGAACTATTTCCCACTGACGTCACGATTGCAACTTCTATTACCCTTGGAAACGTCTGTGCATCATCACTGCGCAGACGAAAAACAGAATGGAGGATGAGCACAAACACAAATCAACTCCGTTCACCATGACAGACGTGCGTGAACGATACAATCAATATAACCAACGTGAATAAAGTTCCAATACGTCTGTGTAATTTTAAGTGTTATGATAATCTATTCCGCGTGTTAAACGCGATTGGATTTGTCAAGTGAGAGTCTCAGAGGCAAAAATTTCTGTTGAGCATCTGATGACGTCGCAGCTTATAATGCTAACAATGGACCCGGGGAGGGGGCTTTCTAAGCCTTTTTGGCCTTCGCAGAGGAAACGGGACAAGAGTCAGTATAGGGTATATAATAAAACAAATAGTGACTGCCTAATTTCGAGCAATAGTGTAAATGATTTCCCCTTGGGAATATCCTCTACAATGTACTATTCCCTCAGCCTGCGGCTTCGGGAATAGTACATTGTAGAGGATGTTCCCTCGGGGAAATAATTTACACTATTGCCCTCAATGGCAGTCACTATTTGTATAATATTAATATTAAATTCTCTATGAGTGTAAAAGTTACAAAAATAGTTACCGTAATTTATTCCATTCCACTAATCTATTGTTCTTGGTATGAAACTACAGGGGAACTACAGTATATATATATAGATCTAAGTCTGTCCTGGTATTGGGGATTATGAATCTGAGGGGATGAGAGTTCCTTGTTGTGATGAATTGGTTTTGGGGTCTGATGTAGGGAGGGATGTTAATGGCTGCTTTGCCATTCATTGCCTTGTGGAAAAGTGTTAGTCTTGCAATATATCTCCTACAGTATGTTCCAGGCTATCCCACTCTAGAAGCGTGCTGCTCTTCGTTGCACTTGTTCTATCATGTGTGAATGATTTGCCCTATAAGGGTCCCCAAACCCCACTGGCATTCAAGATGGGGTCGCACAAGGGCTATGTATGATTGTGCTTTTACTTTCTCAGGGCAATTGTTAAGGGTTCTTCTTATGAATCCAAGTGTTTTATTAGCTTTCATTGTGGCATGAGTGATGTGTCTCTACATCTGCATCATGATCAATAATCTGCAAAAGCAGGTATATATAGTCTCTTTCAGTCTCTGGAGACTTGGTAAATTATTTAGAATAAAATTTGGAGAATGAATCGGATAGTCTGTATTTTAGGAAGTTGCTCAGTGCTTTGCCTGATGAGTGATTGAAAAAGACTACCTAATAAACATGAGTGACTGAAAAAGATTCATTTCATTATCATATCTACAGGCCAGGGAACATGTATAAAAAATCGACTCGAGTTCTGTATGCAAAGAGATTAGGTCGTTATCAATAAACCATGGGCTTTCAAGTTAAAAGCCGGAATGCAATAAACAGAAATTGTAAGAAGCCCAAAGTTTTATAGTCAATTGTGCCAAGATCATCGCTTGTCACTGTGCTTTATTCTATTTAGGTACTGGGGGAACAAAAACATTTTATGTCACCAAAAGTGATGACATATTGTTATGGGCAATCAGCGTTTTGGGATTGGCGATGACATTTTGCATTTTAATGCCATTTTGAAAATTGCAACTTGCACATGTTATTTTCTGGTACAAAATAAAGTATGAATGCGTGTGTGTATTTCCTTGCTTTTTTCAGGAAAGCATCATTTCATAGTTTTCTTTTAGTAAACCTGGTAAGAGGTCAATGGTTACTCCAAGAAATGCTGACATTTTCAATTATTGAAATTTGTTCTCCAAGTTTGTCAACAACACTGGACTGCATTTGACCTCTTACCAGATATCCTAAAACAAGGCAATGTCATGATACTCTCCTGAAAAAAGCAGGGAAATTCACTCATGCTTTCATACATTTTGTAATGTTTTCAAAAATGTTTTCTGGAAGCCTCACCTTACAGAAGGTCTCTGTAGTTATTAGAAATTTACACCAAACAGGAAATGAAAACTAAGATAAAAGATTTCTGCTTTGACCTTCAGTCAGTTTTACTTGTCAGAATGACCCTAAACATCATAAAATAGCCTTTCAGCCCTCTAAAATTGTGACTGAAAAATAGTTAAAAGTTAATCTTTGCAAAAAGTCACTGAACAGCATATTTTTAATTTTCAGAAAATGTGCCCAACATAAATAAAAAGACAAAAGGCTGGAAATTTTTTTTAAATGTCTGAAACAAAACTGTGGTTGTCACAAAAAGGAATAGATTGATTTTCAAATCAATTTTTTCAAATTTTCCAAGCTTGTATCATTTAAAGCAATATATTGGGCACATTTTCTGAAAATTCAAAATATTCTGTTCAGTGACCTTCCCGTCCCCGAAAGGTTAATAAAGTAATCAAGTATAGATATTCCCACTGATGTTTTATCAATGAAAACGAGACTCTACAAATTAAGCAAACAACCACAGTTTCTCTCACTATAAACACACTAAATATTAGGAAATTAGGAAATCAGAATATGACCATAGATGATGAATGGGGCTCTTGGTAAACACATATGAAACACTAATTGTTGAACTTCATTATTTTAGCTGCAGTCAGACCAGCCGTGAGCAGTCATGTTTACAAGCTCCAGTGCACTGATGCCACAACTACCCCTGAAGTCAAACGTAAGTTCACATACAATATACTGGTGTACAGTAGAAACTGCTAAGTGGAGAACACCTGTGAGTGGAACACCTCAAAAGTGGAATAGGTCCTGCAGCCCATTGATTCCATTTTAATGAACCTCTGTAAAGTGGAACACTTTTTTTGTGGTCCCGAGGGTGTTCCACTTTCACAGGTTCTACTGTAGTTTTAAATGAAAATTAGTTTATTACATAAATTAAATATTTCATTTTACTTACACATTCTTATTGCTCACTTTAAAGCCACTAATTATGGTCTCATTTATTTTTTGAGACGTATATTTTTACGTTGATCCAACCATTTTTACGTAATTTTTATGGTGGTTTCTGTTTTACATTTTGTCTATGTTGATTTCAGCCACTGTGAGACCAGAGAACCCTTTGATGCAGCAGACCCTATTTGACTTTGGTGAATATGTCGCTGAATGTCTCCCTAAGTTTGTTCAATCTGTGGAGGTGACAAAGGGAGATGAACTGCAGGTAAAACATTGAGAATATTAAGATAATTTCATTAAGTTACAGTTATCTCACATAAGACACCATAAGGCATGTATATTATTTGTATATATTGTAAATAATTTTAAATTATTACTGGGCCTCTAGGAAGACCAGTCCTGTACTGATAGAGCTACCCAGAATAAATATAGTTTTCATATCAAATCAAATATACACATAACATATCTTTATGTTTCAGACACACGCTCTGATTTTATGAGATATGATTCTAGATTATTGTATGATGCTATTTTATTATATGATTCAAGATTATTATATGATTCTTGATTATTGTATGACACTATTTTGTTGTATGATTCTAGATTATTGTATGATTCTTTATTATTGTATGATTTCAGGTTATGATATCACCAGAGGGAGTTGTACCAGTGATAAGTTTCTTGAAAGATCATCACAATGGCCAGTTCCTAAACATAGTTGATATAGCAGGAGTAGATGTGCCAACCAGACCTTATAGATTCGAGGTATATACAGGGTGGGCCAAAAAAACGCCACTTTTTTTCAAAATGCTATAACTTTTTTAATTTTTGATATTAAATTATAATTAGCATATCAAATGAAACTTGAGGTTGTTATCTAGCCATGAATCATAAATTATACAGTTTTACTTGAATAAAATATGTCACCAGCGTCTCACTTAAACATGTGGTTTTCATGAGAAATAAGCATAATTTGCAAAATGTTGCTGAACTGATACGGCCTGATGATCGCCAAGCTAATAGCCCTGATTCAAACCCCATGAGTATAGGGTATGGGAAGGTCTCCATGAGATTGTATGAAGGCACCCAATCTAGAAAATTGCTCAACTAAAGCTGGGAATTTAGACAGGTTGGAAAAAACTTAGCTAACATTTCATTGATACTGCAATATCAGCAAGGCGACTAAATCTAAAATATATCATCAATTAGGGTGGCAGACCAATTGAACTCCCCTTTTAGATCAAATATAATCCAAGTTGAATGGCTAAGAACCCTTGGCACTATATAACTGCAAAATTTGAGGTAAGTAGGTTGGAAAATAAAAAAGTTGTAGTGTCTTGAAAAAAAAGTGGCGTTTTTTTGGCCCACCCTGTAGAAGCATTATTCTAAGTATGCCATCTATTTGCATAAACCATGGAGCTCTGAAAGTCATTGACCTCGAAAGTTAGTTTGATTTAGAAAAATAGATTGAGGGAAAATTACCACTCATAAATGCAATTTTGAGGGAGTCAAAAATCGAACCGAACCTTTCATTCATTCAGCTTTCATTCAGTTTAGTTACATACTTTGTGTAATGTTTATGTGAATAAATGTTTCCTTTATAGATTGTATACCTGCTTCTGTCTCTACGCTACAATGCCCGTATTACAGTGAAGACCTATACTGATGAACTGACCCCCTTAGAATCTATATGTTCCATATTCCATGGAGCTAATTGGTATGAGAGAGAGGTATGTCTGCTCACAATGCATTAAATTATTAATCTATCAGCTAATGGGACATTTTTACCTGTTTTTACTATTAAGCTGTAATAAAAAATCAGTAATAAGGTTCAGTTTTGTAAATTTTGTAAAGCTGGACACTGTGGACAATACACATTTAAAAACCCAATTTGTGTAAATTAGATGGATATTGCCAACATCTTCAGTGATCTCCCCAGCATTAAAGCAGTTGGCCAAAGCATCCATCTTAGATTTTAAATTAATGCTTGCACCCGCCTGAAAATCCATTTGCACCCACTTCAAAATGAGAAAAATCATGAAAAATAGGCATATTTTGACCAATTGTGATCTGAATTGTAAAAATGAGAATTTTGCACCCACTCGAGAAGAAATCCTGTGGATAACATTGATCTTGTCATTCTGGTTTTACAGAGGATAATAAAGATTTGAAAATGCTCAAGTTGATTTTAAAAGCTGAACGGGAATATTGTTGACTGTAACATGTTTGAAAGTTCTCCAATTATCATATACATGTATTACCTAGTTAAAATCATTCCATAATTATGTTGACTGGGGTTGACTTGAGGTCAATTGAGATACCTCATGTTTAGTTTGTATTACTTTACATATGTATTTTTATTAATCCTTAAGTTTCATTTGTCTTCAGATCTGGGATATGTATGGTGTCTTCTTTGCCAACCACCCTGATTTGCGCAGAATCCTGACAGATTATGGCTTTGAGGGACATCCATTTAGAAAAGATTTCCCTCTCTCAGGATATGTGGAGGTAGGTTAATTGTTCCTTCAAATCAATTACCATGCTAAATAAAATGATTAAAAAGAATTATTAAGTGCTCAAGGGCATTTGAGTTTCTGATAGAATTTATACTTTCATTTTGTTGATTATGAATTAACTGTTTAACAATGTTACCTATTGTACCACAACTTATTATTGTACTTATGTTGAGCTCTATTTCAGTGCGGAATCATGATTATTATCGCACTTAATATAACATTTTGTTCTATTCCAGTGTCGATATGATGATGAAGTGAAACGTGTTGTTCTAGAACCCTTGGAATTGTCGCAAGAATTTCGTAAATTTGAGTCACAGACACCATGGGAAACTTTCCCTTCTCACAGGACTGAAAATAATCCCACACATGTTCCCCTTAAAAAAATAGAACAAGGCAACAAAGAAGAGGAGAAAAAATAATGATTCTTATATATAGGATTATTATTATATTATTAATGATACCAGAACGCTGAACTCAATTAAAATGGAGAAGAAATGTAACACTGTATTAAACATAATTTCTAGGTTACCATCTGCCTACTTTGAAAAACTGTTTCTGTTATATCTGTGGATTTATTCCGATGCCAGGGTTTTTCATTTCTTTGTATATAACTATAATAAATTATGAATTTATGAGTTAATAAAATGTGTAGGCAAAAATAGCAAAATCTTCAGTTTAATTTTTACTCCCATGCAGATTTTAATTGATCTTTACCACAGTCAATTGCACTTTGATTTGGGCACGCTCAAATCAGCTTGATAATGTATAATTATTCTTCTAACAAGTTGAAAAACAGAATCTGAAGTGTTCTGATGAAAGTGGGAACGGTCTGAAATGCTGCAATAAATTTGTCTGGGAAATCTGTTTTTATGTCATCACCAAAGAGTGGTGACATATTGATATGGTCTCCATTTTGTTTTTTTTGACGGCAGTTGGTGGTTGGTAGTATGGCGACAAATACTGTTTAGACCGATTTCAATTTTTTCAAAATCATGTACAAGTTTTCAGAAGTTCAAATTTGACTTTATAATAAGATTTGACCCTTCATTGACTTTTTCAAGGTCAAAAAGTATTTTTTTCAACTTGCTTCAAATTGTTTTCCAAGTTATGAGAAGTTCAAATCTGCCTTTAGATTTGAATTTCAATGACCTTTTCAAGGTCAAAAAAAGTATTTTTTCAACTTCATGTAGTTGAATGTTTTGAGGATCAATACTGTAGAAACACACTTAATTTGGCGGATTGAAAATTAACAAAGCCAATTTTCAGATCTATTTTGGATATTTGCAATAACCATCAACATCCAATGACAAATGCTTATTTAATCACAATGCTTATTTCCAGATATAAGATCAATCATATAACTTAAGCTCAGTCCTGAATCCGCCTAATTAAATAGCTACTAATATTTGAAATTGAGCAAACCTGCCAAATAAAGTAGCATCGAATTCAGTGTATCTACAGTATGCCAAAAGTCTTCCTAATAGGTCAAGTGCGTTTTGGAAGTAAAATGCTTTAACTACAAACCATACATCCAACTGAACAAAACATCAATGTGTAATGTTATTTTTAATATATAAACATAATTTATTCTCTTGATAGTACATTAGAAATGTACATAACTCATTTTGAAAACATGTTGAAAACATACATGTTACATTCAGTACAGTTTTGTACATGTATTTGAAAAATGACAACAAATCAAAAGTAATAGGTAATAAAAAATATTTTAAACAGTTATTTTACACTTATTTCAAATGATACAAGTATAATTTAGGGTCCGAGGGAATGTTTAATAATAATGCCACATAATTGTAGCACTGAACGTGTATTGCTAATAAAAATGCTTTAAATATACCTTATTTAAGAGGGACAAGTTCAATATGCTATTTGTGGTTTGGAGATCAATCAAAGATTTTGGGACATCTTAACACTGACCTAGTCCCTTGGAAATGTTAGATCAGCATTTTTTTTAAAAAAAAGGAATAATTGCAATCTTAACAAGTTACATTTGGCAAAAATTATACAATAAAAGTTGACCACATTAGTTTAATCTCATTTGGTTTACACAGCCAATTTCTTGGGCATAAATAACCTGGTAATGTTGTAATAAAGTAATGATGAATAGTTTATATTTAGGCAAGCTTCAAAATAAATAATCACATCCATGTATAATTTTCATCACAATAGAATATGATTAACAAGAACAATTCATGTTGTTAATCATTCTGTGATTTTTCTTGAATAACAAGACTAACACTGGTGTAAGATCTAATCTCATAAACTATCTAATTCACCATATGAATCCAAATGAAAATTGGTTTAAATTTGAATAAAATAAATAGAAAATACAATCCTATATCTAGATGTTTTAAATATTCTTTCTCCTAAAATGTTTTTGACACAGTGACACTGCTTAATACCACTGCAATCCCAACATTGCCCGAGAATAAATGGACGTGCTTGTTAGTATTTTGGGATTTGTAGCATTGTGGCATTGTTGATAATATGTGACGTCGCACTCAAATGATTAAGTGTGACACTACATTGATAATATGTGACTAACACATTGCTTTAGTGTGACATCATAGCTGATAACAAGTGACATCATATAGGCAACCACTCCTGTGTGGGAATGTCTAATATAACGTCCATATCTGGAGTGCATCTGAAAGCATAGGGAAAAGGGAAATATTAAAAAATATATAAATCATACTCATATAAAAAATTTTAAACTGATGGTGAGAGGACATAACTTTGATACCCATTGATAGTATTGATTCTGAAGTTGAAATCCTAATAGATATTGATAAGTTCAAAATGCAGTGCAGTGTCTATGTGTATTTTGAGCTTAACTGGAAATATCCTGTATATTCCAGTACTGTATCTATTAAAAAATTCATTAATAAAAATATTCTGGGCAAGATTTTAATATCAATTTTATTTTTCTGTTATTCTAATATGATATGCGACATCATAATAACTAGAACAATTGAACTGTTGGTTTATAACGGGGTATATATGACAACATTTCATTATACTGTATACCACTTCAGGCAAATGGTTATTTTTATGTTTGTTCATAATATCAGAATTGGAGACCTTGATTCTATGATTTATGGCAAATATAAGTCCTTAGATTTTATTCCGCCCATTGCCAAAGACCTTTTGGTTTTTATAATGATCAGAAAAATCATTAGTCATATTATATATTGTGTCATTAATCATAGAATCTTGGTCATTCCCTAATCATAACTTTTAATTGATGCATTGTACATGTGCAACTCAAACTTACTTTTGTGTAGGGGGAAAAAACTCTGGGAATATCTGTTTTTTGGCATTTGTTTTTGGACTACGTAATAACTTGGTCACTTCTTGTTCTAAATCTGCAATAATTGCTTCAACCTCTTTTAGATCTTTCGTATGATACTCAATCTCCTGGAAAAGTTAAAGAATAAATATAAAGAGTAAATATATACAACAATATATATTTCAGCCAGTTTAATCTAGTTTAAACTGGCTACACCAATGCAACACAGGTAATTTTAACGATAAAGAACATCTGCTCAGTGGTAAAATATAAAGATAAAGCCTTGATATTTTCAGAGAAGAAAATACAGTTTTAACGACTAGCATGCCATATAAGTTTTAGCACAGTTTTACTATTGATTGAGTGACTATATTACGCGGTACTAACTTCGACCGTTAATTTGAATTTTTGACCTACCAGGTGCTTGAAAATCAAGGATTCCGAGTCTCATACTGCACTATTTTTCTTCAAACTTATACCATTAAAAGCAAAACATGATTGCCTTTCTTTCGGTGCATTACTTTATTGTAAAGAGTCCCTCATTCTAGCAGCGTTTTGGTCCCCAGCTGTTAGAAGGCCTTCTTACAGCTGGGAACCAAAATGCCGCTGGAAGTAGGGACTCTGTTTAAGAGTTTAATGTACCATCAGAAAGGGATTTTTGTTATGCTTTGAATGGAACAAGTTTGAAGAAAAACGGTGCAGTATGAGACTCATAATCCTTGATTTACAAACATCCGGTAGGTCAAAAATTCAAATTAACGGTCGAAGTTAGGACCGCGTGTATATGTACTCTAGTGTATTAATTATTTTCTATGCATTAATTCAAAAATTTGTGCACAGTTTCATTACTGATTAAGCCAAATGGCTATATCATATCATTCCAACCCACCTTTTCCATAACTGTATTCTGGAGGGTCATATCTTTCAGACTAGGGTGCATTTGATCCAAGAATTTGCCAGTAATTCTGTCTGTAACTTCATCTTGGTATTTGTCTGTCTTTTTGCGCAGTTTCCCTAACTCTGTGTCTATAATGTGCTGCAGTTCAGTCTCATCTTCCTGAAGGCAAAGCCAGTAATTTTATGTAAAATGTTAACATAATTCATAAAAATATTTTCATAAGTTATTATTTGTGATTGCAAATATTGTCTTTGAAATTTTATCAAATAGATAGAAGTTTTGATTACAAGCCCTTATTCTGATCTGAAGTCTTGAGTCAGCACTTATTTCAAAGGGCTGAGTTAGCACTTATTCTGAAGTAATGATTTAGCACTTATTCTGAAGTAATGAGTAAGCACTTATTCCGAAGTACTGAGTTGGCACTTATTCTGAAGTAATGAGTAAGCACTTATTCCGAAGTACTGAGTTAGTACTTATTCTGAAGTAATGAGTGAGCACTTATTCTGAAGTATTGAGTCAGCACTTATTCTGAAGTACTGGGTTAGCACTTATTTCGAAGTACTGAGTTAGCACTTATTCTGAAGTCTTGAGTGAGAACTTATTCTGTTATATTGAGTTGGCACTTATTAAGTTGATAAACACTGTTAATAACTTATAACTTCATTACAGATTCAGCACTGAATAAATACATTGTACTAGTAAATAATTATAGCACTGAACTTATCTTCGATATAAAATTATATCTAGTGTACTATCATACTTAATATAAAAACTAAATAGACATATAAACTGACATATATTTTATACTTGAACTACTATACTCTGCTTTATTTTGATGTGTAACAGTTAAATGGGAGCATGGATTTAAGAATTGGTTTGGGGAAACCTTGAAAACAATGAGGATTCTAATTTAAGGATTTTTAAAATAAAGACTTGTGTGTGCTCAACTCTTTATTATTTGAATGCATCCCTGATTTTGAAAATACTTTTTCTTGGATTCAAGTATTGAATATACTAAGGCACATATGCAAGAATCACCTTAAAAACTTTAGAGAATAAATTATTATTAGTATACTTACTAGCATCCACACCTGGGAAATAATAATGAATAAATAAATGTATTGAATATACTAATCGCACATATACAAAAATCACCTTATAAACGTTAGAGTATAAATTATAATTAGTATACTTACTAGCAACCACACCTGGGAAATAATAATGAATAAACAAATATATTTAAAATTCATTATGATAGAATGACTCGAAAATCAACATTTTTACCATCATCATGTACTCCCTCCATTAATGAAATTAAGTTCTGCAACTCATGGACAATTGAACACCCACCCTTCTCAGTTCTTCAGTGTTCCTTTTACATGTTTATAAGATGTTTTTTAATCACCTTTACTTCTTTTTCATGGGTTAGGCAGAAAAAGCCAATGCTAGTAATGATACCTTTTTCAACAAAATGTTTGCAATTAACAACCATGTCCCACCGGAGATGCTGGAAAAGGCACTTGTATTGTTGTTTTTTTAATGTTTTTGAAGTTTACAATTTTGGCAAAAGATAACACTACCAATCCACCATGCAGTTGAAGCTGGAGAGCCTCTCATCATCACAGTCGAAAGAAATGAGGTAAGATTTCGACATTAGGACCAGATACAAGAATATTGAGGTTGGGGCCTGCATTATACTTACAGCGTTGGTTATTTTTAATGAGTCTATTTCTTTTTGTAAATCCGCTATCCGCATGGCTTTTACTGGATATTCTTTGTCCTGGGAAAAAAATTGATACATATTCCATACTTTGTTTTATTTCATCATGTCACAATTAATAACAAATTATGTACATAACTGAAAAACAATTAATTAGATGGAGTACTGGTCTCTGCCAATCAATATACAGTGTACACCCAAAAATAAAATTCACATTCTCTGTAATGCTAAAATCAATAGTAGTTTTAGTTTTTATAAGTAAACAATATTTACTCATATTCAATTACATTTCAAAACTTAACTGCAATTCTATAAGAAAGAGAAAAAATACAAATGCTTAAAAAGCATCATAGTTCAGAACTTACCTTGTAATTCATAAGAACATGGAACTCAGTCTGTTTGTCTTGTAATCTTTTTTCAGCCATTTCCACCTGTGACTCTAATACTGAAAACAAAACAAAAAATAGCTTTATAAAATGCTCAAAATGTTGTTATTTATAGCAAATTGACTACTCTAAAGAATTAAAAGGGATAGAGAGGGTACAATGCTTGAGGCAGTCTTTTCAAAAATCATTCCAATATTTTCCTTATAAAATCAAGGTTTATTTTTAAAATATAGAACTGAGATATCAAATCAGGAATTTACAGTCAAATGCAGTTGAAATTGCAGTTGCAATTGCAAAATACATTCTCAACTGTTCAGGCAATAGTACATTCCTAACACATTGCAACAAGTGCCTTCTCCTGATATATGGCCAAGATCAAGCCATACATTTGCTAACTCACAGGACTAATTTACAGAACTAGTGCTTTCTCCGGATATATGGCCAAGAGCCATCCATAAATTACAAATACGATTATCATGCATGGATAAACTGGGACTTCTGATTGGTCCCCAATGGTATGTAACAACCTGAGGTGCATCCAGGAGCTGTAGTGTAACAAGCCAGATACTGGACATGAAAAGAGTGCTAAATTCAATGCTCCATGCAGGAATTGAACACAGGACCTTCCACTCCAAAGTCCGACTTTCTACCACTGAGCTATAAGGGCTAGCCACTACAGCAGGGCTATATCAGCAATTTGCTATCGAGGGTCATTACAGGTATATTCATCCCTAAACTAGGTTTTTATACAATACTCGACACTTACTTGTTAAATCTTTTTTAATTTGTCCTTGTGTCTTTCTCAAATCTGCTCTAGCATCTTCTTCTTCCACTTCAAACTTAGAATTCAGAACACCAATACCTTTCTGCAATTAAATGTACAGTATAAATCATATAATGCATCACGGACTTTCAAATATTTTGCTTGGAATGTGTCACTTCGTAGGGTAGTAGACCTATATTCAAACTATTTTCAATTTATTCTGTTGATTATCAGTCCAACTGTTAATTCTTTGAAGACAATCAATCAGTGCTAATAATTATCTTTAACTCAAATGTCCAAACACTCTTATACTGTTATATGAACTATTTTATAAAAAATTGAATGTGTAGATCCATCGCCAAGATTTTCCAGAAGGGTTCACAGAGTGAGATTCAAGGTTGTAAATATAATGCAAATCAATCTCAGTAATGTGAGAATTTTCCAGTGTAGAGGTTCACTTAGCAAATCAAGGCAAAAGAGTTTGAAAGAATCCTGTGAACTCCCCTGGCTATGGACCAGTGTGTAAATAAACAATGCAATTTTTACATTCTGTAAAACAGGACCATAGCAATAAAGATTAATACTAACTGAAAGAACAATAAACAATGTGAACAAAACAAAGTAAAACAGAATAAGTTCAAGGATGTGCAACCTGGTACTGTTCCTCATCTTTTTGAAGTTTTGGTAAATCCAAATCTGTGCTTTTACTTTTACGCTAGCAGCAAAATATGTTATGATATATCATACAGTTGAATTATTAAAAACAATCCATTTGCCCTTTCTAAATATCAAGCCCTAGTTTTATAATTCATAGTTCACAATTGTCTTGAATATAGCATGTTGTAATATATTTTATTATCATTTTTAATTTTTAGAATCTACAATAACTGATTTTAGAATCTACATTATAATTGATCATATTTATATGAAAAAAGAATTTTGGATTTAAAAGTGTATTATATACAATACATGTTTTTAATAAATGTGAACAAAGTCATATGAAATATTGGAATTATCCAATAGATACTCACCCTAAATTTTTCATATTTCCTGAGTAATTGTTTAACACCAGAGTTTGCATCACCTTCTGTCTCGTCAATCTCCGCTTTCAGTTTAATATTTTCAACTAATCTAATTATTGGTTAAGGAGTTGATACGTACAAGTTTGACCATCCTTGAAAACTTTAACCTCTCATTTACATAAGGTTATCAGTAGAAGCAGTATGGTTGAAAACTGGTGGATATTAGCTTTCAAAATGAAGTTTTAAACTTTCAAGTTGTCAACTTAGCATTTAGTCATTTCAAATGCTTGCTAAGAGCACTGTTCAAGGGGCCTTGAACAATATCAAGTGCATGTATTTAAACAAAGGATACAAAGTTTCATATCTTTTCTTGTATTCTTTCAGGGTATGTTCTCTTGTATTGATACGCAACTGAAATAAACATTAAAATATTTCATTTGAATAATTTGCTTAATATATAACTTCTTTTCAAAGTTGGGATCGGAAAATTTGTCAGCTATGGTGGAGCATGCTGTTTTTCAAAAAACACTAAGAAAACTTCACAATTTATTCTTAGCTCATTCAAATATGTTTCATTTAATAACATTAACTAAATAATCTAAATACCATTTTAATATACTGTACAAAAATGATATACAATCTATAACATATGGTACACTGGCTTTTCAAAATACATGTACGTACCTGTAATATTTTTAAATCTTCATTCTTCTCTTTCACAACTGCATATTCTTCCTTGGGAGATGCTGTGTTTTGTTGTATCCTAGATCTAGAATGACTACATACTGATGAAACTGCAGATGTTGGTCGCACATTTTGTTTCCAGGGTGCAGCTACCGTGAAATCTGCAAATAATTAAAATTCAAATGCCAGTTTGCATGCATCGAAATTGTCACATTATTCCCAAGTAAAACAAAAAAGAAAATTATTTACAAAATTATAATTATTAATATATTATTAAATAAGATTATTTTTATTTTAGTTCAATTGTTATAAGACATCTAAGCAATTCAATATTTTGCCTATGCATCATTGTAAAATCATTAATTCATTCTGCATGGAACAAAATGTTGGATGAGAGACAAAAGAAAATTGAAACATCTAATTGGTTGTTAAGAGCAAAAAAGTAAAGATCTTACCTGATATTGAGCGGAGTGTGCTATCTTTCACAACTTTCCTTGCAGGTGGGGGAGGACGAGATAACTGACCAGGTTTTGACTTCCGCTGCCATTGACTATAGTCAAAATTTTCATCTAACTGACCTCCAATCTGTTTGAGGAGTTCATCATCGGCAAATTGGCTCCGATCAATCTGTCCTACAGCCTTTCTGCCCCAGCCTCCCGGCATAGTGAACCTAGAACAAAATGTTGTTAGAGTTTGGTATCAGGAAAATAAAATTTTTATTTGCCTTGAACAAGATATTTTTGATCATATTTGCAGTATCCAATGAGGTGCTACATTGATACAGGGATTTTTTAACTTCAATTGTGATTTACACAAAATAATGTACAGTATAGCTTGTACGACTTCTCTTATACTATACCACGGACATCAAGTAAGTTTCTGGCGAAAGCTGGAGCATAGATTATAAAGAGGACTGGAAAGAAGATGGCATTCTATTTCAATTCTGCCAACTCAAGTTGGCCTATTTATCAGTATTGACTCAGTTGTTTATCTAGTTTTACTTACCTTAGATGCTTAGTAATCTATTTAGTATAATATTGTTTCCAAAATCATTGTCATTTGCGATAATTAGTACTAAAAGTACTTTGAACAGGTCAGCTGCCATTTGCTTGGCCCAATCGTACCAGTCCACAAAAACAGTGAAATCATATTAAAAATACCAATAAAACTTTAAAATTGAGGCAGATGCGATGCAAAGAGACTCTATTAATACAGTAACAGATATATAGTTTACAGTCACCAAGATGAGCTAATTTCAGGCGAGATTCGGGAAATAAAAAGGGAGGTCATTCTTGTTTCCAGTCCTCTTAAATAATCTATGCTCGGGCTTTCGCCAGAAACTTACTTGACGTCGGTGCTAAATACATCTAGGCTATATTTTCCACAAAATCACTTTGTGTAAGAAATAATGTTATGTTATTTCCGATTACTTTAGAGCATCAATAAATGCAGCTGCAAGCAATAAACTCAAGTCATCCCCACAAAGTGAGACTAGGGGAGATGTGTCATACATGTACTTCGACAAATAGGGTTTCTTCATCATGGGGCTCTTGAAAGCCCATGACGAGATCAATCCAAGATGGCTGACCCCGGAAATATGAATTTTCAGCAATTGTCAAAATAATCCCATGGTCAAAGTAGCCCAATAGCTCAAAGTTTGACGCATCTCCCCTAAAGAGGCCAACTTTAGGATTGGAATAGAAATAACAATGTGACATTGACGTCAATTGAAATATAACATTTGATGTATGATCATCATCATACTACATCAAATAGGCTAGTAGGCCTAGAACTACAAGGTCTTGAACTGAATTGTTGTCATCGATGATCGATCGAGAGTGAAAACAAGGCACAGACGTGAACAATATCGTACCTAAAACACAGCATTGTGGTCTTGTTGACCAAGAAAGCAAGATGGCCGCAGAAAAGTTAATCAGCTCTAGAACTTATCACTGTGTAACATTTGAACGGTTTGGCTGGAAACCTGTAGACAAGTCTTGAAAGTGAAGATTTTAGGACGGAAAATCCAAAATGGCCACCTTAAAATTTACCCAGAATGCCCAAAAACTAATCAGTTCTTGACGTTGATATGTAAAAACATCCCTGAAAATTTCAGATGAATCCCTCAAATGGTTTGGCTGGAAACCTGTAGACAAGTCTTGAAAGTGAAGATTTTAGGACGGAAAATCCAAAATGGCCACCTTAAAATTTACCCAGAATGCCCAAAAACTAATCAGTTCTTGAAGTTGATATGTAGAAACATCCCTGAAAATTTCAGATGAATCCCTCAAATGGTTTGGCTGGAAACCTGTAGACAAGCTGAAAAGTGAGACGCCGCCCGCCCGCCAAGCTGACTATCATATCGTACCTTTTGTTAGGTACGATAAAACCCCATGAAATTGGAAAGTAAAAAATAGGAAAATTTCGGAGTTGACGCCTTCAGAGAACATCACTCCTGCTCCCAAACAGTGCTTCGACTAATACAATCCATCCAACAAGCCTGGGGAAGAGGAGAAACCGTGATTGCTGCAGTCCTGGATTACGAAAGTTGTTTCGAACGAATTTGGAGAGAGGGACTCATATACAAACTGTTTAACAAAGACATCAAAGGCAGGATGCTCGTATATTTACACGAATACCTTAACAACCGACAATTCTCAATCACAACTAATGACTTTACCACACCACTAATGACATCTAGGGTGGGTATTCCTCAGGGATCAATTCTCAGTCCATCCCTCTGTAACCTATACACTGAAGACTCTATGACCTCTGTGAAATCCGCCACAGCAGGATTCGCAGATGATAATATCATATGGGCACATGGTAAAGACATTGATAAGCTATCATCACAAATCAACGAAGACCTTAACCAAATTGCTGTCTCTTGGTGTGGAAAATGGAACATGGAAATTGCCCCTGAAAAAACTGAAGTCCTAATTTTCACCCCACCAAACAAACCCTCCCCGGTAGTTAACATCCACATCGGCGGAAAAAAGTTGGACTTAGTGACACATAAGAAAATACTTGGATGCACTATTGACACTGAACTAACTTTTAACCAACACATAGACCTGAAAACAAAAGCGGCCTACGGAGCGCTTAGCGGCATCTCAAACTTCACATCTAATAAGGGAGGATGCAGCCAAGAAGTCTTTACAATGCTCTATAGAGCACTAGTAATGCCTCACTTTGAATCAGGCATCAGCGCTGTCGCATCAGTAACAGATAAAGCTATAACAGCATTTTCACCTATACACAGATCAGCACTACTAAAGGCCACCGGCTGCATAACATCTACCAGCACTGACACTTTAGAAATTTTAGCTGGAGTTCCCCCCCTCGACATAATCCTAAGGGCACGCCAAGCTCAAGAAGCTGTTAGAATTCTTACCCATCACAGATCAGCCCCAATTACTGACGAATATGAACAATGGGCCCAGTCATCTACGCTAGAACGCAAACCCTCCTGCTTTAACATCCTAGCAGCAAGATTACGACTGTATAACTGCCCAACCTCTCAGGAGAGTTATTACAAACACATCTACCACAACGAAAACATTGAAACTTTTAAACTACCACCTGTCAAAGTCCATGTGGAGGACTTCAAGAACTCTAAACAATCACAGAGTGACAATATAGTCAACATACTTTCCTCAAAACCAGATAAAGACACTATAGTTTTCACAGATGGTTCATCACTGGGGAACCCAGGGCCAACAGGGGCAGCAGCAATCATCTACCAACAAGGCCTGTCTTCCTCCCCAATATGCATCGAATCACCAACCTCTAAGATTGGCAACAACTATATCGGCGAAATTCATGCATTGAAATTGGCACTGGAATTCCTCACCTCAGCCACCACAAGCCCTGATATTACACTACTATCAGATTGTCAACCGGCAATAATATCAGCCTTCTTAACCACTAACTTAAAAGGAATTACAACTGATATACTCGAAATTCGCAAAGCCTGTAAAACCCTTATACAGCAACATAAAACCATCCAAGTCTACTGGGTACCTGGACACCAGGGCACAGAAGGCAACGAACTAGCAGACAAGATGGCCAAGAAGGCAGCTGAAAATGCCAAACAGCTCACGAAACCAACATCACAAAGACTACAGCTTATAATAAGATTAAAAATGCCTGCACTCACAAATGGCAGTCCAGATTTGAGAACTCTAGTAAAGTGAGCTTCATTCAAAACCTGGTCCCTAAGATCAAAACCAAAAGTTTAAGCGTTCAGGTAGGAAATAGGTACAATAGAGTATTAACAAACCAATTTATGTCTGGGCACACACAACTTAACAAACATCTCTCAAAGCTAAACCCTGAGAATAAGTCCCCTAATTGTACTCATTGTATGGTCCCCGAGTCAATACACCATTTTATATTTGACTGCTCCTTATTCCAGGACCAAAGGGAGGAACTACTTGCTCGCATCGACACTATCTTACTAGGAGAACAACACCCGCAAATCATAGACTTACAACTCATACTAGGTCTAAACACAAACATCAACGGACCCACCAACAGAACAATCACAGAAGCGCTGCATCGCTATCTGCAAAATACAAAAAGATTTTAAGCAAACAAAATAAGAAAGAGACAGTGACTCTATACCAAACTCATGAGATAGTCTAGCGACTCTTTTACAACTTAATACAGGATTAACTATATTTCTACTACCGTCATAATATTGAAATAATATATTCTTAGCGCTCTCTCTCCACCTTAGCAAAGTATAAGTGAAAAGTATAAGTGATAATAGTACCGAAGTGAATAACTGAGTAACCAGTGTCCAAAGGCAGCATTATAGTGCCAATAGTGTCACACGGACACTTAACTCCTTCATGACTGACAATTTTGGGGAAAATGGAAAGAAATGAAAAACTGAAATGTAAATGAATCTAGAAGCAAGAAAAGGAAGCAACACCCAATAAGTTATATGTCATTTTGAAGGGCTATACCCATACTTTATGTTTTTTGAAAAAAATGTGAATATGCAAATGAGATAGTGTCATTGTGACGTCATAATTCAAGATGGCGCAGTTGGATTTTTTTCAAAATATAGTTATTTTAGCATTTAATTTTTTATTGAGACTTCAATTTAAAAATCTGGAAACGCAGAATTATAGATCTTCTTATGCTGATTTCAGTGGTATTTATACCATGACATAACTCCTACAAATAGATTTTTTAGAGCTTCGAGACTGCAAATTCTCGGAAAATCCCTATGGCGATTTAACATGGGATTTTATCGTTTTCGCAATTTTTCGCGCGCTCACCATCTTCGGATCACTGTAACTTTGTAAATACTTAACGAAAAGTCATGAACTTTTTTTTAAAATGTTTGTACAGACTTCAGGATTAAATAAATCGATAAATCATGCATTTTTACCATCAGGGGTCCCTTGGAGACCCCTTAGAACAAAATCGATCATATATGATCGATTTTGTTTCTTGCTATTCTAAGGGGTCTCCAGGGGCCTTATTTCAATAAAACTGCAAGAATAATGCATTTTCTAAAAGAATGGACCAGTAGGAACATTTTAAAAAAAAGATTGTTTTAATCTGATGACTCTGTGCAAAGTTAGAGGCACTTGAATCTGACATGTCGCGAAAAAGTATCGAAAACGATAAAATCCCATGTTAAATCGCCATAGGGATTTTCCGAGAATTTGTAGTCTCGAAGCTCTAAAAAATTTATTTGTAGGAGTTATGTCATAGTACAAATACCACTGAAATCAGCATAAGAAGATCTATAATTCTGTGTTTTCAGATTTTTAAATTGAAGTCTCAATAAAAAATTAAATGCTAAAATAATTCCATTTTAAAAAAATCCAACTGCGCCATCTTGAATTATGACATCACAATGACACTATCTCATTTGCATATTCATATTTTTTTTCAAAAAACATAAAGTATGGGTATAGCCCTTCAAAATGACGTATAACTTATTGGATGTTGCTTCCTTTTCTTGCTTCTAGATTCATTTACATTTCAGTTTTTCATTTCTTTCCATTTTCCCCAAAATTTTCAGTCATGAAGGAGTTAAAAGGATCAAGAAGAAGAAGAAATCATGTGAATAGATTATTTATCATTAGCATCATATCATATGTGCATGTAATACTTACTTTTAGTATGCCTCTGTGAGGAATATCATAAAACAGTGCAAATTTAACATTATATAACATAAACCATGTAGCTTTTGCCAAATTTATCAACGAAATGAAAATATTTTGGAAATCTTCGCCGCCATTTTGAATCTAGTTGACATGGCGACAAGAACACGTTACATATAAAAGTTATTTAAAAACTTTTTACGTCTCTAGAGCTTTATATTAAGTACGATTAACAAAATTCTACAGCTTCATTGTTAAAGAAGATATTATTTTGTAAGAATAGTATAAGTAATGTAAGACAATATCTAGTAATATATATTTTAGACTGTGTTTACACTGAACGAAATGCAAATAACAAAAGAAATCCCCGGGCGAACAATACAATCAAGCCAGTCTTATCTGAGAGCACAGTCTTGTTCATGTAAATGTTATACACCGAGACCGATAGGTATGAAAATCAATTGATATGCTGGACTTTGTTTATTTTCTGTAAAAGTGCAACTTTTGGCCCTTTGTGTCAGTTTAAATCAAATTAAGTCAAAAATAAACAATTCTTCCATGAAATGATTATGTATGATTTTTTCTGTACAGGGGCCAACTATTAATAGTAAATCATATTTCTCTGTTTTTCCAGATATGGGAGAGGGTTATCCCACTTTGGTTGTCTGGTATATTATGGTATATGTTCCTTGATTAAAGGGTAGAATGCTTTGCCAAATACAGAAATTATGCATGAGCAAAGGCTCGTGCTTCTAAAGATAATTCATTGTCACACAGAAAGGTCTCAAGTATAAAAGAATGTCACAAAATTTCAAGGTCACATAAAAGGCCATGAAATAATTGTATTCGATTATTTTCTCAAGTATATTCTCACACTGCTTTTTTACTTTAGAGCTGTCTCATCACAAAACAAGCAATATGGAGAAAAGAGGTACTCAAAACTATATATTGTTGTTTACTGTATTAGTTTATTCATAAAGTGAATATACCAACATGTACATTACAGAGGTATAATCTTATAATAATTTAAAGCTCCATCATCTTGGATCACGGTCAGGCTACAGTAATGTCTAGCTGTTACAGCTCAGCCAATCAGTGCACTGCATATGTGTTCAGTTTAAATTCCAGCATATACAGAACCACATTGTCTGCTACAAGATAGATTCAGTTTGATGTTATATTTGTTTACTTCTAAACCATTATTTCTAGACAATGTAGATAAGAGGTGTTGATCAGCTGAAATTTAAGGTTTCAGTTATGCCAATGAGTTTTATTAAAAAAAAGTAATTGTCTTATAAATTTGAAATTCAAAATTAAAATAGATTCATAAACCACTGTTGCAAAAACAGCCTGTAACTCATAACAATCCTGCTATACTAAAAAGTTTGGAAACAGTCCAACAGTTGTATCTTGGATTGTGACTTTTTTCTCATGAAGACAGGTACATCATTTAGATCTTCATTATCTCGAGGAAAAGTAATACAATGATAATAAAGTCAATCGGAGATACTTAGCTAGCAATCAATCCATCAACATACTTTTTTAAAGATGCTGACCTCATTCTAACAATAAATGCAATCACTTTTTACAATGTTTAGTGCATTACTGTTCTTTCTTTTGATGTATCAAATAGATCTTGAAAGGAATAACTGAATACCTCTAAGATTAACCATGGTTCATATTTCACCTTTTTAATTTTAAAAAAATCTCAAGATCATAATTTCAGGTTTCCCCTCTTCCAGTCATCTCACAAAATAATCACGATATAATAATAGCAACAAATGTTTTCAAAACTGAAACAATTTGCCTTTGCAAAATATCACAAACAATGATTTTTCCCTTTACAGTACTTCAAGGGTGAAGAGCACTGGACATTTGTGTGTATGGGCTGTAGTCATATTGGGGTAATGTAAGCACACAGCAAGCTCTCCCATATATCTGATTAGAAAATCTTTCCTCACAGTTCACGTCATCTTTCCTCGGATCAAACACTTGGATTAAATCTGAGTAATAATGTCCTCCGTTAATACCTCCTATCACATATATCTTGTTGGACATTACTGCAGACCCTGCATCGCGGATGTTTATCGAACTTTTACATAGTGTCCATTGTTCAATTTTAGGATCGTACATCTCAATTTGGACAGTTGGGACAGGGAATCCATAACTGTCTTCAGTGTTTCCTCCAATGACGTAAAGTTTGTCCATGATCTCCTCCATGATGTGATTGGCTCGTGCTCCTTTTAGGGGTGGACACTCTGACCAATGGTCCGTGTTTGGATCATAACATGATACACTATTTGTGTAACCATCAAATTTTTGTCCACCACTAACATATATTAAATTGTTACAAATTGCACTAGCGTGGCCATACACTGCACTAGCTAATCCTTGCCGACTCTCCCAGTCATTTTTCTCGATCAAGAAACATTCCACTGTACACATGACCATATTCTCATCTTGTCCCGATATTGCATATAACTGCTTACCATGGGCAACCATTGAAAAGTCTTTACGCGACTCATTCATTGATGCAAGTTCAAACCACGAGTCAAATCTTGGGTCATACCGGAAACACCTTGCAGTGGCAATCTCATTGTTTTCATTTCCATCGTATTTCCCACCACATGCGTACATGAAGTTATCAACCACACAGACACATGGGTTGTAAAGTGGCACGCTGGCATCACGCAAGAAGATGTGTCTGTGTGTCTCAAGGTCAAATGACTCTATATTTTCAGCGTGAACCATGATAAGGCTCTTCTTAGCTGATCTGGAATCACAAGGACATAAGATAAGTTAATAGTCATACATGACTACAAGAACAAATAAAAATTTAAAAGTTGGAAACAGATGACAAAAGACATATGTTTCTGCAACAAACAATTAATTTTAAAACACATTTTGAAGCAATAAACATTTGGAACTAATCATTGTTTGCAGAACAAACAATGAAACTTTCATTAAATATTACATACATGTCCATAAATAAATAAAGCGGTTGATCCCAAAATTGATACACAGCAAGTTCCTCAAATATAAACTTCCACTTATTTTCAGCCTGCTTATTATGCTATTTAACCTCTTGACTACCCAGAGTGACGAGATCTCTCGTCACCTGAGAAATGACCTTGAAACCCAGAGATAATCCGTCACAAAATTTCTCACTAAAATTGCTCTTATTTGAACAATTTTCATCCAATCTACACAAAATTTGTCTAGAAATGATCTCTGTCATCTAATTTTACTAAAATGAAAAATTCTCTGGTTTCAACTGATTTTAGAATCTGGGATTCAAGAGGTTAAAACTACTTATACAAACCTGAAATGCTATAAATACATGGTCTCACCTAACTTGAGTCCTGCTGGACTGCATCAGTGGTTGTTTACCAACTACTATGTGATAATCTTTCGCTGCATTGAGAAGATCGCCACATTCTTTATTCTGACGCATTATGTCAACCTGGAATGTACTTTAAATGTTAATTTTCTGGGATACAGAATACCAGTTTTCTTTCTTGGATATTTTTATTTTATCAACTTGAAAGAACAAAATTCTGAATTCACTAGAAATGTCCAAAACTGCCAACATAATTTTTTTAATTTTTTAGTGATATTCAAGTTGCTCAAATGCTTAGAGAATACTGGTAGAACAGAACAAAGCATAAAAGTAAAGACTTTGTGTGAAATGAGAATTTTGCACCCACAGTTAAAAAGAAATCCCGGGGAGAATATTGGGAGTATCCACAAGTGTAACTATAAAACTGGCTCAATTCAAGCATACAATTCACTTCTAGGGTGCAAAAAACAAACAACACCAGCAAAGAAGCCTTAAGTCAGATAGTCTGAAATCCTTATGTCACACTCACCCCCAGCATTCGCGTTAACGCAAAAAACTTGCGGATTTACGCGGATTTTTGGCCCATGACCCCGATATTTTAGCTCTATTCCGTCCCCGGGACGTAAATTTACTTGTCATGGATAATTTCAGAAACCCTTACCTTAATAATCGATGAACAAGAACACAAATGTGTACAGTATGTCCCCACCTATGGGTGATCCTGTCAAATGGTTATCCTAAAAATGAGTAGACAAGACTTTACCGACACAATTTAAGGACGGAGAATCCAAAATGAAAAATCCAAAATGGCCGACAATAAAAAAGTGATTATGAGTTTTTGCTGAAATCTTTTTACAAAATTATCACATATAACTACTGTTAACAATAACATAAGCTTTTACAATAAAGTACACCTGAAATTATTTTTTAAAGCTACTAAAAAGTTAAAGTATGAAAACTGAAAAACACCATTCAATATGATACAAAGTATTATCGTGCGCTAACTTTTCTTAAAACATTCAAAATGACTGACATGACTGAGCTAACAGGTCCAAAACCTAATCAGATCTAGAATGAAGTGAGCTGAACAAGATGTTAAAGTTTTAAAAGCAACTGTTTTTCTTAAAGTTTGCAGACAAGGATTTTAGCATTTGACTTCAAAATGGCCGACAGGAAGTAGGTATCGAGTTAATTTTTTTTCATCCATATCTGTATGCACTCATAAGTTATCCCTGAAAATTTGAAGGTGATATCTGTAGCGGTTTTGGAGAAAACTGCCGGACGTACGGACGGACATACGGACAGACAGACAGACGGACGCGCCTAGGCCGACAATATGGCCCCACACTATGTGGTGGGGACATAAAAACTGGACGTAAACGGCACTAAAAACAAATCTGATTTTTTTCCACTTCCGTGTTTGTAAATATAGTGATGACGCGCATGCGTTGAATAAACAATATAACCTCCCATGATTCCATTGATCACATGCTTAATTCGTAAGCCAATTAAACTGTCGATCTTGCAGAAATCATTCCCACAATTCATTCACTACCTATCACCTTCTTCTTGGACAAAATGGCGAACGATCTTTCGATCAGTTGCACTAAGAAGCGCCATTTTCTTCATTTTCCAATTCGATTATCGCACATTATGGTGTATGTTCCGAGTATATCAATGTATGCCTAAAAACGATTGAATAGGTAATAAATTTTACCTGTAAATCATCACTCAAATATCTAGGTCAACATATCACGTGACAAGTCATGTGACTTATATGTTTGATTGGCGGGAAATAAAAGGTAGGCTATTTTCTTGCAATTTTTTAACAGAAAAATACAATTTAAAATGCTTTAAAATTGGGACCCCAATTTTTTGGAGAGGACCCAGATTTTTAAAAGCCCTTGGTTCCTGGGACTCAGATTTGAAAATGCCTAGCGCGAATGCTGCTCACCCCATTATGGGACCACTAGTGAATTCATTAATATGTAATTAATATCAAAGTGTTTTAGTACCCAGTATGAATTGGTAAAAGCATTTTTCTTCAAAAGTCCATGGTACAAAATACAAACCTGACTGACTTTATCCACCAATTCCTCCCCAGAGAGAAGAGGAAGGCGAATATTTTGCATCAACACTGGCAAATGCACTTCCCGTTCTTTTCGGTCATGGTCAATCCAGTCCAATACATGCTGAAATAGCTTATACTCTGCTGCAACATTCAGAGAATTCTCTTCCAGCATGGCTGCTAACTGGATATGATTCAAACGTTGATATTGCTCCGTTTTGCTGAACTCTTCAAAATTTTTCAGCATATAGTCTCTAGCTTTTGCACGTATCCCAGATAATGAGTAGATCTCCGCTAAGTTGAGTAAATCGACACAGTTCTCTGTCGTTATTGCATATGACATAAAATCGCAACAAAGCTCCACTGCCTCTGCTATCTGGAGATGGGCAGCAGCTGACAAAATTTCTTGTAGATTATCAAGGTTAATCTTCAACTGACCTGCAAATGAAGAACAATTCAAAATACTCATTGAGTTACATGAAAATAAACCAGTCACAAGTTCAGATCAGAATCATTAGTCTAACAGGACAAACAAGGGATTTGCTACAATGATGGTATAGAAGTAGGGTAAAATGCATTTACAAAATCTTTGCTACCAGTCAATAAATTAACACACCCAGCCAATCTGAACAGTATCATACAGTACATTTTTTCCACAATATTTGTGAATACGTTACCATATTGTTAAGACGGTACGGTAATTTCAGAGTGCAGATTTGGGGTGTACAAAATATCTCTTAGTTTACAAATCAAAATGTGTTATCTATGTTTTAGAAGTGTTTTACCTGTGTATGCAAATGTGACTAGTTCCTTCAAACCACCTGCAGTGACACCCTTTAGCTCAACAGAAGACTCCTGGCTCTCCTTCATTGTACCTGCACAGAAAAAGCATCAGTGTAACTATTGTTATTGCAAATGTAAAACATAAATTGAAAAAATAACAATAAATATAAAAATATAAAAAATAAACATAAGATTTAAAAACTTTAAATTAATTTCAAAGGCGAATCGATTGAAACGATAGAAATGCTCAAAATGACGTAAGCATTGAAACGTAGGAAATGATAAAAGGATTGAAACAATTGAATTGATTGAGACAATTGAAACAGTTGAAACGTTATTTACAGTGTATACAGGGCTTAAATCTAGATTTTCAAACTAGAAACATCTGCCATTTGTTACAAACACCAACCACCAACAGCTGAACACTGTCCACAAAAAAAGTTGGGAACTATAACAATATGTCGACACTTCTCGGGAGGATATACCTAGTAAAGTAAGAGACAAACCTGTAAACATTGCATGGAAGTAGTCACTCACTGACACCATGACAGCCTTGTGCACCTTTATTGATAAATTGTCCGCTATCAATGTGTAGTCACACAGTAACTCATCCCGTCGCAGCTTATCAAGCCCCTGTAGAACCTATAACATTTATGGAATAATGAATTGAAATTGAAAGTGTTGTAATAATTAACCAATCAGTGTCAATAAGGGAAACATATCAGGCCCATAGCCAGGGGGGTTGAGCGAAATTCTTTCAAAATCATGCAGTTTTTCATCATTCTGAGTACTTTTCAAGTGATTTTGGGCCAAAGTTGTCAAATGTGAACCCCACAGGAGCTTGTCTCGAGGCGTCGGGCAAGCCCTCCGATGAGTGTGTACTGCTTATTAAGAGTTTAAGGGGGGTCTTTTTGATGCTTCCTGAAATTTGTAGAAATATATAGTTAGATATATCCAGTAAAAACATAAGGAATCCTTTCAATAATCGACATGCTGATTCAAACAACACTACAGAGCAAAGTTACCCAAAATGGTAGCAATCCATCCACTAGTTGCTGAGAAATCTGAAGAATATGTAAAGAAGTGATTAAAATGCAAGTACCGACAATTTTCGCATCCAAATTATTACCTCCAGAGTCGATTTCTTCCTCAACACACGTCCACTGTTAAAAATTGGTAGTTCCTAGAGTTCTTTGTTTCCTTAGGTTCATTCCCGTATATATTTTTTAACGAAGGACAGCCCTATAACGACTGCTATACGCAAAAAGATGCATGAAACTAGAAGTTACGAAACTGAAAGTTAAAAAATGGCGACTTCCCGTGTTCTATGCGCAGGTGCGTTCAATCCAGCAATTTGATTAGTTCATATTATATAAACGCATGCGCAATAACTACATATATTTTTAGATAGATATCACTTGCCAGTCTCCAAGCCTTTCGTCCAGTGCCATCCGTACCTCCTGTGCTTTACCTCATGCAGTTGTTTAAATTCCCGCGAAATTTATCCTTCTAAATATTTTAACCCCCTTCAAAAAATCTATTTTTTGAGGTTGCTACTAATTTTATTCGTTATATTTTATAAGATGTTTATTTCTAATGTAGTAAGAATCCATTCGTAAGAAAAATATTAAGTAATTCGTAACAAACAGTTAAAAATAAGTGAATAGGAATTTGCAAGGACTTCCGATCGATCAGAAATTGTTTATAAACACCGTTGCTATGCAGTTTGTTCTGAAATGACGTCATCCCCATATTCGTAATTTTCAACGTCTAATAAACAAATACCACATGTCGATGTGATGTTTTAATCAATAAAATTGAATTTCTTACATATTTCTTTATCTTGTTGTTAGATAACAAGTTATGATATTGGTGAACTCGCCAGAAATTAACATAATATTATTTGAAGCGTTTTTAGAAAATTTTGACACCGCCATCTTGAAATCGTGTAGTAATGTTGAACCCAGTGATTATCGATCTTGACGTTTTACAATTTGTTGCTCCACGGAGATTTTTACCTAAAAACACATCAAATACAACATTGATTACCAATTTCGATGGTAAAATCATTTGTAAACGTTACGATTTATGAATATCAACGTTTTGGCGTTGTTGATTTCGTAATAAAGAAAGTACTAATTTCTGAAGCTTTCTAAGATCGTACCCCGGGAATTTTAGAACTATTTTAACAAGGGTGTCGACTTTTGGCAAGCAACCGAAGATACCTCAAGAAAAGCCGGAGATTGCCGAAGCTTTTCTTTGCAAACGATGTTGGCCGAGGGTACCACGAATGTGAAGAGGACGTCTCTAATTGGTAAAAATCTCCGTCAGATTGAATCGGTTGTATGGCTTACCTTCGGCTGCATGGCCCAACCTCGATTGAATGGAAAAGATGCTGTCCCATTTTAACAACATCAGAGAGGTAGTGAAGGTACGCAACGAACGAAATGAATTTTGAGAATGATCACTTGCGTTCATTACTTCACAGCAGTCCCTTCCCATGATGCACCTAATATTGCGGAAATATTTTCCTTTAGTGATAAAACAAATAACTCTCATCTTCGAAATATGTTTTCCATTCCTTGGCAATAATCTTTCATTTGTTATCTAAGTAAAACCGAACCAACCACCGAAAAGTAATTTGAATCCTTCTGAATCGTGGGAATGAAGTACTTTCATTTTTTCGGCGCGCATGCGCAGAGAACACAGGAAGTCGACATTTTTTAACTTTCAGTTTCAGAACTTCTAGTTTCATGCATCTTTTTGCGTATAGCAGTCGTTATAGGCTGTCCTTCGTTAAAAAATATATACGGGAATGAACCTAAGGAAACAAAGAACTCTAGGAACTACCAATTTTAAACAGTGAGTGGACGTGTGTTGAGGAAGAAATCGACTCTGGAGGTAATTATTTGGACACGAAAATTGTCGGTATTTGCATTTTAATCACTTCTTTACATATTCTTCAGATTTCTCAGCAACTAGTGGATGGATTGCTACCATTTTGGGTAACTTTGCTCTGTAGTGTTGTTTGAATCAGCATGACGATTATTGAAAGGATTCCTTATGTTTTTACTGGATAGGGCTATATCTAACTATCATTTTCTACAAATTTCAGGAAGCATCAAAAACGACCCCCCTTAAACTCTTAATAAGCAGTACACACTCATCGGAGGGCTTGCCCGACACCTCGAGACAAGCCCCTGTGGTGAACCCCCTGGAATTTTTCAAAAAGTGAACCCCTCTTGGAAAAAACTGGCTATGGACCTGCATTTATTCTTATAGCTCCAGTGTTTTGAGTAACAAACTAGTACCTTAAAACTGTGTGAGTTCTTAGCAAGAACAATATCATGGTCAGAGTCTGTCTCAATCTTTAGTGTTTCAGACTGTGGTGACCCCAAATAGACAACCTGTCTCTTCTTAGGACTTGACATTTCTGTTGCTATGATTTAGGAATTGTTATACTGTTCAGTATGCAACTGTCCTATTGACCTGAAAATATATTAAATTCAGTTGAAAACATATTTCTTATCCATTTTTAATATCAATTCTAAGACTCAATATTAATAGAGGAAACTCGTTTGACTCTTTTTAGCAAGATAGAATGAAAAACAATAATACTTTAGTTTGGTTAGGTTCAAAACTTTCACATTTTGCATAAGCGAAATGCATGAAAAAACTCCCCCAATTTTAAAATGTTGTCAGTAGGGCGAAGGGGTGTCATCGACACCATTTTGGGGTAACTTCGACATGTGGGGTTACTTCGACACCTTGTTGTTTATTTGCTCTGATTTCCGATCTAGGGGGAAGCCATATTTTTCTCGCATGGATCAAGATCTCGTGAGATTTTAATTTTTCCAGAAATCAAACATGGCAGAAAACAGAAATTCCACTTCTAATAAGTAAGTGTCAAAGTTACCGTGTCTCTAATGTCGACGTTACACCCCTTTGACCTAGTTGACACAAAGCTGAATTTTATCATAATAACCACCAATGCAGCTTATCATCCGCAAGATTTCAATGCACAAGTAAGTTGTGTACAGTGCTGATATATAATAATAAAGGGTGCGTTTTCAAACTAAACAGAGTGCTCCTACCAAAATGAATTTACCTACATACCCCTGAGACTCTTATCAGATAGATAGAATGCACAAATAAAACAAAAGATTTGCTATTATAGGTAAAAAGCTCTCTTGAAATTTCGAAGTGATTTTACCTGCTAATTCTGTCCATGGTCCGTCATTGTTGCAGAAGTTACACTGAAACGCAAACTCCATGAAATGAAACAAAATCACTAGAAAAAACATGGCACACATTGTGCGCATGTGCAGCAAAGTTTAAACCAATCAGATTATTTGATAACTTGGCGCACAATGGTTAAATTGACTGAAGGTCAAACCAGAACTCTGTTATCTTTGTCCAAAAAATGTCTAAAAATCCTGTTAACTTCCATAGCACCTTAAGGTCAGGGTGCATGATGGGAAATTTTCTGCATTCCTCAATTGAGTCACATGTTATTTTTCAAACAAGAATCACTCCTTCCCCACATTGTCTATATCTTCCAGTTTTGCACAAAGGGTGCACTTATGTGCCTAGAAAAGACTTGTGAGAAGAATGTTTTGATAAAGTGTATAGAAAACAAGAAAATTCAGTGAAAAAAAATCAGAAATTTTTTCACTGAATTTTCTCATTTTTTATACATTTTACAAAACAAACCTTCTCACAAGGCTTTTCTAGGCACATAAGTGCACTCTTTGTGAAAACTTGGAAGATGTAGACAAAGTGGGGAAGGAGTTATTCTTGTTTGAAAAATAACATGTGACTCAATTGAGGAATGCAGGACATTTCCCAACATGCATCCTGTCCTAATATATACCAGCACTATACCCACATTTTTATGAGGGTAGACTTACAGTGGGGGACAAAAATAAAACTCAACGTTCACAAGTTGTCACGAGCTAATTTCCAAGTTTCGTGTCTCAAACTCTCCCAAGCGGTAGAAAAATAATTCCCGTTCACTAAAGTAGCACAATAAATGAATCCAAAGCTTCATACCTGCAAATAATGGATAAATCCCTACCAAATCGAATGAATGTTTTCATGAATCGCCATGTTTGTTATACAAGGACGTTTGACTCCCAGAATGCAACATCAGTTACCGTATTTACTCATGACAGGTTTCAAAATGGCGGAACAGCATTTTGAAAGCTGGCACGTGTCATGTTGCATACTGGGAGCCAATCCTCCATTCCGGCGCAATCGGGCAACAAAATCACCTCAACATTTGAAGAGTCGGCATAACATGTGAATATCCACTTCGACTTTTGAAGTTCTTATTTGTCATTAGGGACACAAATTCCACTATATTTGGACTTACTCAGACAGAGAAAATAGAGCACTGAATACACTGAGGTAAGAATTTATTACATGTGCGACAGCATGTAATTTTCATAGCTTTTGCAATTCTTTATGATCCCCACTGTACGCGATTATGTGTCGATTCAAAACTGAATATGGAATGAAAATGCTTGATAGTGCTGAGCCTTGAAAAAAAACCAAAACAGACAACAGAACACTGAACTGTGACTGTAACTGACTCAGTGACTGTCACTGACTCGAGACTCAGAATGAGAAAAAATCCGAAAATATTACACTTGGTTCTATTTATTTTGAAGTACTTACATCACCTGACAAAAGCAAATATGTGATTTTACATAGAAAAGCCTTACCTTTACCGATTACACAGACATAATAGTGGAAGAAATGTGACAGAGCACCACAAATTAGTATTTAGTACGAAAATTTTGTAAAAAAATATTTTATTTGTGAAGATCGATGACGTCATCAATTTCTGTGCAGGAATTTTGACAAGACTCATATTTTCTAATTTTATTTTGCAGTTTTTATGTAGTTAGTGACTAAAATAAAGAATATAGCACAGACAATAATATTATTCAATATTAAAAAAGTTTTAATAATCGTAGTTTCTTTGTATATTAGGATATTGAAGAATAATGTATTCAATAAGTATTGAAGTACCTTGTCATCGTGGTAAACATTGCAGCAGAAAAACATGTTTTCCAGAAATTCAAAGATTTTATGTCATTTGTTGAGAAATGCAATAAGAAAACCTGATAAGTCACACAGCCATTACAAGCCAATATTTAGGGCTATTGGATGTTCGAGTTACAGAAGAACCAATAAACTTTTTACCACATTATTTGGGTATAAAGTTGCAGCCCCTGCATTTTCGATTTGCACCATTGGGACAGTGTACTGTTTATCTTCTAAACACAACCGTAAGTATTAAGATTTTTTATTCCTAGAAGTCAAGAGAATAATCCTTACAATTGTTCATATAGATGATTTTTGTCTAACGACCCGAGGGCATCTCCAACTGCCGTCCGAGCATAGTGTACAAGCTAAGTCAGATACTATGATAGTCCAACAACATTAGCCCTAGCCTGGGCCTCGTTTCTTATCTGACATGTCTTATGGCCCAGGCTAGACGGTGAACACTGCCTCTAATGCGTTGGATTGTTGTATGGACTTGCATTTGAGGGGCCAACACGATCCTTAGAGACCCAGAGGGTGCATGAATGCACCTAGGCCCAGGCTAGGTCTAACCTCCATGATCATTTTGCCTTTGATGCGTTAATTTAATCGTTCCGCAGGTTTCGACATCTCCAACTGCCGTCCGAACATACATGTAGTGTATCAAGCTAAGTCAGATACTATGAAAGGAAGTTTGCTAAATCCGGTGCCCTGTGCAGTTATCAAGCCCAGGACCTTATGATTCAAAGTCTGATGCTCTACCACAGAGCAACGGCCATGACACCACACAGGCCTGTAGCCAGGATATGCCAAGGGGGGTTCACTTTTTGAAAAATTCCAGGGGGGTTCACGTGTGACAATTTTGGTCCAAAAATGGCCAAAATCACTCAAAAAGTGCTCAGAATGGTGAAAAAACTGCATGATTTTGAACGTTTTTTGGCCAGGGGGGGGGGTTTGCTCATTGAACCAGCTACGGGCATGCCACAGATTAGCTGTAGTAGCAACTTGCTATACAGAATCATTACAAATGTGATCAATTGATTGAAGCAATAACCATTAACTCAGACGATTGTAAGCTCTAAACTGATATGGATGTGCCAAACCACACTTACCTTGAGTTTCCCAATCTGAGCTTGAGGCCCCTAAGAAAAAATATGCGTAGCATACATGTATCTGGGTAGGCATCATTTAATTCAGTGATTAATAATGTGATCACACGCTAATTAGCATTCAAGACCTACTAATGAACTATTCTGGGGTTCATATACTATATTTGAGATCCTGCAATTGATTGGCTAGTAGGGTCTTTTAAATAGTTTAAAAAAAATTCTACAGTTTTCTGCAAAATTCATTGGTCCTTTACAAAATTTAAAGAATTTAAAAAAAGCTTTTAATAATTTTTTTAGGTCTACCAAAACTTGTTAAACGCATGAGAACATTTTGCAATTTCAAGCACCCTGAAAAATTGAATTTGAATGTATTCCCGACTCTTTTTTAGTCAGGAATATTTAGGTGAAAATATTTCAAAAATATATAGAAGCAATTTAAAGGTTGATTTCAAAACTTTATACCATTCTTTTGAAAACCTGAAGTGGCACCAAGCAATCCATTGACTTTTTCACTGAAAATCCAAGATGGCCGCCGCGATGTCTCAAAAAACCATAAAAATTGACTAAAGTTATGATTTAATAAGTCAAAATAGTTGTTTACTGATCAAACATGACTAATAATAGTACCTATCAGAAGTTCATATCCATTTAAAGTCATTGGATCATTTTTGTGTGAAAACTGGAGTCCCACAAGGCTCAACTCTATGTCCGCTACTTTTTTTTCATTTTTTGCATTGACCAAGGCATTTGCACATAGCAATGCATAAAAATCCATTTTTGTAACATGTGCACCTAGGACCACATTTCACCTTGCACCCACACTTGACCAATGCTTCGCATGTTGCTTGAGGAAGGGCTGTATATAGTGGCACCAGGAGGGACATGTCATACTACCAGCCCCATGTTGTGAACTCCGATACCCATGTTGGATTGAGATTGTACAGTTGCCCCAAAACAATACCACCTTGGTTAGCAAGTTCTTAAAATATTCTGTGCAAGGGCTCCTTTTGTTAGTGGCATTCTATCAATGACTGTATGGCCATTACAGAACATTTGCCTTCATGCTACATCGATATCTATCTGGTTGCTGGTTCGATCATATACTAGAACAGTAAAACGTTTAAGGGACTGAATGGCATGAACTGACAAAGTCAGATTTGTTGTAACCATTTGTGCTACTTGTAGAAAAGCTGGAGTAACTTCCTTGAACACATTCCATAGCTTGAAGGGCAGATTCTCTGCTATGGCCAAAGAATGGTGCAGTTATATAATATAATTTAATACCTGTAATTTTTGAGAGGTCAGAAGGCAATCCAGGTTGACACTTATTGCACCCTAATGCTGCAGCCATGGCAAGAACAACTACACCAGTACTCCACTGGTTCTGATTATGAAGTCTTTTTACCCTTCGAGGTCATCTGTTTTACCTGAACAAAGAGTCTAGTGTAGTATCAGCTCCTTCATGAGTACTGTACACGGTTCAATTGTTACTGTAACTGGCAACTGAGGAAAGCACTTCAACAGATTCCACAATAGTCATAAACATCAACCTCAAAAATAGAGTTGGCCAGGAATGCTTACAGCTCAGTCTTGTTATGGTTGTTGTTTCTTAGAAAGCCTAACCAATTCTGGGGCATCACATTCTCTGCATAAACCATCCATTGCCACAATGAATCCTTGTCAGGGACTTCCTACTGCTTTATAGGTAGACATCCCAGATAACATCTTATCTTGAAACACCTTCCATAGGCCGCCTTAACTATGAGACATTGGTACCATATTCTTGGAAGTTGGTAGCCACACCAGGATGCATCACATGGACTAGAAGGATGCCATATTAAAATTGCATCTGCAGGTGGCTTTTCCAATACTTCAGATCCATCTGGCTTAGCTTCTTGACATTTAAGTAAGTGTGCTTTTATGTAGGCCTCATGGCTCCGTGGTTATATAGGGATGACGGGAACTCATGGTTTTCATATTTGAAAAACTCAAGACATGTCATTGTGTCTTGATTGGCATCAAATGTAGAGTAACAGCAAAAAGGTCATAATCATTTCTCAGATCCTTGACTTCAGGATTCACTTGCATGCATAGTTGGTGTGGTCTAGGGAGAAAAAACAAAGAATCATCTGCAGTGATTCCTGAGGTCAAGGCACTGAGAGAAGAAAATTACCTTTTTGCTATGCTCTATATTGCTTGCCTTTGACAATCAAGACATAACATGTCTGAGTTTTTCAAACATGAAAACCATGAGTTCCTGTCATCCCTAGCTAAGTATGGAGCCATGAGACCTACAACTAAATGACCTACTTAAATGCCTAGAAACTAAGCCAGGTGGACCCAAAGTATTGGAAAAGCCAACTGCAGATGCAGTTTTAATATACTGCTCCTTTCTGGTCCTTTCTGGTGTTTCATCCCAAGTTAAGGCAGCTTATGGAAAGTGTTCCAAGATTAGATGTTGTCTGGAATGTTTACCTATAAATCAGTGAGAAGTCCCTAACAAGGATTTATTGTGGCACTGGTGCTAAGAGGATGATTTATGCAGAGATGCACAAATACCAAAGAATTGGCCAGCCTTTCTATCAACCAATGGAACCAGACCAGGCTGTTTGCATTCCTGGCCAACTTTATGTCTGAGGTTGATGTTAATGAAAAGCAAATGATAACTACTATTTGGGAATCTCTTCAGTGCTTTCCTCAATTGCGAGATACAGCAATGATTGAACCTTGTACTCATGAAAAAGATGACACTAGGCTCTTTGTTCATATAAAACAGATGACCTCAGAGGGTAAAAAATACTTCATAACCAGAAGTGGAGATACTGATGTCCTTTTTCTTGCCATGGCTACAGCATTAGGGTGCAAAAGGTGTCAATCTGGATTGCCTTCGGACCTTTCAAAAATTACAGGTATTAAATAATATTATATAACTGCACCATTCTTTGGCCATAGCAAAGAATCTGCCCTTCAATCTATGGAATGTGTTCAAGGAAGTTACTCCAGCTTTTCTACAAGTAGCACAAATGGTTACAACAAATCTGACTTTGTCAGTTCATGCCATTCAGCCCCTTAAATCTTTTACTGTTCTAGTATATGATCGAACCAGCAACCAGATAGATATCGATGCAGCATGAAGGCAAATGTTCTGTAATGGCCAAAGTGGCAAAAATGGTTACAACAAACCTGCCTTTGTCAGTTCAAGCCATTAAGTCCCTGGAACATTTTACTGTTTTATTATATGATCGAACCAGCAACCAGATAGATATCAATGCAGCAATGTTCTGTAGCAGTCATACAGTCATTGACAAAATACCACCAACAAAGGGCTTGCACAGAAAATCTTAACTTGCTAACCAATGCGGTATAGTTTGGTGCCATAACCAAAATGGTTATCGAGTTCACAACATGTGGCTGGCAGTATGACATGTCCCTCCTGATGCCACTATGTACAGCCCTTCTTCAAGCAGCTAAGGCATGCCAAGCATTGGTCAAGTGTGGGTGAAATGTGGTCCTAGGTGCACATGTCACAAAAATGGATTTCTATACATTGCAATGCACAAATGCCATGGTCAATGAGTCATTGAACTAAAAAAGTAGGGGGCATAAAGTTGAGCCTTGTGGGACTCCAGTTTTCACACAAAAATAATCTAGTGACTTTAAATGCATATGACCATCTAATAAGTACTATTATCAGTCATGTTTGATCAGTATTTAACTTTTTTGACAAATTAAATGATGAAATTAGTCTATTTAAGTGATTTGCCAATACATTGTGGCGGCCATCTTGGATTTTTGGTGAAACAGTCAATGGATTGCTTGGTGCCACTTCAGGTTCTCAAAAGGATGGTATGAAGTTTTGAAATCCACCTAAAGATTGCTTCTATATATTTTTGAAATATTCTGTGAACTTATCTCCTGTTCAAACCTGACTATTTTTCTTTATTTTCTAGATGACAGATTACTTGACGCTGCCAGACGAAATGACACAACAGATCTTTTAAGGTAAATTCCTCTCCATTCCTGAAAACAATGATTGAATTCTTATATACAGCTTGCCATCTGTGGTCAGAAAGTTGATGCTACTAATCATGTGAACGAAAGTTAGTTTTTATGTCACCAAATCTCCAACTTTTTGTGACTGGTGTTGGCAGTTTGTGGTCGGTGTTCAACAGTTGTTGGTTGGTGTTTGGCAGTTGGTGTTTAGTGTTCTGTGTCTGTAACAAATGGCAGGTGGTAACAATTTGCATGTTCATGCCTTGTTGCTATTTGATATAATAATATTTTGATGTGATCCCATATGAATCATAAGGTGAAGAAAGTCCCTCAAAAAGTAGAAAAATACAGAAATACAGGTAAAGATTCTTTAAAAGGCATAATCTGCCCCGTCAAATTACAATAATAGCTTTAGAGAAAGAGCTTAAATTGTTTTGCTTTGTTTCAGGCTCATAAAATCTGGAGTAGATGTAAATAAAAAACATCCCTTAGGTTGGACAGCATTACACGTTGCAGTCATCAACAGGAACCATGAGTGAGTATAGGACTCCCTTTATATTAGATGTTATTTTTGCTTATAGTAAAACCTGTAAATAGAACAGAAACACTTCTTTGGTGTGGTTCGGATTGTGATAATGGTACATGTACTTGAATTATGGGGTTTCTGTTTCTTAGAACTTATGTTTCTTTTTGGCTCACACAGTAAGCCTATGGGATTGACCAGGGGTCCATCCGTCCGTTGGTCCGTCAACATTGGCTGCACAAATTAAAACTGCTATTCGGATTGAGTCATACCCACATTCATTTTATGCATATCCATAATGCCTATTTGACCTATTATCGCCATTTCCCAAGTTCGCCCGGTTTCCGAGAAATAGCTGATTTTGACATCAAAACGTCAACTTTTCTGTAAATACTAGACACTTTGTTGAAGAAGAACTTTCAAATAACTTGTAGTAGTTGCTTCATATGCAACTTATGTCCTCTGAAGATTTCAAAGCTCTTGGAATTACTATTTTTGGTGTTTACTCTATACAAAAAGTAGGACTTAGTCATTTTCAGGAAACTTTCTCATGTATAAAGTCAATGGCAGGTTTTGTGATTGACAAGTTTCTCAAAGTTTGCCTTATACTTGATCATTTCTTGCAATGAATTACATTATTACTAGATTTAAGCATTCCCTACATATTGCTCAATATATGTCAGCATCAAATTTTTACCGTTTTGAGATATTTGACGTCAAAAAACAGTAAAAATAAGTTATTTTTCAACTTGCTTCAATCTGACCAAATCTACAAGCTGCCAGGAGTTCAAATCTGACATTAGTTTTAGGATTTGACCTTTACTTGACCTTCAGTGACCTTCGAAAGGGTCAAAAAAGTTGATTTTTCAAATTGATTTTTGGATGTAAATTTTGGTCAGCCTAATCACAAAAGACCTTACTGAGCTCTGACTAGGTAAAATTTTCAAGGTCAAAGGTCATCAAACTAGGTCACACAACTGTGCTATCTAAGTTTCTCAAAGTTGGAGACTACAAATCCAAATCAATATTTTGGTTTGAAAGTCAGGATATACATTCCTCTGAAGGTTCCAAACTGTGTGAGCACAGGATCGTTGGCCCGACCGTGGGTCCTTTCATCATTATTGAAAAAGTCTTGCTAGAATAAGCTTTTAAAACACAAACAGTGAATTCCACTTAAAGTAAAAACTGCATATTCATTTAACTGTATGATGGGAAAAATGGAAAAATGTTCGTAAAACTACTCTGTTTGAATACAGGTCAACAGATAAATAAATAAATTAGATCATGGACTGGGATAGTTGGGGTTTGTTTTCCTTATGACTGGTGTACTCTTTAATGTTTCCTTATTCTTTCTGTAATAATTTTTGGTATACATATTTCTCCATAAGCAGTGGAACACTTCAAAACCATTTACTAAATAATTTAATGTAAAATGAAGCTATACTTGTATATTTATGTAGAACATATCCAAAGTTGTATACTATTCTAAGGTATCAAGGGTGTTTGCATTACACATGTTTTAGTGTCACTTGCATGTAGTGATTCTGGGATTGATGTAAAACATGGTTGAATTGGTATATACCTTCATGTGTGCTTCTGACTTTCAACAACAGCCGGCCACCATTTCAATGTTTATATTTTATGCAGCAGAATTGTGATTTGGTCATTGGACTATCAGGCATATATCACACATTCATAACATCTTCAAGGGTCGCAACTTTTTATAATATTGCATGTAATTTCTACCAATGTCGGAATCGCTGCATGCCAGTGACTCTAGGTGATTACCATCCTGAAGGCAACACTTTTGGTGTTTGTTTCTACGATCTTAAATTATGTATCAGTTATTTAATCTCCATGTTTTTTATGGGAGGTGGTGACACTACCAGAAATGGTGACATATTGTTATGGTCTCAAACTTTTTTGTAGATGGTGTTCGGCAGTTGGTGTCTGTAACAAATGGCAGGTGGTGACATTTTGCATGTTGTTCAGAACAACTCTCCAACTCAACTCTATCCTTTCCACTCTCTTTAATTACATTCTCATTATTTGGATTTTAAAACACAACAGATTTAGAATGACATACTATTAGGTATTTTCCAGGGCAGTGAAGGTTCTCTTGGATGCTGGGGCTGACCCAAACATAGGAGATGATTTTACCAGTGTTTACCAAATGGCACGTGATAGGGGAATGAACTCATTGCATGGTAAGTAGGCACATACCATTTTTCCCATTCGTCTTTATAAGGTACAAGATCAGTATTATAGCTATATAGTTATTTAGCTATATTTTTTTGGTAATGCCATCTATAGGGGTGTATGGTTGACCATGAATACATGTTTTACATAACGATTCATTGTGTTTGGTTAACTTGCTTTGATTTATCGGAGAAAATGAGGTTAAAGTACTTTATGATAACTAACAAGGGCATGTTTAATTAATGAGCAATAGATATAAGTATTTGTTATTATGTGCAAATTGTAAAACATAGTTCTTATAGGCAATATCAAATCAAGTATATCACTGTCTACTCCACTGAACACTCCTTATATAGCACAGTCAGTCAAGAAAATTCAAGATTAACCATATAATTACTCGCAGTAGGTAGTTACTAGGGGTACCGCGAGCGCTCGAGTGCTCGAGCGCTCGAGCAATTCACCTCCGATACGAGCTGTATCGATACATAAAAATGAATATCGGTCGTATCGTTTTTTGACCGGGAGTCCCTTCTTGAAGGGAAAAACTTGGCGCTTAGCGATGACAGACAGTCATAGTATTACATATCTTGCTTGCCACCTTCGTTTGCCCCTCTAGTTCCCGAATACCACACGTCGTTAAGATGTTTTAATCGATGTTAGCATATTTTACACCTTTCTTTGTCGTGATGTGAAATAAACGTAATCCGGCTGAAGTACTTCCGGCTTTACAAGTTTGAAAAATTAAATAAAGTTCAGTTTTACTACAATTTACGATGTATCATTGTATCGTATCGTTCGTATCGTATCGTGAGGTAAGTATCGTAGATACGTATCGATATTCAATTTCTCGCATCGTGGTACCCCTAGTAGTTACCACTTTCGCCACCAGGTGGCTGATTCAGGGGAAATAACAAAGCAGGGTATTACAAAATTCCCTTAAACCTGAATAATCATCAGTTTTATTGGTTCACTTTTCATATTACCCTTATGTATCTGATAGTTATACAAATTGAAATATGTCCAGTAAAAGAAAATATTACCTGCCCAACAAAAGAAAAAATATTTCAGTTTATGTGATTTTACAACATGGGGTCTTGTCTATGGGAAATCTCCCCGCCCTAGAAGTCATTTTTGCAAAGAAAATTGAATTTTCAAAGTTGATAAACTCTTTTCAAAACCACATTTCTAGATGTAATTCTACATGTAGATTCCAAATGTGGCATCATTTTGACTGAATTTTTTTTCTACTCGCATCTGGTGTATTGAAAATGATATTTGAAAATTAGAGGTACCCTGTGTACGCTGATATCAGATTCTCAACTTCTGTCAATTCACTTTGACCACTTATATTATGCGACAGTCATTCCATTTTTCTTATTTGAACAATACAGCTTTTCATTTGCATAGGCGTAGCCAGGGGGGGTGCGATGGGTGTGCGATAACCAATAAAAATAGAACCATTGAAGAAGCTTCTAACTCAATTTGACTGAAAACCAAATTTTTTGAGCGATCACACTCCCCCTGACTAAAAGCTGGCTATGCCCCTGATGTGTCTTCAGTTTCTGTCACAGAGTTCTTCAGTCTACCAATTATGCTAAATCCTGTTGATTATGTTTCTTTGGGCATCTCTTCAGCAAGCCAGAGTTCTAGTAATGGAAGAATAAGCTTTGACGAAACTGCAGTCATCACTCGGGAAAACACTTGCACACGTTGGTCTGGTATCATGGCAAGCATTGGACCAATTGCTTTTATAATTAGCTCCATATAAGGCTTTGCTTTACGCAGGTTTTTCATAATCGACTCCCTGATGTCATCCCGTGAAGTGTTCTTATCTCGTTGTTCATTCATGAAAATCTCTTCTACCTTTTTAAAAAGTCCATGTTTATCTTTATACGCAGTTTTATCAAGGCCCCATTCATTGACTTTCATCATTAAGTCTTCTGCTTGATTGGTTCTTTGATCATCACTGGTCTTGTTGTTCATGATGAATGTACGTCCACCGCAGTCTTTTATTAATTTCTTAATGACTGGAGTAATCATCATTTCTTCTTCCGTCATATTTTCTTCAATCATTTTATCGCCACCTGTGAATAGCACAACTGCATGTTTCATTATACCATCACCAAATATTTTACGGCATAAATCAATTGTCTTCTTATCTTCTTCTGTATATCGGCCATGCCCTATCGCTATGGTGATGAAGAATACATGAGGGCCTGGTGCGCATATAGCCACGCACTTCAAGAGTTCAATAGCGTTCTGTTGCTCATTGACATTGGTATCAAAGATCCCTGGAGTGTCTATAATCATATATTTTTTCCCATGATACTTCACATAATCGTACTGACAGGAACCAGTCTCTGATTGGAAGCTAAGGCAACTTTTAAACTTCTCTTCACCCAGTAGGGTATTGCATGAAAGGCTTTTACCCACCCCTGTTTTGCCAATCAGGACTACCCGCACTTCGTCTGAATCTGAAAAAATAAGGTGAAATAATAAGTACAAGTTGTTCTTCCATCAACCAGGATAGATTCAAAAACACAAAAGACTAAGACAGTCTCCATTTCCATGTTCAGACCAAATTAAAAAAACAGTTTTTGGTCTTTTTTAACTTCTCACCTTGTAGGGTATTGGTGGATGAAAGGCCTTTACCCGCTCCTATATTGCCAGTATGGACTGCTGGCACTTTACCTGAATCTGAAAATATATGATAAAGTGATAGACTATTAAACGTATGTTCACAAGTTGTTCCGTATCAATTATACTGTTGATGAAAACAGTCTTCATTTCCCTGAATTGTTTGAAGTATATGAGTAAAATGAATATTGACAGTGATGATGCTTAACATGTGTACATTATTTTGTTCAAAACGTGAATATTGCAATTAATAGGATCATTACCAGTGAAATAAAACAAGTTGATTAATACGATGTTAGCTTCATGCATATGTAGGAATCAGGGTGAGTTGTTGAGAACTATGTAATCTATGTTATACCTGCTAACTCCCAAGGATGGAGATACTTGGCCATATGCTCTGATTTTTTGCCATCTTGTCTATAGCATGTCTCCCAGTACCAACAGGGGGGCCGATCTCTGCAACAACATATGTAGTATGTATATACTGTAGATGGTTTATTATGTCACTGTTAACTATGGGTCAATTTGATGTATATAGTGACAATTAGAGCTGATTATTAACAAACCAATTAAACATGAGGTATAATCCTGTCAAAAGCACACATAAAGTACATAACCCTTTCCCGACATAAATATAAGCAGGGAAATGTTGGCCTGGTGATGGAAAAGTAATAGTATTTTTAGGGGAAAACTGTGAATTACCTATACCCCAGGACCTATACTTACACCTTCACAAAAACAGGTTTATGAAGGTTAGGGATTGTAAGGTTGCTCTAATGACATTAGTTCTAAAGATGTCTCATAAAATTCACTGGAAGAGTGCAGAAATGGCACCAACTGTGATATTATGCAATGAAACTGAAAAACAGTATCATTTAGGCCCGCATTTCAGCATTAAAATGACATCGAAAGGATTGGTATTGATATGGTGAACTGAATTCAACAATGTTTTTTTCTTAAACAAATATTGAAAACATTCTGTAAAAAAACGAGGTCCTTTAAGTAATTTTGACCAATATATTGACAATAATTTAATGCGAAAATAATTTATAAATGTATATAACTGTTTCTGTTAAGATTTTTTGTTTTTTAGTGCAATTTTTTTGTTCATTTTTACCAATTCTTGAGAATGATATAAAATATCTTTCCGAAGCTTGTTGGAACAAAATAGCATATATTCAACATTTTTTTAGACCTCTCAATATTATAGTTATACAAAGGAAATTTTGGTTGATTTAATAAAAAGTATTCAAAAAAAAAAAATAGATAAAAATTAAGATAAACCTTTTATTTCATTAACAAGATACTTTTCTAAATCAACCAAACTTTCCCTTGAACAATTGCAATATTGAGAGACCTGCTGTGTTTATGTCGTTTTATTCCAATGAGGTTCGGATAGATGTCTCATTTCATTCTGAAGGAAATGATTAGATATAGGAAATCAATTTTAATGTACCAGGCTATTTCATGCATCTCTCCCCCATATATTCAAAACTGTTTCAAAGAGACAAAGTCTGTCCATAATTATGCCACTAGAGCAGTTGTGGAAAATTCACTTTATGTACCAAAACCCAAACTTGAAATATTTAAGAAAAGCATATCATACAGTGGTTCACATCTTTGGAACAAGCTTGATAAGACCGTCAAAGAGTCTGATTCTGTAAACTCTTTTAAGAAAGCATATAAACAAGTGTATCAGATCAGAAAATGAAAATCATGTAAATGCATTTTAAAGACATTGTTCCTTATATTTATTATGTTATTCTCTTATAAGTTGTTCTCTATGTTTCATGTAAATGCATACTTTGAAGATGCATATATATCAAATTGTTCTATATGTCCTATATATCTATTTGTATGTTTCTATATTTATTGTACACATTGTAAATAATTGTAAATTATTACTGGGCCTCTAGGAAGACCAGTTTTTGTACTGATAGAGCTACCCAGAATAAATATAGTTTTCAAATCAAATCAAATCAAGTGTCTGATGTGTTTTCTAAAACAATATAGAGAAAAGTATATACAAAAAAATAAAAAAGAGAAGTGTATATTTATTTCAAATTATATTGTTACCATTAAAAAGATGACTATTAAATTGACGATGTGTAAAATTTTCAGAATTTTTTGATGATTGGTTTTAGATAAATGTGTGTTCAAAAAGTTCACCATATCGATACCCATTCTTTGGTGTTGTCTACTCAACACTGAGTCTACGTCAGAATAACACTGATAATAGCCCCAAATTTGAGTGTCACATATTTTTATTTACAATGTTCCACATTGGTCCTTCAATTATTTTCATCACACTTTTTCAAAGTGCTATTGTCATCATCATGTTTAAGGTTTGATTGCATGACTTGTAAAATATATTTTGACTTATCCCGTACCAGGTCTATAGTCCTGTACTGAGCGCATTCTTTTGCCTGTATGATTACAACTTTGGAAAATTATCTATGCCCCTTACACTTATAAGATACCTACTTCAATAGATTCCTTGGTATTTTAGCATTCTTTCCGTGTAGTTGAATCCACAATTGTCTGGTTATATTGGCAGAACAGGAACATTTTATTTTTCATCGAGAGAGATTCCATCAATTTTCAAGATGGCAGTTGGATTTAAAAGGGGATTCCCCATTTGACTGATATGGCCCAGAAGTACCAATAAATAGAGGAATTTGACAGTTGAAATAAGTTAAATATTACACGCAAATATTGCGATCAAAAACGAAAAACCCAGACAATTGTGGATTCAACTACACGAAAAGAATGCTAAAATACCAAAGAATCTATTGAAGTAGGTATCTTAAGTGTAAGGGGCGTAGATAATTCTCCCAAGTTGTAATCGTACAGGCAAAAGATTGCCCTCGATCCAGGATTAAGTCCTGGTAAGGGATAAATTTTGACTGTATACCTATAATCTATACATGAAGGTATATCTGAACTGTGGATGAACTGGCTTCTGTGTTTACTGGTCTGATCCCCACAGTCTGCAAACTTCCTGCAAGTTTTACGTCTAATATGTTGTGTTGAAACAGCTGGCTCAGGTGTAGCACTCGGTGCTGGTCTACTTTGAGCTCCTCCCATAATGTTTTAAGTTAGCCAGACATTTTTTTGTGTAGTCTGAAGTATCAAGCTGATTCTAGAGTTATTAATACGGGTCTTATAAATAATGTTATCATGCAGCTTATCTCTCTGTTCTATGTACTTGAGTGTTGGTTTTGGACTTTTGGTTTTGTTCATGTACATTTACATGTATGTTCATTGTTCAACTTCTGAGAATTGGCATGTGTTGTGTGGAAACAAACATGAGATAAGAAAATTATAATTTTGGACTTGATAATTGTGTTGATAATAATTTAACAAGAATTTTGATGTTTTCTTATATGTACTATGCAGGCCTGTCAACTTGGGAACACCTAACATGAGTGACTTCAAATGTTGAACACTTCCCCTCAAAATGTGGACACCTTGGTCCAAATCTGAACACCTTGATCTAAATTTTGAACACCTTGGTTTAAATTTTATTACGTCTTGCCAAATTTTGAACACCTCAAATTTTTCGCGCTCACTACGCTCGCGTTTCAAACATCCATCAACGGGGGGGGGTGTAGGTACGAAAAATTTCGAACGGAATGCGTGACATATACGTAATTCGCGTGAAAAGTCCGAATGAAATGCGTACGTTTTTTTTTCGGCGTTCGTATTTTTGCTGTGTAGACAGACTTTTTTAGAAATTTTTCTACAGATGTATTTTTGCTTGACAATTACCAGGTAAAATGCGTATTTGCGTGACATTTTCTGTCACGCAAAAATAACTGGCGTGACTTTAAATTCTTCAGCAAATGCGTGACAAATACGCAAATTGCGGGACAGTTGACAGGCCTGACTATGATCCATGATCTGTCAGTTATTTGTTCATAAACCTTCATTGGGATAACTGATAATTATTTTATTCTTTATTTAGTTTTGTGTGAGGAAACATTTCACAGCTACCAAAACAAGGGGATTCCCCTTTGTACCTTTACAGGGTTAGAGGTAGTGTTGTTGCGATTAATCGATACATCGCGATATACATCGCCAAAGCTGATTCTGGCGATGCATCGATGTCTGAAACAAAACATCGATGTTTTTTAAAAAAATTCATTTGCTAAAAATCACCCTTTCTTATCTTATTTTGACGCAAATCGCTTAACTTTCTCATGTCTTATTTCATTTCCCAATGTTTTGTGATATTATTTCGCTTTAAAACTGTTTTAGCTAGTCGAAATGAACCATTAATCTAAAAAAATTTACTTTATTTTCATTTCACCGTTACTAGCAGTTCACGGATGAACCAGCGTTCGGTATTTTAGTGCATTGGGTAGCGTTCGGTATTTCAGTGAACTTTTCTCGGACTATTTCTCGATGTACATCGCGATGTGCATCGATGTTTACTACTGAAAATTGCCGATGCATCGATGTACGATTATGGCACATCGCGACAACAAGAGGTCAAAGTTAAAAGCTCATTGGTGATCATTCTTACATTTACCCGGCATTTACCACATCATATCACCCAATTACCAGGCACAGAAAATATCAGGATATGTATTGCAAATCCACTTTTATATTAGCTTACATAAATGTTTTTACAGACAATGAAAACAAACCACCATACCACCACCTTTTGGCAAATATTCAAATCAAACATACAAATCAAAACTATACTTCTGTACAAACATTCTTTTAATCAGACCATTAATTTTGATGTTGATGATGATCTTAGTTAAAGTTGCTTTTAACCCTGAACAATGTTGCAACTCAATATATAATATGATTATTTATTATATACCCAATATGTAACACTAATCCTGATTGGTCAATACCTAGTCACGTGTTCCGAAATAGATTTACTATTTCCCTCGGAAAGTTATATTCCCTCAAATGTGACGTCAGCGGGAATATACATTTGAACTATTGCCCGCTGACGTCACAATTGCAAGCTCTATTACCCTTGGAAACGTCTGCTCATCATCACTGCGCAGACGAAAAACAGAAAAATGGAGGATGAGCACAAACACAAATCAACTCCGTTCACCATGACAGACGTGCGTGAACGATACAATATAAGCAACGTGTATAAAGTTCCCTAAGCTCAATACGTCTGTGTAATTTCAAGTGTTATGATAATCTATTCCGCGTGTTAAACGCGATTGAATTTGTCAAGTGAGAGTCTCAGAGGCAAAAATTTCTGTTGAGCATCTGATGACGTCACAGCTTAAAATGCTAACAATGGACCCGGGGAGGGGGCTTTCTAAGCCTTTTTGGCCTTCGCAGAGGAAACGGGACAAGAGTCAGTATAGGGTATATAATAAAACAAATAGTGACTGCCTAATTTCGAGCAATAGTGTAAATGATTTCCCCTTGGGAATATCCTCTACAATATACTATTCCCTCAGCCTGCGGCTTCGGGAATAGTACATTGTAGAGGATATTCCCTCGGGGAAATAATTTACACTATTGCCCTCAATGGCAGTCACTATTTGTATAATATTACCTTCTTCTAAGGCCACTGTATCGTGGCCTTCCTGGAAAGATAATTTCCTGCTTATAAAGTGAAGGGCCATCAAACTGTCTTCCATGATTTTTTAACACCTTCAAAATTAAAAAAAATATATAACTGATTAGTATTAGTGTTGATTAGTGTTATATTGACGACGGACAGAAGGCATATATTCAATGATACGGACACAATTGTTGTATTACATACCTAAGGTACATTTACATTTCATGAAGATAATATGTAGAAATGCGTGAAAAAGACCAAAGTTTTACACGATTCCAGTCGAAATCACTTTGTTTACATGTTATGACATCATAAAATTGTCCTGGTAATAAAGTTTTGTGGCTATACAGGAATACATATATAGCTGACCTTCGGCTCCATTGACTTCCATACAAATACTTTGCTAGGTATGTAATACTGTAAGTTATTGAATGATTTGAAGTGCAATACAGGATATATTTACCCTTTGCATTCATTCACATCTCAAAAGAGAGCTTCGGCTTCACTCTTCTGCTCTGGAAATTCTGTGTTTGAACAAGACGAAGTCGAGTACCAATACGGGAATATCGAGAGCAGAATATGTTTTTATTGTGTTATCTTAATACAATACATTTTACTCAGGAGATAATCCCTAGGAAATATTCTGTTTTCTCTGTATTGCTACTGAGATTGTCTCCTCCATACCAATATTTTCTGTATTGATACGGAGATGCTCAATCGTGACAATCTCTGTAGCAATACAGATTGGTACAGCACAAGAACTGACCAATCAGAGGGCTTCATTTTTCAGATCATACGATAAAGTCAAATGTAAACAATTGATAAAAATGTATAAGCTGAAACCTTTACAGACTTCATAAATTATAGATTTCCTTGATGCAGTAATGAGGAAAAATAAATGGACTAAATAGCATTAAGTAGCAGAATGTTTCTGTAAGTAGGAGGATTACGTCAATATGAATCCTTGATGCAGTAATGAGGAAAACTAAATGGATTAAATAGCATTAAGTAGCAGAATGTTTGTGTTCTGTCTGTCAGGAAAAAAACTCAAATACTAATTATTGTACTCATATTGAAGAATTTCAAAGTAGATCATAATTATGGTATTGTTTATCTGATTCTTGCCTAAAAAATTCAAAATGGCTGCCTAAAACTGACAATTCGCTATTATTTAGAGGTCTCTTGAAAGTATGGTTACATTATACGACATTAATCCCAAATATTGTATTGATCTGTGTCTTTGATACTACTAAATGGTCACATAAATATTAAATACTTAAATTGGTGCAATTTCTGATTGATGAATGTTTTGTTTACTGGGATTTGCTACTTCATTGAGTTGCCGTTTTCTAGATGAGGCTGTGAGTGGAATGAAGTGTTGGTGATTTAAGAAAGAAAAGGCGAGGATATCTAAACAATTGAAAGAAATTTGAAAAGCTAGTGAAAAGAAGTAGATCATAGTGCCTATAGCAAGGAATGAGGCAGTACCCAAATAGAAATTAGGATTACAAAACGGGTTAGAATACTTAATGGGTTGAATATATTCCTGTTAACAAGTATATCAATTCCAAGGAAATACCACAAATCGGTAAACATTTAAAAAGTGAAATAGTTGAGGTTTTATACATTACAGATAGGTATGAATGAAACATCGTCCGAGTTAAACATTACGGGAACATATTTCTCAAATCTTATGACGGGAGATGGAGCTAAAGCGATGATAATTTTGTGTGGCATTGCTATTGCTTTGTGGATACTCTTTGGGAATACGCTAGTCATTGTCACATATAGAACATACATTCCATTACGAACAGTGGCCAACATTTTTATTATAAACTTGGCAATAGCGGATGAACTAACTGGCTTCTCATGTTTGGTGATGGTGATTCCATCAAGATTTTTGCCATTAAAATTGTTATGCAAAATGGAATTTCAATCGTTATCCTTTCTTGTAATAACAGTCCCATTCGCTGCATCGTTTCTGTGTCTCCTGATGGTATCAATTGACCGATTCATTGCAATATTTTGGCCGCTGAGATATCCGACGATGATGACTCACAAAAGAGCCATTATGACATCCTGTGTTATTTGGTTCCTCAGCATCGTTTATTACATCATTATAATAGTCGACCATTACTTTCAGTTGAAAGAACAGGACATTTCATTCTGTGAGACCTATACAGTAGTGCCACGATTTATGGGGATGACATTTGGCATATTATACATTATAGTCTTAATCCCGCATATTGTGATCTACAGTTGCATTTTTATGACGGCAAAGGCTCAACAAAATAAAATGCAAACATCAAATGGGGCCAACTTATCAAAGTTAAATATTGCTAAAATGAATTTCAAACTGGTAAAGACGCCTCTGATTGTAATTGGCTTATTTCAAATTTGCTGGACTCCGATGGTTGTGTATTTAACAGCAATTGAATATCATTGGTTCGAGAGTAACAAACGCTCAATTAGCTCTGGTTTGTTTATATCTTATATAATTGCAATCATCAACTCTGGAATGAATCCAATCGTTTATGCTGTCAGGTCAACAGACTTCAGAGTTGGTATGAAAAAAGTACTCGGACTAAAGTCTAACACTGTTGAAAATATGTGACTTTCATAAAGTAATTTACTGCAGAATTGGTAAATCAGTGTATTATTTGAATCTGGATTGAATCATATTTGAGAGACAATGTAATGGAACTGTATAAATTGCCTTTAATGCATGGAATGATGAAAATAAATAAACATCATCGATCATTTTGGCACTTAACAAATATTAAAGGAACAGGAGTGATTCCTGTGAATACTTTTCAATTTGAAAGTTATTTCTTAATATTTTATATTATGCTGTAGAGGAATCACATATTTCCATAAAGTATGTGTACACATAAGCTGTACTGCTCATTTCACAGTCATTATACCTATTTACTTATCCTGAAATACATCTATAATAGAACACCTCCCAATTGGAACAATATTTAGTTTAAGATACTAAAGATGTTCTACTGTGTAGGTAAGAAGATGACCACAAGCAGACCATGTGAGACTCGGGAAAACTCTTTTAACATCGAAGTGAATTTACAATAATTGATGATTTCACCATTGCAGTTTTCCTTCTCAAGACCTTGTTGCATTAAAAAATCAAGTTAACATTTACAATTGATGTAGTACAAAATATATTGTAGACAAATTTTGTAGTTCTATGTTGTATTATTGTTTGTTGCATTTATCATATACTGTATTGAGACATTTGTGTTGATTATTGCAATATAAACTTTTTGAATAAAAATCTGTTGCTTTTATATTCTTTATTATGATATGAACACATCACTCCATATAATAAACTCATTACTTCATGAAGTGAACACACCAATTTATACAATGAACATATACCTCCATGTAATATTCTAATCACTTCATGAAATGAACACACCAATTTATACAATGAACATATACCTCCATGTAATATTCTAATCACTTCATGAAATGAACACACCAATTTATACAATGAACATATACCTCCATGTAATATTCTAATCACTTCATGAAATGAACACACCAATTTATACAATGAACATATACCTCCATGTAATATTCTAATCACTTCATGAAAAGAACACACCAATTTATACAATGAACATATACATGTACCTCCATATAATATTCTAATCACTTCATGAAATGAACACACCAATTTATACAATGAACATATACCTCCATGTAATATTCTAATTACTTCATGAAATGAACACACCAATTTATACAATGAACATATACCTCCATATAATATTCTAATCACTTCATGAAATGAACACACCAATTTATACAATGAACATATACCTCAATGTAATATTCTAATCACTTCATGAAATGAACACACCAATTTATACAATGAACATATACCTCCATGTAATATTCTAATCACTTCATGAAATGAACACACCAATTTATACAATGAACATATACCTCCATGTAATATTCTAATCACTTCATGAAAAGAACACACCAATTTATACAATGAACATATACCTCCATGTAATATTCTAATCACTTCATGAAATGAACACACCAATTTATACAATGAACATATACCTCCATGTAATATTCTAAACACTTCATGAAAAGAACACACCAATTTATATAATGAACATATACCTCCATGTAATATTCTAAACACTTCATGAAAAGAACACACCAATTTATATAATGAACATATACCTCCATGTAATATTCTAAACACTTCATGAAAAGAACACACCAATTTATATAATGAACATATACCTCCATGTAATATTCTAAACACTTCATGAAAAGAACACACCAATTTATATAATGAACATATACCTCCATGTAATATTCTAAACACTTCATGAAAAGAACACACCAATTTATATAATGAACATATACCTCCATGTAATATTCTAAACACTTCATGAAAAGAACACACCAATTTATATAATGAACATATACCTCCATGTAATATTCTAAACACTTCATGAAAAGAACACACCAATTTATATAATGAACATATACCTCCATGTAATATTCTAAACACTTCATGAAAAGAACACACCAATTTATATAATGAACATATACCTCCATGTAATATTCTAAACACTTCATGAAAAGAACACACCAATTTATATAATGAACATATACCTCCATGTAATATTCTAAACACTTCATGAAAAGAACACACCAATTTATATAATGAACATATACCTCCATGTAATATTCTAAACACTTCATGAAAAGAACACACCAATTTATATAATGAACATATACCTCCATGTAATATTCTAAACACTTCATGAAATGAACACACCAATTTATACAATGAACATATACCTCCATATAATATTCTAATTACTTCATGAAATGAACACACCAATTTATACAATGAACATATACATGTACCTCCATATAATATTCTAATCACTTCATGAAATGAACACACCAATTTATACAATGAACATATACATCCATGTAATATTCTAATCACTTCATGAAAAGAACACACCAATTTGTATAATGAAGATATACCTCCATATAATATTCTAATCACTTCATGAAAAGAACACACCAATTTATACAATGAACATATACCTCCATATAATATTCTAATCACTTCATGAAATGAACACACCAATTTATACAATGAACATATACCTCAATGTAATATTCTAATCACTTCATGAAATGAACACACCAATTTATACAATGAACATATACCTCCATGTAATATTCTAATCACTTCATGAAAAGAACACACCAATTTATATAATGAAGATATACCTCCATATAATGTTCTAATCACTTCATGAAAAGAACACACCAATTTATACAATGAACTTCTACCTACCTCCATATAATATTCGGCGGATGGCAGTTGGTGGTTGGCGGTTGGCGATTGGCGTCTGTAACAAATTCTTACAACTTCCAATAACTTAACAAATACTGTTTCGATCTGACCTCAATTTTTTCAAAATCATCTACATGTTTTCAGAAGTTCAAATCTGACTTAGATTTAAGATTTGACTTTCAATGACCTTTTCAAGGTAAAAAGAGGTCAAAAAGGTCTTTTTTCAACTAGCTTCAAATTGATCACTTTTTTTTCAAAAAAAGATGTTGTTTGGCAGTTGGTGTTAGGTGCCTTTAACAAATGGCAGGTAGTGACATTTTCCATGTTAATGCCTTGTTTACAAAATATAAATACATGTACTATATACAGTGCTCATGATTTATTGTTGCAGTTCTAATGACAAGAGAAGATGAGTTTAGTGACAGATTAAACAACAGGTCCAGTTTTAAAGGTTGCACAGCACTTCACTATGCAGTACTAGCTGATGACCTGCTCATTGTCAAGTTACTACTAGATGCAGGTATGATTTGTTTCTAGCTAAATGGTCATCTTGCTGAAAGAAGGAGTCAGTGTAAAATGTGTCTTAAAGTGATGTCCACCAAACACACGTGTTCATTAGAGAGAAGTGTTCACTAAGACAGGTTTAACTGAAGTATAATATATTAAGTCCATTGAACCACTTCTTGGACAGGTCCAAATGGTTTAGGGCACTATGCATGTCACGACAATGCATTGTTACAAAAGTGTTTAATGTCACTAAATACACTGGTGAGTGTCCAACAAGATGTTAATAAATTAACTACATGTACATGTAATTTTGATGTTGATTTACAGGTTGTGACCCTGGACTGGAAAATGAGAGTGGCCATGTTGCCTCAGCTTATGCTAGGAACCCTCTGATAAAGGAACGTTTAGTTGATGGGGAGAAAAAGGTAAGCATACATGAGTTCAATGCTACATTAGATGGAAAATAAAATGCCATTGTACAATGTCCCCATTTTAGATTTCACATCAAGATGAGTGAATTATATGGACCTATGCCATGGTATACATTTATATAGATAAGATTGCATAAGCTCATAAGGTAAGAATGAGTCTTGAGGTTTTTATCTTCTTTGGGTACACTTTAATTTAAAGGATATGGAATATCATTCATTTTGAAACAAGGTATATTATGCGTCTATGATTTATAAGGGTCTGAGATTGTCTTATGTTCCCTAACATACCCAAGGATAATCATGAAAATTGACATTAGAGATATGACACCACCACTAGTGGTGACATATTTTTTTGTCTCCCGGACTTTTTTGTTAACAGTGTTCAGTATTCCGCAGTTGGTGTTCCTTTGGTTAGTGTTCGGCATTCAATAATTGGTGTTCAATGTCTGTAACAAATGGCAGGTGGTGATATTTTGCATGTTAATGCCTTGTTGTTGACTTGCAAAACTTGCTGCTATTTGAAGGCTGCAGAGCGTAGGAAGGAGAAAGAAGCAGAAGAAAGAAGAAAATATCCACTAGAGCTGAGAATTAAAGAACATATCATTGGCCAGGAGAACGCTATACTCACTGTCTGTTCAGGTTAGCAGTAAAATATAAATTATTCTCCAATTTCTCTAAAAGCTGGGATGGACTAGGGTGTATCTTTAAAAGTATCAAAACACTGAATATCCCACTTTATACAAATAATATTGTTTTGAGAAATCTTTTGTAAAAATTAGCAAAGAAATGAGGTAAATAGATATTGATTTGAGAAATCTTTTGTAAAAATTAGCAAAGAAATGAGGTAAGAAGAAATTGTTTTAGAATGTAGATCTAAAACTTCATTTTGCTTGAGATAAATGTAGATTTAACCTTTGTTTCATTTTAGCTATCAGACGTAAGGAGAATGGTTGGTACGATGAAGAACATCCCCTTGTGTTTCTGTTCCTTGGCTCCTCTGGTATTGGAAAGACAGAGCTTGCGAAACAAGTGGCCAGATACCTACATAAGGATGACAAAAAGGTTTGGGTCATTTAGGATCTTTTGACTGCTTAACTCACATATCATACTGTATTGTCTAGATTTGACAAAATATTAGACATTCACGTACAAGTTATATTAAAAATGTGTAACTTAACCTCCCCGGAGTATATCCCAAGATCCTTCAATGAGTAGGAAAACCTACTAACTTATTATCAATAGGGAGAAGTAAACCTTTTCTTATTTTAGGGCCATAAATTCACTCTTCAAATGTGTATAATTCATTGTGATATAAGTGTTAATGTTTGAGGTGTCATCATAGATTCAAATGTCAACCTATAACACAGGCATTTTTTGGGTTTCATGATAGATTTCATTTCAGGGCTTTATCCGTATGGACATGTCAGAGTTCCAAGAAAGGCATGAAGTTGCTAAATTCATAGGTTCACCACCAGGCTATGTTGGTCATGAAGAAGGTGGTCAGCTGACTACTAAGTTGAAGAAGAAACCAAATGCTGTTGTTCTGTTTGATGAGGTTGACAAAGCTCACCCTGATGTACTGACTATTATGCTGCAATTGTTTGATGAGGTGAGTTGTATTGTTTGATGAGGTTGAAAAAGCACACCCTGATGTACTGACTTTTATGCTGCAATTGTTTGATGAGGTGAGATAATTTGTTTGATGAGATGAGTTGTATTGTTTGATGAGGCGAGCTGTATTGTTTGATGAGGTGAATTGTTCTATTTGATGAGGTTGACAAAGCTCATCCTGATGTACTCACTATTATGCTGCAATTGTTTGATGAGGTGAGTTGTATTGTTTGATGAGGTGAGTTATATTGTTTGATGAGGTGAGTTGTATTGTTTGATGAGGTGAATGATATTACTTGATGAGGTCAATTATATCGTTTGATGAGGTGATTTGTATTGTTTGATGAGGTGAGTTATATTGTTTGATGAGGTGAGTTGTATTGTTTGCTGAGGTGAGTTATATTGTTTCATGAGGTGAGTTGTAATTGTTTGATGAGGTGAGTTGTACTGTTTGATGAGGTGAATGATATTGCTTGATGAGGTGAATTATATCGTTTGATGAGGTAAGTTATATTGTTTGATGAGATGAGTTATTGTTAGATGAGGTAAATTGTTCTGTTTGATCAGGTTGACAAAGCTCACCCTGATGTACTGACTAATATACTGTAATTGTTTGATGAGGTGAGTTCTATTGTTTGCTGAGGTGAGTTGTATTGTTTGATGAGGTGAGTTGTAATTGTTTGATTAGGTGAGTTGTATAATTTAATAAGGTAAGCTGTATTGATTGATGAGGTTGATGAAGCATATCCTAATATACTGACTAATATGCTGCAGCTTGTTCATGAAGTGAGTGACCATCCCTCCCAAAAATTCCTCTAGTTTAGACATCTCTAAAATAGCCATTGACTGTACATTTTTCTTCAGTGAAAACCTTTTGAGTATCTTCAGCTACATGTAGGTTAAAAATAATACATATTCAACCTTTTTATTATTATTAGCTACATAGCATATCTGTCAGACATTGCTGTGGTAACTGTGATACTGTTTCACCGTTTTTAATTTCACAGAAATAATGTTAAACAGAAACAGCAAAAAATTAGCCCAGTGAATACTTCCACTTGCATATATAGTATTGATAATGTTTCCAAGAATAAAATACCCCAGCATGGCATTTGCAATATGTTTTGGATATTTATGTTTTTGTTTTCCATTATTACAGGGCAGACTGACAGATGGAAAAGGCAAGACAATAGAGTGTAAAGATGCTATATTTATGATGACCTCAAATCTTTACAGGGCAGACTGACAGATGGAAAAGGCAAGACCATAGAGTGTAAAGATGCTATATTTATAATGACCTCAAATCTTTACAGGGCAGACTGACAGATGGAAAAGGCAAGACCATAGAGTGTAAAGATGCTATATTTATAATGACCTCAAATCTTGCCAGTGATGAGATCGCCCAACATGGATTACAGCTGAGAAAAGAAGCTGATGAGATAAGACTAAACAGAGCTGTTGAAAGTAAAGGTTTGTTTTAATGTTTAATGAACAATGTTTGAAAAAAGTGTCATCAGTGCAGTGAGCTGTGGCTAGATGGATATCTACTTTCTTTTCTTGTTTGTATGGTTTCAAGGGGAAAAAATCGTACCCTGTAATCGGCAAAATTTGAATGGAGGATTTATTACAAATCTACTCCCCCTCCATTCATTTTTTCCAATAGCAGGGTGTTAAAATGAATGAATTTTGAACAGTTGCAAGAAAAATGGAAACCCAAGACCGCTCATTAAATTGAGTCTATGTTTTATTTTATATTACAGAGGATGAAAGTGTCAGTGAAAGGGTGACCGTCAGTAAACGTTTTAAAGATCAAGTTGTACGACCAATCCTCAAGGTATTTCCTGATTTTCTCATTTTGGGGGTACTTAAGTGATTCATATTTGAAATAAATTTCTTTGCAGTATGCCCCTCTTTGCTTATTGAGATATCTGTGCATACATCTTGCATAATAGAATATCCCTATTTGCTCATTATCAATTATCACTCCATAGCAACATATCAACCAGGTTCACACTGCAACCGAAACAGAAATGTAAACGTTTATGTTCTAGATAGAGTTTGAATAATGAAGTAACATATTTTCATAAATTTCAGAGACACTTTAGACGAGATGAATTCCTGGGAAGGATAAATGAAATGGTTTACTTTCTCCCCTTCTCACAACAAGAACTCTGCAAGTTGGTCACTAAAGAACTGAAGTTCTGGGCTAAAAAGGTAAGTAAGCATATAGATAACCCTTGTCAATAGTTGTGATTTCGCTTCATTTGCACTCTTTGAATAAGAGAGAATCATATGATCTAGCCCTACCCAATCAGATTAAGTCAATCCAATTGAGCTAGCCAATAAGAATTGTAGTTGTAGAATAGTATGCATTCATTATATAATAAGGATAATAATTAGCCCATAGTAATATAATAAGATAACAATTTGTTTATTTACAAATTGTTACAAAAACTTAATACCATTTTTGATCAACATCTCTTGGCTCCAATGTACGTACAATAACTTGTTTGCTGAGAATGGAGTTTCATTCTTTGGATGTGAAATGTTTTTTGTTGATCTTTTGAACTGGGTTCATTATCACGATGCAAAGATGAAAAATATTTTCTTCATGCTTGTCACAATTACACTATATATGATTATAATGACTTTATATTTCCGTCATCATTCATCTGAACATAAAATATAGAACATTTGTGAATTATGAAAAATAGGAAAATGATAAAGCCTATTCCTTGAAAGCTACTCATTTAGTGAATGTTGTTTATTTTATGCAAAAATGGCAGAAATATAAACAGTGATTCTTTTTTAACATTCACATATCAAATCATAACCTTGTTGCATTTTCATGTTTATTTTTGGCTGACTCCAGGCACAGGAGAAGCATGAGATAGATCTGCAATGGGACTATGATGTTGTTCAAGTTCTCACCCAAGGATATGATGTCCACTATGGAGCCAGGTCTATCAAACATGAGGTAACCTGATTTTAAGTAAAGCCTGTGTACCTCAAAATGATGTTCCATTTACAGAGGTTCATTTTACATTTAGTTGATGAGCAACTGGATTTCAGAATGTTTCTACTTATAGAGGTGTTCCAGTTACAGAGGTTCCACTTTGCAGGTTTTAATGTATTTTTAAGGAGAAATTTAATCTCCGGTGATTATACATTTAAATTGTACATCCCGTTGTTGTTTTGACAATAATGTTGCAAAGGACAAATGTAGAATTTCTTTAAGGTATTAGCAAATATTGAGGTTTAGGTATATGCTATATGTATTGTACTCTGCAAAATAAACTAAAGCATTTTCTCCATGGTCATTTGCATTGACACATTTACATCTCCCGTATCATATCTAGACATTTGTTCATTGATGTATTCTCATTCCAGGTTGAACGTCGTGTAGTAAGCCAGCTTGCCTCAGCTCATGAACGTAAACTTATTCACAAAGGCTGCAACCTCAGACTCACTGTACAGCCAGCAGATGGTGCCACTAACATTGAAAGCAACAATAATGCTATATTAAAACTTCAAATTGAGAACAAAGACAAATCTAAGAGTTTTGTTGATATCCCATATAACTCTGCTGGCTTTGATACACAGGAAACTGGATTTTCATTTTGAAGAAACTATAATATATATTATTTATCTACAAATCAGCCAACATATTGAAGACTGGGAGTGCAGTGAATATTTAATGTATACAACTTCTCTTTACAGAGCCGAGCCTTTAAAATCTAACAAAATCATGCAGTTTTTCACCATTCTGTGCATTTTCAAGTGATTTTGGCCATTTTTGGACCAAAGTTGCAAAATATGAACCTCCCTGGAATTTTTAGATATTGAACATCACCTTGTCAAAAGCTGGCTACGGGCCTAAACATGGCTGTGTATATACATGAACATGGTATAAACAAAGGGAGCTGGATAATGTAAACTGGTATTGTTTGGATGAAAAGTAAAATAATTTTATTATTTATTTATGTGTATTTACTGTTAGCATGATGATGAAAATACAGATATATTTTATTTATACTGTATTTACTAAAATCTAGTCTAAAAGAGAGTTCTTGTATCAGACAGATTAACATTGTAATGTTATATCAATATAACAATGTGAATGCAATGTAAACTCACACATTTTGATTTCCTTTGAATGAAATAAATTGAAAAGCATGAATTTACCTTGTATATTTTCTTTTATGGCTTTTAACAAAAAGTTTTTTATATGTGTAGTATACTCTGACTCTATTAGAAACATGACAATGCTTAATGATTTTATATCCAGTATTTTCACTTTGAAAGTTAAAATGATTTGAAAATTAATTTCAGCTTGATTCGCAATGCTCAGTGTGCAACTTTTGAATCATTAGATCAATCAAGTAATTAAAACATGGCATCTATTGGCCATGATGTCATTCTTATAGGTTCAAGGCAGAAACAGATTAACTAGGTTATTTTTTCATTTTTTATTTTATTTTTTTTCTTACAATTTTGCTTACTATCATTGTGCATGATGCATGCAAAGTATCACATGTAAATACATGAGCGTTCAAAAGAAATCTTGCCATATAATTACCCTAGTTTCCTGGTTCACCAAAAGGGTTCAAAAATTTATTGGAAAGGTCTAATAATTTTTGTTGGTGTATGGCGGAGGAAAGGGTATCTTTAGCTAGTGAAAATCAACACTTGACCTTTTCTAAATCAATTAGGGAGACATATCTGATTGCATTTAATAACCAATCAATGATTTTGAGACATAGCCAATCCACTATAAGATCACAAATGTACTGTTAGTAAACCTATGGTAAACCCATCAGGAAATTCTCATATTTTCTTTTGCTATGGGCTAACCCATTTAGAATTACTATAATCCCTTAAACGTCTTAAGGAAAGACCTTGAATCAGACGGATTAGCATTGTAGTTTAAATAAGATCATGGATTATCAGCAAATATTAGTACAAAGCAGATATTAAGAGCAGAGAGCACCACGGAGTAAATATACGTTTGATCTAGTTCTCGAATGGACATAAGAGTGGAAAATAGTGGAATTAACGAGAAATAAAGTATATCTAGTGATGTCTTGACTGCTGTTTGAGTAATGATTCCAAAAATGAAGGCCGGGTATTGTTTTTAAGGAGGGATTTCATAGAATATCCATGACCGTAATGAAGTTTCATGGATGGGCGGTTATTGAGGAAATATACTTTAGGGTTACATAGATCATATAAGACTCGTGCCAGTTTCTCCGTGGCAATTTAACATTGTTAATACGGCAAAGTCCTAATTTAAGTAGAAAGTAAAAAAATACCAGAATTCAAGTTCGAAAAGTCAGTTGTTTTGAACAAGTATTCAGTTGTTGAAGTGCATGACAAAGAAAAACCCAATGAAAATGTTGAATTACATACAATTGAAGCCCAAGGACTAAATATCATCGGCTAAACTATGAATAAACGGAGGATTGCAATCCAAGGGATGAACTATCCCGAAATGAGAACTGCCAACCTACCAGATGGACATTGGGGTATTCACTCGTCCATTCACTCGTTTTCATCAGAAGACAGAGACTCGTCTTTAATAAGTGCAGACAAAGACTCGTCAAGTTTGAATGAAGCTCGAGTACTTAGGAGTGTGGACGATGCCCTTTCGTCAAAGGTAAATAACATTCTGCTAAGCATCACATCTTTCTGTTTCACTAGGAACTTGACTGAGGAAAAATGAGATGTCAGGGTTTATCATGATTGGCATAACATTTACTTTGTATTATATTTACATTGTTATTGTAATTATAATACAATGTGCCCCATAAGCCTAAAAAGTGGCTTTGTATAAAAAAAACCTCCTACCTCATACCCACCTACCGACCTACGTGGGACATGATACAGTCATTGAAGGGTTCAATTGAAAGATTTTTAAATCTTAAAATAGCTCTAATTATTAACATTTCTACAATTCCGGCTTTATTTTATGACTAGACGGTTGACAGATCCATAAATAAAGGCATATGGGTGCATTGTAATGTGTAATGACTCGAGGGCGCCCCAGGGGAATAACTAACAAACGACCGCGAGCATAGGTCCAACAAGCCAGATAAAGAAATTGAAAGAAAGTGTGCTAAATTCGATGCCCCGAGTGGGAATCGAACCCAGCTTGGCTGTAGTAGCAACTTGCTATCAAGGGTCGTTACAAACGTATCTATAATTCATCATAAACTTAGATTTGATAAACTAAGATCTTTAAAATTGAACCCTTCAAAGACTGTATCATGACCAACGTACGTAGATAGATGAGTATGAGGTAGGAGGTTTTTTATACAAAGCCCTTAAAAGTAGGTATAAATTATACAAGGCACTACAATAAATATACAATACAATACAAATACAGTACGTTAATCATGAATGAATTATTAATTACTTCACTTGGGGTCTACATTGTCCTTTTTAAAAGCTCGCATGGAATATTTTCTGAGACAAACGTAGCAAATCTTCTGCATCTAATGTTAACATGGTTCAGCCCCGTTAGTTTATACTCTGAGGCCTGAAAATTGAAAAATTCAACATAAGACACATTTCATTTGGTTAGCTCCTCGTATATATTCCAACAAACGCAACTAAGAACAAAAAACAGAAGTCGAATTACATTGAGTAAACCACAACAGTTCAATGAAAACTAAATGGAGAAGAAATGGAATTCGTCATTGATTAAATGGAATAACATGTTAGATGAGATTATACATTGCCATAACATCTGACAAGTTATCTTCATCAATCATTAAATGCCAGGACTAATAGTCCTATTTGGTGATTAGGGATTGTGTCAGATCAATACCGAGATAATTTCACATTCAGTTCCATTTACATTTATTTCATTGTAGATGCGAATAGTTTTACTGGTATTTGTCAAACAGGTGAACATACAAAAATTGTTTTGTTTTTTTAGTAATATTTGCACACAGGGTTATTTGAGGTTTGCAAACGTTTAATGTTATTGGTTATTGTTATTTTTATCACAGTACTTGGCTAAAAATAAGGTAGAAAATGACTTAAATCATTAAAAGTATATGGCTCCTTAGAGCGACTTATTTTTGATGATCTTTGGTATGCTCGTAAGTAGTTAACAAGTAGTTTGAGAGCGTTATTATGTTTATTCATTATCATATACAAGTAAGAAGTCGTTGGGTCAGTTGTAAATATAGCTAAAGGTGAGTAACTTTGTAAAGAAAGGTATATTGAACATCACTTTTCATAAGTATATTTTATAATGCCAAAAGCAGGATCGCAAATTAAAATGTCTGTGAACTGCATATTACAGGCAATACACGTGATTTCATAAATGTTGCACATTTTGAGGTTCGATCGATCAATCTTGGTTTTGGTTTGTTTTGAAATGTGATACAATGATTCTATTGTGCGAGTCGTTTTCTTTAAGGTTACCAGATAGATTTTTTTATATTTAAATGTGACATTCTACCATTCAACTTTGTATGAATAAACGTTATTATGTAGTTCACCCCATATTCTGAGTAGGGACTAAAAGAGGTAGTACTTTTGGAAAATTATTAGTCAGTTTAGCCGTCTCAATCATTTACTAATTGAGACGCATATATTTCAGAGCGATGATGAAGACGAAAATGACGACGATGAGAATAATAATACGAGCCCTACAAGACGAACAGATGACACTGGTACTCTTTCTTCATTAAATGATGCGCCAATCATGGATCGGCCAGGGCTGCGTTGGAATGAAGATAACCAATCAGGTTCAACCAAGCGGCCCGTGACGATAACACGTGAACACAACATGTCAGTAACCATAAGACCCAACTCAAGTCAAACACGACCACTGGAAAACAATTTTAAAGTGTTTGTGATTCTTCCAAACAAAAACGTATGCACATTGAAAGACACCAACCCGGGAACAGGTGTTACTCAACTTAAACAAGACATTGAATTACTTTCCGGCATCCCCGGGGAAATCTACTCAATTCAGTGCCCCAATGGTGGCGTTATCCAAGACAATACAACGCTTACATCTAACAAACTTCAAGACGGAGCCATCTTAAAAATGTTGCTCCATTCTGGATGGGATCGTCTGTTCAATGCGGTTTGGAATGGCGAGACTGGTGCAGTTTATGCCAACGTTACAAATCAAAAGATTAGTGAAAATGGGGCAATAAAACGAGTTATTGAAGAATGGAAAGCAGTGGCATTATACATAGGGGCCCATAAGGGTCATTTCGATTTGGTCGATATGCTTTTGAAACTTGGTTAGTATTCAGCTTATTCACGCAATGACAATGCTAAATACAACCATCAACGTATAATAGAAATCACCACGACATGCATAGTGTATACAAGTTTAATTTCGAAAACTTTTAAAATTTGACATTGACCCCATTTAATTATGACCGATAATAACTCAACAAAATCAGTACTGGTTACTGGACGAGGACTTGTATAAGATAATGTCTGACATTTGACCCCTAACATGACATTGATATGATGATCATGTTATTTGTTGACCATTGATAGAGTAAATAGAATCTCTATTATTTGATTGAAGTATAATTGATCTTATTTTATTCGAAACAAGTTCAAGATGATATGAGGAGGGGAGTCTACATTTTCTGTTATCTTAAACATTCATGTTAAGCACCTCGTGGTCAACACAGAATAATCTCATCATTGATAAGTCATGTGACGGTCGGTTACTATAGCAACTTAGCCAATGTCCTGAAGAAATGAATATAAAAAATCAAAAGCAAGTTCTAAAGTTATGTTTGTATTCATTTCTTCTTTTTTCATCGAATAGTTCTATCTGGGAGTTCTAATAAAGTGTTGTTTATTGTGGTTGATTATTGAAGAAGCCACAACCTGTCAAAAAGGCATGTCAATTCAGTTTTTATCACAAACGCATGATAATCACGGTATGTGACTTTTATTTCCAGGAACAGATGTTAACACTACCACACAGTATGGGAGGACGCCACTTCACGCGTGTGCTTCCCAAGACAAAGTATCCATGGCTGATAAACTTTTGGAATATGGTGCAGACCCCAGGCTAGCGGACAACCAGGGTGCTAGACCCGTGAACGTCGCTTCTCGCTTTGGCGCCAAAGCATGCACCAGGCGTTTGCGTTTAGCGACGTTAAATCTGAGCTTTACAGATTCTCAGCGTTTGTGTGACCAGGAAGATGTCAAACACCAGGAATCATCTGCAATTACAAATACTAAACAAAAACCAAAGGACAGTAATAGTATCGGTGTGTCTCTCCAAATGAATATGAATGAGTTGCGGATTTGTAACGGCCCGAATGGTTCTCTAACTGTACCATCTTTGAACTGCATAAAACCCTCAAGAAAACCAACTGTTGTCATGTGCTACCCTGACTCAAATGCCGATACCCAAAGTAGAGACCCGTCCTCATCTCTCGATTCACAGGATACATCAAAATCTAGTTCAATTGATTTAAGCTCAGTCTCCGAAAATACACCTTCATCCTCTCTCGGAAGTAGTTCCGCATTTACGCTGTCGTCTGTAGAAAGTAGGTCATCAAGTGCAAGGTCATTTACAAGGTCATTGTCCTCCGATGGTGAAGATGCCTATAGGAGACAAATGGTGACACCCACTGGTCGACCATTTAGTGCAATGAGTCATACACGGTCATTGACTGACAGTATTGAAGGTGCAACAACGATTTCCAGGTATGGAACTCAATAATGAAAAATAATTAACGTACACATTTTCTTTTCTGGCAGATTTATTTTATATGTCTGTTTTCCTTCAGATTGCCGCTACATCCAGGACGGGTGAGATCACAAAGTGCGCGAACAACGCGTAGTGAGTGTGGTACACGGTACGCAAGGCTCCGACAAAGTGAGACTATTAGAGAAGAACGCAAGAAAAAGGCAAGTCAAGCGTTTGATGCCTGGCTGGCCAAGAAGGCTACATCTTCGGATGCAACCAAGCAGACGACACAAGAATCCGAGAATGAGGATGATGATACTTCTAAACAAATAACGAGAGACCAAATGTTTCAGAAGTGGTTGGCAAAGAAAAAAGAGGACTTTAGGAAAGCATCTAAGAAGTCTAAAGATATTGATGATAGGGGAATGAACAGACGACCAAGATTTAAAGCGGGGTATCGTGATATTTTCAAAATTGGCAATACCCAAGATGCCCATATTGAAACACCGCCAATTGATCACAATGAGAATTCAGCGGCGTTCTCACAATGGCTTCAAAAGAAATCCAAGGATGGTTGGTTTCAAAATACAAATTCTTACATTGAAAACGAAAATGATAAGACATTACAAAAAGGCGTCAAGGCTAAAAATGAGAAGCTTTGTGTGAGTGCAATAAGTCATTCTGAATGGCTCGAAGCCAAATATGAACAGATTAAAATTGAAAAGAAACGCTTGAAAAATCAAGAGGTGAATGCGAAACAAGTCAGCGCGAGAGGCAAAACTTATCAAAATTGGGTAAATGATGTCAGTCAGAGAGAAAGAGAAAGAAAAGAGAAAGAGGAAGAACGTAAGCAAAGGGAAGCAACTCTGAAGGCTCTGGATGAATCTTGGAGAAAAAGTAAACGCGGTTCAAAATCTTATGAAGATTGGTACCAGGAAAAGTACCAAGATTCAATCATCGATAGAATGTCAGACGCCAATAGCTCTATTAGCGGAGATAGTCCGAGAGATACCGAACAATACCGAATGCAAGTTGAAGATAGCTTTCAGAGATGGAGTGAAAAAAAGGATTCTGATGCAATTTTGAAAGAAAGAAAACTGTTGAAACACGAAGTTTCATTGTTGAAAAAGGTTAAGAAAAAGTATCGAAAAAAAGAATACGAAGATGCCACCGAGTAAGTTTAAGTTCAGGTTTTGATTAATTGCAATCGAATATTGGAATATGGCTCATTGTGTATGCAGAAAATTAATTGTAATCAAAAAATGTGGCACATTGTTTATGATTCTGCATTTATAATTGTATACTGCTATATATGTGAATAAATTGTGATAGATTCCAATACGTACCACTTTTCTCAACATAACATTTCTTAGTAGTCCCATGACATATTGATCATAAATAGCTCCAGAATATAAATACATCTATGAAATCAATTTGAATTTATTTCAAATATTAAGGGAGATACAAATAAAATGCATCTTGTGGTCCATAAGGATATGCTTTTTATCCACGAATTTATCTCGATATTTCCTCGAGTGTGTGCAAAAGGTGAGTAGGATACTAATAATCGATAAAACATGAGTGGATAGACCAGAACAAATCCTTACCTAGGATCGAATTTTATGTTCCATTGCGATAATTCAACACGCACTGATTGGGCGGGTCTAAGGACCGATAACACGATGAAAGTTTGTTAATAATATCTGAGGCTAACATAATATGGTTGTCTCAGAATAATTTCCAGGACAAAACTGACACGAGCGGGGAACTTGCATTGCGAATACGCCTTTTTATGCAACATACTCATAAGCGGGGAATACCTCTTTTAATACTTCTTTGACTTTGGTCACACATATCAGGCCCGTTAGCCAGAGGGGGAGCTGGGGGGTCCCCCTTGGCCAGAAATTCTTTCCAAATCATGCAGCTTTTCACCATTCTGAGAATTTTTCGCTTGATTTTTAGCCAAAATTGTGAAAAAGCTCCCCCCTGGAAAAAAGCTCCCCCTCCTGGTAAAAGCTGGCTACGGGCAAGCATATGAAAGACCAATCGGGTTGGGTAGTATGGCAATGAATGCTAACTTCCCGGCTGCTCCACCATTCTAATACAAAATAAGTTCTCCCAGGCCACGTCATCTGAAGGACGAAAGCAAAATAGATCCTAAGGTTTTGATTAAGTGATATAGAGTGTAAAATATTGGAATCAGTATCTTGACAAGAACACGGATTTGTTTCCCTTACAATATACCCTGGTGAAAATAGATTTTCTTTGCAAATCTTATTTGAATTTGACATAATTTTTGCTTTATCATTCCATCATGCAATGTCTCTTAAAACTCCAGCAGGTCTGGCTTTATTTTAAGGACAATCCCTCGATTTTGAATTTCGATTCGAGTGTATAAGTTTTGAAAAAGAGCTTATACTCGGCCCTCTTTTTAAATCCACTTCAGACTATTCTCCGCAGGGGTCTAGACAGCCATTCAGCACCTCAGTATTCTTGGACTCAAAAATACACTCCACCAATACCCGGGCAACCGTATAACTGTTTTCAATTGAAATAGACCACTATTACTCGTCTACCTGAGACTAAACTAAAATTTTAGATATGATAGTCCCAGCGCACCTTTCTCTATTTAGCTTTAGCCAGGTTTTATCAGTAACTCAGCGTCTCCACCATAGGCTGATCGAGGTCGATAGAAATAATTTTTAAATAAAGATGGGATGGTAATCGATCTGTGTTTTATCTATGTTTCTCTGAAAAATATAATACTGGATTATTTTTGGTGTTGCCATCTTTATATCGGCCCAGAACCTATGGTATCTCCCAAGGATTCGAATCAAAAACAAAAATGAAACGAGCTCAATAGCATTCTTGAACTATCATAATGTGTATTTACATTTTATATTAATTCAATGTCAATGATTAAATTGTTATCTCTGCTGTACATAAAAGTTTACATTTAAAGACATTGGGCAGCACATTTCGTCTTTAACAAGCATGCTTGACATTCTAAGGCCGGCTTCTAAGATGCATTCTATTGCTTGAAAGATTGTTATAAATAAGGTCATTTACAATGACTAGAAATACAATGAGCAAATACACTTTGTAAATATTACATCGCAATCTATAACAGGAAATGTAATGTGAATGAGGGGCTAAGTTTAAAGTACCAGAGGCATCTGGGGAGGGGATTAGTGTTCTATGCTCCGATCGTGCACCACTGAGACTAATTGACACAACGTCGACATATCACAATAGAAGAAAGATATTATTCAATGTAAAATATGACATTTGAATGACATTCAGTCATATTGCTAACGCTAGGAACGTAAATGATGTCATTCAAGACCAAAATATATCATTTAATATACAAGTGCAAGTAATGAAAAGGGTCTATTGATCTGGAAGAAGAGGCAGCGAAACCTACAGAACTTTTACTTTCTCTTTTCTTTCAAGAATAAAATAGGCCTAAATATTTAATATGCATATTAATATATGAGGAGTAGAAACTAATGAAAGGCCATATGTAGAAAAATACTCATCAACTGCATTAGATGGAGGATTCATCATCTCTAGATCTTGAACAAAATGGCCCCGGGGGAAGGGGACCAATGTTCAAAGTTGTCTTACTAGGGGAGGTAGGCGTAGGAAAAACTAGTTTGTTCAATAGGATAAAGGATGATACATTTAAGGAGAACACAAAAGTGACTACAGGAATTGATAGCTGTTCTAAGGTTATGAATTATCATGGACAACGAGTAACGGTAAGTTTTTATGAACTTATCAACTCTGTGGCTTATCCCGGCTTAAAACATAAATTCCCCGGGAATTAGTGTTTCGCCTGGTGTAATAGTTTATTTCACTTTACCGTAAACGTAAACAACAACAAACAATACAGAATCATTCGATGTGTCAAATTTAACTGTTTCCACTATATAGCCTAGGTCAACACGATCAAATACTATATACCTCCAAAACAGATGCTACAAATCATTAGGCCTACCCGGGAAAATTACATTGGTCTGCACGAAAACAACTTCCGGGTTTTCCAATGATTTGCAATTGCAAGTCTAAAGGTTAAATGTATTTGTACTTTCTACAATATTCCCAAAATTGCGAATTAATTAAAATTAAAAATATACCCATGATTACACCTGTAGTAATAGTTCATGAAGCTTAAATAAATACTTAAAATTATCGCAGCATGTCAGCAAGGCCCGGTAGCTCAGTTGGTTAGAGCGTCGTGCTAATAACGCGAATGTCGTGGGTTCGATCCCCATCCGGGCCATTCTTTTATTTTTATCATAATCACTTTACCATTCAATTCAAGGGGCTATAACCGTAATTGTGGTCTTAATAAGTTTAATTTCTTATTCACAAAGATAATGAAAAACATAACTCTTTTAGCTACTCTCCTTAATGCCTTAATTTTACAATATCTGAGTACACCCCTACAACAAAGATTCTTTTTTACGATTATATTTAGTTGTCCATTTGGGATACTGCCGGAGTGGAGAGGTTCCGGACCCTAACGAGGAATTATTACCGCAGCACCCATGCTACAATTCTGGTCTATGATGTCACAGAGCCATCGACGCTGCACTATCTCCCTAAATGGGTAGATGATGTTACAGCATTTTCTCCCAATGGTATTACACTCCCCTCCATAAGTTTGACAACCGAAAGTCCTCTTCTGGATCACTTACCTAAACCTCTTTATGTTGCCAAACTTATGGAGGGGAATGTATTTCTTGTCTTGTATTATAAATGGCCATTTTAAAATCATTCTGATAATTCTACAACAGTTGCATTTGGCTGCTTGAAAATATAAATAAATTTTTATATATAGGTTATTTCGTGCTTGATTTTCAATATGAATTTTATTCCAGGTTACTTCCTGCGAAAGCTATTTGGATTTTGATATAATAGCTTTCCCACGGAGCATTTGGACAGCTCAGTGATCGTGACCTTTGAAACTGAATTAAGTCGATCCGCGGCTTACTTTTGGTCTCTAACTGTGTCTTACATCAGTATCATCAATCCGTGTAAGTATTGGAGCGCTGGAGTACTTCTTTTTCGATCAAGACTTGTAATTGTTAGGTCGAGTGAATCGTTTTACTGCCAAATTCCAATATGGCGGTTTCTGCTCGGACATTTTCGTAAATCTCCGGAGGTTGTCCGAACCTAACTAATTCTCAAAATTCATTTCGTTCGTTGCGTATCTCGCACCTAGCAAACCGCCATATTGGAAATAGGTCTGTAAAACTTTAACTCGATGAACAATTTACAAGTCTTGATCGAAAAAGAAGTACTCCAGCGCTCCAATACTTACACGGATTGATGATACTGATGTAAGACACAGTTAGAGACCAAAAGTAAGCCGCGGATCGACTTAATTCAGTTTCAAAGGTCACTATTGATCAGCTGTTCACTTCTCCGTTTGAGAGCCATAAGTTTCAAAATCTAACATGGCTCTCGAAGTGAGTAAATTCCAGGGTAATATGATATTGACCGAACGAGCGTAGCGAGTAAGTTTCAATATAATATTTACCGAGGTCAATGTCATATTTCCAGTGGATTGAAAATCAAGCATGAAATAACCATTTTATTCCATAATTTAAATTTTGAGAATTCAAGGAAAAAGAAATTGTAAAAAAAATTAAAAAATGAAAATTTTTGAAAAATGCAAATTTTTGAAAAAATGAAGTTTTCAAAAAATGAAAATGTTTGAAAAATGATTCAAAATATTTGAAATAAATTAAAATCTTTGAAAAATTGCAATTTTTGAAAAAATGAAAATTTCTGAATTTGTTTTTCGAAAATTGGAAAAAATTGGAAAAATCAAATTTTTTTTGAAAGAAATGAAAAATTGGAAATACTGATTTTTTTTGAAAAAATGAACTTTTTGAAAAAATAGGGACAATATGATTTTTTCCCAGGGACAATATGATTTTTCGAGTATACATGTATATGATTTTTTTTCCAGGGACAATATGATTTTTCGAGTATATATGATTTTAAGAGGGATAATATGATTTTATTTCCCAGGGAAAACAGTAGTATTATGGAATAAAATTTTATATTTTATAATATTACATCTGTACCTATAACAGAAATGATATATATTATTTATTAGTGAAAATTTTAATAAAACATGACACATACTATTTTGCTCAACCAAAACTTACCTAAAAATAAAAACATTGCCCTACCTTATAATAAAAATATTATAATTAAAATTCACATTCCAGCAATAAAAGCTCTCATTGGGAATAAAATTGACCTGGAATCAAAAGTTGAAGAGAAGAGTGAAGAGGACTTCTCATCTGTGTATGACTGTGATATTGTATGCAGGGCATCTGCTTGTACAGGTATGTATGGAGTATTAACATTTTATGACTTTAATATTATGTGTAGGGCATCTGTGTATGACTGTGATATTATGTGTAGGGCATCTGTGTAAGACTGTGATATTATGTGTAGGGCATCTGTGTAAGACTGTGATATTGTATGCATGGCATCTGCTTGAACAGGTATTGTATGGAGTTTGCATCATTGAATGACTGCAATGTTGAATGAAGGGCATCTGTGTATGACTGTGATATTGTATGCATGGCATCTGCTTGAACAGGTATTGTATGGAGTTTGCATCATTGAATGACTGCAATGTTGAATGAAGGGCATCTGTGTATGACTGTGATATTGTATGCATGGCATCTGCTTGAACAGGTATTGTATGGAGTTTGCATGTTGAATGAAGGGCATCTGTGTATGACTGTGATATTGTATGCATGGCATCTGCTTGAACAGGTATTGTATGGAGTTTGCATCATTGAATGACTGCAATGTTGAATGAAGGGCATCCGTGTATGACTGTGATATTGTATGCATGGCATCTGCTTGAACAGGTATTGTATGGAGTTTGCATCATTGAATGACTGCAATGTTGAATGAAGGGCATCTGTAAAGTTTACAGTCACTAGGGATTACTTTGGATATTTAGTAGCACTGGATTCATTGTGAATATATAGACTAATCACCTGTGATACTATTTTGGATATAAACATCTAGAATGGCAGATAAAGATTCAACAAAGCAAAAAGGTAACATTTCAACATTTTTCAACCCCATTGTTCCTACAGGAAGTCAACCCTCAACTCCTAAGCGCAAGGCAGGAGAGGCAGGCATGGATGTACATGACAATAGGTCTGATGAATCAATGTTTGCTATGTTGAAACAAGTTCTTGAAGAGGTATCAACATTGAAAAAATCTATGCCTGAAAATTGGAAAAGTGACATTCAAGCCATGATCTCAGATTCTGTAAAAGCCCATGTAACACCTATAGCTCAGGAGGTAAAAACCCTGCGTTCAGAAAATGTGCGTCTCAAACAGGAACTGACTAGTATCAAGGATGCCGTTAATGAAAACAATCAATACTCGAGAAAAAACAGTGTGAGAATCTTAGGGCTTAAAGAGTCTGCGGATGAGAACTGTGAAAATCTTATTGTTACAGAGCTAAACAACAAAATCAGATCTGTGAAACTGGATGTTACAGATATTGAGGTTGCGCATAGATTGGGCCGTAAACGAGAGGGGACTGACAGAAATAAGCCCAGGGCTATTATCTGCAAATTTAAATTTCGATCCGTGAAAATGGAACTATGTAAATACAGATCTGAGCTCAAGGGGTCAAATGTGTTTGTATTTGATGACCTAAGTCCCCAAAACCATGACCTCCTATTTCGCTTGAAAGCACATGATGGGATTAACCAGGCCTGGGCAGTGAATGGAAAGGTGTTTGGAAAAGCAAACAATGGATCAATTACCAGATTCGCAATATCTGATGATCTAGATGCAAAAATTGCTGACATGTGAACTTCAAATATTCCTCGATCTGACTGTATATACCAGCTATATATATATCGTTACAATGGAGTACAGACAGTAAGTTAACCGGGGTACAGTATCCAACAAATACTCTGAATGCTACATGTAAGTAGATGTATAAGTGACTTGCTCGTTGTTGACATTTTATGTTGCATACAACAAATGCAAGGGCATCAGATTGTCCCTATTAATTGAACTCTTAGTAACGCTCAACAGACTAATACACCTTAGCTTTTCACTGAGGTTATCATGACATTGAATGGTCAATTTATTGTCTCAAGCTTGACCTATCCAGTGACAGAAATACTATAAACTGTATAGTAGACACTGCTACAGTAGCTTTAAACTAAAATATTAGCAGACACTTGTTAACTAGATAATTGCCTTCATAACTACATTTGTGTGTAAACATGGGTACTCTCTATTACAATATGCATTACTGACTACAGTTCCTCATTGAAATAAATTGATTCTGAAATAAATTGAGTGTCTTATTTTCACTTATAGTTTCACTGTCCCAGTTCATTTGTATTATGTCCCTGGTGACTGGTCTTAATGCTGCCAAATGAGAAGTCTGAGATATGTTTACACTAAATGGAAGTGTTGCTACATTTGAGGGGGAGAAGAAGGCACTGTATATATTGTATATATTACTCATCCTTAAGTTTCCATTCAAATAAAAGAGAGAATCAGATCTAGCGAGCAGCCTAACATAAAATGGTTCAATTTATTACTGGCGTTTGTCATTCCTAACATGTCTATTTTTTCTAAACACCCCCAAAGTGCACACTTGAAAATGAAAGACTTTTACATTAATGTACTATTATTCTAAAAGAAGGCTACCTCATTATTTCACGCGGTAGTATCTCTTCGGGACGTATCGAAACCACTCCGTCCCGAAAAACCGTTAATTTGAATTTAAAACCTACCACAGTGTTTTAAAATCAAGGATTGTGAGTCTCACACTTCACCGTTTTTCTTCAAACTTGTTCCGTACAAAGCTTCACAGAAATACCTTTCAGTCGATACATTGTTTTCGTGTACAAAGTACCTCGTTTTAGCGGCGTTTTGGTCCCCAACTGTAAGATAAAGCAAATTTTCATAACTTTCAACTGTAAGTCAAGTTATCTCGCCAGTCTTTTACCCATTCTCGCCCATAATTTCAGAATGGACTCCCATTACAACCTTCCATCGCTACGTCTTGATTTTTGGGCATCAAACGCAGCAGTTTCTAAATCATCCACACATCTCTTCAAATTTGACCAATACGTCCCGTCATCTTCCACTACGCCCCGCCGAGTCTATCACTATACACGTAGAGTTGCATTCTAAAACAATGTGTCCGGTTGCCATTGTCGATTCTAAATACCAATCGGATTGTGTTTTAAGATTTACCAATTCTTGTCCATTTTCAATATACCTATAATAGGGTGGTCCGAAATCTCCCTAAAATTTAAATTTCCCGATATTGCAATATAAAGATTTTAATTACTGAACAATTGAAAATATTTTTAAGAAACGTTTAAAGTGCCCTATCCTTGAAAAAATGTTAAAATGCGAAAGGATGGGTGATATGATATGATGTCAATTATATTATTTTCAGCATAACGTTAGAAACATGTATCATTTTATATGGTACACGTTTCATAATGTAATCCAATGGAATCATATATATATATATATCTTTTTATTGACTCTCTGATGTCATTGCAATGACATATTAGTCACTACAAACTACAATATACAAAATTAAACTAAGACTAAACTAACTACTTCATAGGAAATATACAAAGTTGTAAAATACAATTACAGCATCATACAGCATCATACAGAAGAAAGGTTGACACACAACAGTTAAAATCTTTATATTACATTATCAGACCAAGTCAGTAGATGTTGTTTATATACCAATTAGTGTTGTATGATGATGCATTCTTTATATGAATCTAGAAACGTTTTGGTGCCAATATTGCTCAATTTTGATAACATCTCCGTTATTTTGAAATTAAGCGTGGCAAAGTTTCCCGATGGATTTAGCTAAAAAAAAGTGGTGCCTGTAGGGTTATTGAAAATCATACATGATGAAGAAAAAATACATATTCCTGAAATACAACAGTTTAATTTTGAGTTATAAACCATTTATGAAAACGGCATATTTGTCAAAATTACCAAAACTTCAAGTGAGACGCGTGGCAAAATTTCCCAGGGGTCTAGAGTGGAAATATTTGTACCAAGAGTCAATTTGTAACTAAAATCTATCAGATGACAGATTTTTGGAAAATTTTGCAGATTTGGACAACCCTAACCTATAACTTTGTTGAACCTGAAGAAACGTATCAACTTTTTGTTAAATAAAGATAGCAAATTCAGCTGTCTACTGTACCTAACTTGTACTTTTTGCTAGTACTCAGATTGATGGATATTCTGTCGTATGACATGCGACAAACATATCAATTCTTATGGGTTTACATGGGAATGTCGATTTTCAAAAATTCATCAGATTTATCATCCATTTCCGATCTATTGTAATTGAGGAAAAACATCAAGAAAATTTGGAGGTATTGGGAATAAAGTCAAGTTATATTTCCGTCAATTTTATAAGTATTTCCCCCGCAGGTTATGTAGATAAAAATTCAAACATAAATAGGCTTTAACACGTAGTTCAATGGGGAGCTAAGGTTGCCAAACTTATGGAGGGGACAGTATCATGTAAAAGTATATTTTGTCACCAATTACACGAAACCTGCTACTGCATTATTGAAACTATTATCCCGGTAAAGGACCTGTTTCAGATTCTATTACCGCCTCCCCATGAAAAATATAAATTCATCTGATATTTCAAAATCAATGTACAGGTTTAATTATAACATTTATGTGTACACTAGTATCCTGTTGACCTATATTCAGCACTGTATTGATGGTTAGACCATTTATTGTTGTCATATTCAATGCATGAAGTGAGAGGCGTGGGTGCTACTAACGAGGAAATAATTTTGTGTCTATCAAAATCCATTTGCATCCTACGCATCCCAATATCTTATCCAAATATGCTATTAAATTATGTAATATAATATTATAATCTTTAGATTTACAAAGTTGTATGATATTTGATAAATGCAAAAGTTGTTTTCTGGAGCATTTTTCTCTAGCCATTTTGTAGGGAAAAATCTATGAAAAAATTGTATAATCTTTTAATTTTAAGTATGACCTGAACCAACCTCAAACTTCGTATTTGCACATCTGATGTGATATACCATTTGTGTCATATTGTGAAAATATTTAGTTTGAGGTCCGTTCAGGTCATAGTGTGTTTTTAGTATTTTTGTGATAATCAATGGAAACCAATGGCCCCTTTTGATATATGATGATATCCCTATGTTAAGTCAATGGTGCACATCTCTATGTAAGTCAATACACCCTTGCTGAACTAAATTACCAAAATCTCAGCCTATGTGTGTCCAAACACTAATATATATTTTCTAA